GATTGTTACGCGAATAATTTCCGGCCCTCCGCCCACCATTTAAGGAGTACATTGCGACGTTTAGTTGAACGCGACGCGATTCGCGAGATTAAGGCAAGACGTTTCCGTTTAAGCAAACGTCGAACGAATGGCTAAAAAGACATCAACAAAAAACTAAATAGAGAACCGAGGCAATAATAAACGGGAGAGACGGAGAGTAGTGTACCAAAGAGGCAACGCCGCGGCCGTCGCCAGCACTGTCGTTTCCGGTACTCAATTGCCGCGTAGTAGCGCGCACACACACACACACACACATACATATATTATGATGATGCCAATTGTAAATATAAAGGTTCGTACTATTCGAGGATATTCCACATAAACAACAACTACAGAACTTCCTATTTGGATCGTCTACGCGCGGACAATTTTTTAACGACCTCCAAAGAGTAGTGTTTAGATGGAAGTAATACAACTGTCGCGATCGTGTTTTGAAAAAAAAAGTATAGATGATGTTTTTTTAACCATCGACGCCTTCAGCAAGTTTTTGTTTTATCATTCATTACAACAAAAATCCAACGGCGCTAGTTTGGTCCGGTTTTTCGCAGAATGCGCACTAGGGTTTCATTGAAGCCCACGAGAATGCAATTAATATAATTATTGCTATACACTGTGCTAGAACTAGCTCCGGCACGCCATACAATGAACAGGTAGAATAATATAATATTATGCTGCCGGTCGACTGACCGGTTTTTGGCATACCTATCCCACTGTACATAACCGTCTGGTGAATTCTAATTGGTATGCCGGTGTAGTAAAAACGCCTACAAAATTGGCACAGCGAAGTTTGAAATAACGACCGAAGTGTAATGATCTATGAATTCTAATGCATACTTGGAGCGAGTCGCTTTGGATTTGCAAGGCAACGCATTGTTTATGCGTTCATCAATGACTTGTGACGGTAACACTAATAATAACATTTAATGAATGGAGAAAAGCAAACAACGGCAATGGAATACCGATAAGTGCTCGTGTATAATTCGACTATAAATAAACAGTTGTTTACAACATCCATATTGTATCGTGTTTCGAGTAATTAATGTTGCCGATAAATATGTCAATACTTATACGTACCAGATGCAATATGGATTATCAATAAAGATTAATATACAAAATTAAACAATAACACGCCGTACCTGCAGATGTTAGGAGCAATAAAGCAATCTGCTATCAGCGCGATAACAGACGAGACTAACGAGTATTGGGAACTTTCCATTGACGCTAATATCATGTCGAATAATAACATCCAAACATAGAAAATTACTGAACGCTTTTATTTTAGACACACATTTAAGTCGCGACGACTTTCTTTCACAAAACTATTCACTCACTCGAAACCATTCGGTCCATCGCTCAGTCGTCAAGCTGTGCACACAAATACAAATCAGTAATTGTTTTACCAGAAGCAATAATTTAAAGTTGTTCGTCTTTAATTAAGTTTACCAAGTGATAATTCATTTAGTGTATTTCACAGTGTAACACTTCGGCTTAAAGTATTGACAAAAAAAAAAAAAGAAACCTTAATTGGATAGATGAAAACCGAATCGTAAAATCACAATTAACGCCAAGTCGAAACAAATGTGGACGGTTAGTTCACACCCCGAGGAAATCTGCTGCGCATACGTCCCCGGACCCGCGGCAGTTGATCTCTACCGTCACCCCGATGTTGTTTCTCGATCCACAAGCATTTACACTCGCTCTCTCTCGACGCAATGGTGCAGTGGCTCTACGGCCGGCCACACCGGTTGTCCGATACGCGCGGCCTTGATTAGGTCACACAAAAAATCACACACGCATGGTAGGGGGCACGCGGGGAGTAGTCGGATGAGGAGGATACTGAACAAGAAGCGAAGCGGTAGCTGACCGTGAATGTTTGATTGCGACCAGCAATAGACGAGACCCACGATGGCCGTCGAAACGATGCACAACCGTCGTTGAATATGTAATAATAGTAATTACAACAATAATAATAACAATACTAAAAAGAGGTTCATTACAATATGAATGGATTATACTGGTTGTCGTCGTGCTTACAATAAAATGCCTCAACAACAACAGAGATTATAATAGTAATATGCAATTATGGTCCAGCAAAAGTGCGTTTTAACGGAATGGACCAAAAATAAACACTGTAGCGTGCACGTATTTTTTGCTGTACAAACAATATGTGGGTTTTTCATTTTCATACATGGTCTGACGCCCATACGTGTGACTGTAGCTTAGCATAGGACTAAAGATAATATAATAACGTAATGTGCAATAGTAACTCAAATAAACGTAGAACGCGTTCACACCTACATATGGCTAAAAGGAGTATAAGAGTAAGAGAAAAAAAAAACAACCGTCGCCATCGACTCTGTTTTCGGTCAGTACCGGTTTATAATAAATCGGATTCGGCTGATGCAAATGATGCGACAGACATTCCAATGATATTGTAAAAAGAAGAGAGAGAACGCGAACTAGGCCCGTTGGTTTATTGTTGAGGCGGCCGCGGAAACGTTTATTTAATAGTTCCACTATACTGTGGACCAATAAAAGACGTATTAAAAACAATTATTAATTTTTGTAAATGTTAATACTGATTGTGTTTCGATGGAACCGAATAAGACACAATCATAAATCTGATGATTAGTAACGACTTTGAACAGCGGATGCTGCGGTAATATTCAAATAACCTCTCGGCATTTGGTTAATAATATAGTCTATAGAAATCACACAGCAATTGTGACTATTCACTGATACATTACACAACGCAATAATAATGTTTTCTATTTCACTAGTAATATTGACAAAATGTGATGACAGTGCCAAAACGAATTCTCGATCGAGTAACAAAGGTCATCGAATTGGAATTACTTGACTTAAATTATTATTTTCATTAGTACATTGACAACAGATAAAATCATAACATCGACCCTAATCAAGGTCGTGGTATAAATTATGAATGACTGACTTGAATAACATTAATTTATCAACGCTGCATAACAGCATATATTTACATAGGTATAGCAAAACAATCTAAATATGTTAAAAACCGGCATTATTTATAGCAGAAATATAAATAAAAATAACTTAACAGAAATGAAAATATCAGTAAAAACAGCTTGCTTAGGTGAAATACATATTTTTAAGAACCATAAATATAGTTCAAAACAAATTTACTTATGTTTACAAGGTACATTAACGTTTTAAATAGAACTAATTTACAAATAGTTAAATTTATAAACTAAAGCAAGTATAACTGAAAGTTTTAACAATCAAATTGGATACTCAAAATATCAGAATTATTTCATTCTTATCAATAATTCTTCTGTCACGTTAAATACGTTTTGTCATCAAATACTCAATAGCAAAATATATACTAAAAATTAAAGAAAAAAATTTGTCTATGTGCATAAGAAATAAAAATATTCAGTTTATGCAAACAAAACATGGAATTTCTAAAAATAATTACATCCTATCTAAATATTCAAATTTATTAATATACACATTTTTCTACCATTAAAATTTTTTTTTAAAAAATCATCCAAGTTCTTAATTGTTTTTGTTCTACTTGACCTTCAAATATTATATTACCAAATAAACAGACAACTCAATATAGTTAAATTTACCCAACCTATATTACTTAGTCATGTCAATTTCTTTAGATATAATTTTATCTTAAATATAACAGTATCTAATAATTACATAACATATTTCTTATTTTCTATCAATTTCATTCACTAGTTATAATGCTAATATTAATACAAGTAAATTATGTTTGTTTATTCTTTATTGACATGTAAACAGAAAGTTGAATTATATCAAAGGAATTATTTTCTAAATATATTAATTTATTATAGGAAATTAATATTAGATTTAGGGTAACATCTAACCATTGAATAAAACCTCAGAATTTTTAACTAAAAAAAATTGTTTAATCTGCTTGTAATAAGTTGTTGCTAGTAGTTTTTATAATATAGAATATACCTAAGATCATTTTTCAGAAAAAAAATATTTATTAACATTATGAGTATGACATCATATATAAATTAATAAAGAACTTTCAAAGTTAAAAAACTCTTAACTCATTATAGAAGTTATCCTAATAAAATGTTTAAAACCTTATATTTAAAATACTTATTAATATACTAGTAAATTACTTATAACTATAAGTTACACTTATATTTATTACTTATTACCTATGAGATATATTTTTTTTTTATTAAATATACATTATAGACAAAAAAAATCATGAGATATGTGTAAAATAAACACATTTAATGCTAAATTTTATAATATTTTATTAATAAATACTTAAAATATTACTAATATTTTCAAAAAAATTCTTTAAGAACAAAATCTAGACCAAAAATTTATATTTATATAGTATTATAATCACTTGTTGGAAAAAATTGTTGAAATCCAAAATAATAATTATTAAGACATTCTAACACATATTAAAAAGACATAAAGTCCACAATTAACCATAAATTAGTTTGATGAATTCAGTATCAATATTTTTTCGATTAATATTTTTAATCAATGTACAGAAATTTCTCTTCTTTACACATATGTAAAGAGAAATATTTTAATACATTCGAGTTAGTTTATGAACGTTAATACAATTGATAGTATTCTATGATTAAAAAACAGAGCAGATATTAAAAAAAGAAAAATTATTTTGCATTGTGATGAAAGTTTTTTAAATGCACCGACAATAATTTAAAATTTTATTACAATAACCATGAATTTAATTAAATTTTTAACTGATATTTACACAACTACACCTGTAAAACTATTAATTCTTTTGAGTTGAGTCTTGCATAGTGATTAAATGACGCAATACAATGAATATTGATTATTTAATAAATATAAACCATGACAAATGGTTTAATTAGAAAAAAATAACTATAATGATTTTCCTTATAACATTGAACCTAATAATTAACTATTAGAGTAAACACAGTTTGATAACTTACCATCCAAACAGTGCACTTTACATCCATCTTTAAGCAATCTCTTAGCCAACACAATCATCGTATCAGACTCTGGTGAAGTATTTTTACGATCTTTTAAACATTCATCACCATATAGAATAAATATACTTTGCTTGTATGCATTCACTATTTGTTCTCTAAGATCTGAACACTTGACCGTAGATGCTAAATCAATTTTACCAGCAGCTAATCTCCTTAACATTATGGTTGGTATACTGAAATTGACAGCATCACGTATGTGACAGTCAGAGAAATCCATTGAACTGCGACAGTCCAATATCAACATCTGAGATTTGTTACTAGATGATAGTTCAGCAGCAAGCCAGTCACAACCAATACAGATGTCTGACAAAAGGGAAGAATCATCTTCAGCTGGCATTGTAGTAAAATCAGCTTGGTGTGTTCGAAATTAATAAATTATGTTATATATCAAACATTGATCTCAAATGTCAATAACTGATGATATTTATTTTAATTATTATTACTATAAAACAAAAACCACACAGTAGTAAATCATACACACAATCACAAATTGAATAATAATATTACTTCAACAGAATATTATAGTTAAAATAAAAAACACTAACCGTTCTACATATCTTTAACATGTAAAAATTATACAGATATAAAAACGTAACGGTTATAAAGAAAATATTTCAATAAAATAAAACAATAATTAAAATATTATAACAATGTTTTGTATTCACACCTGCTCACGACCGACGAGCTCACCGCAGAGACAGTCGGAATGGAACTGTTGATTACTGTAAGCATTCAATGTGATGACAAAAAACATGGACACAACACGGTGGAATGGACGCGCACGACAAATACCAAGAAACTTGCACTGCTCCACTCTTCTTCCACTTCACCATAACATTAGCCGCCACCGCCTACCAAATAAGAACAGATTATTGTTCCGAAATTCTACGCAATCTACCGACAGCGACCGTAACTACATTCAGAAAAATTTGTAATGAATATTTGACTGAAAGATAGCGCTAATCTATTTATTTAACTAGTGTAGATAATTTTTTAATTTATGATATTATCATGTTAATAAATTGTACGTAATAAGAATTTAAATTCATTTATTTCATTAATTACTTTTTTGTTGATTACTTTAATTATAATATATTTTTTATTATCATTTCAGTTTATAAACATTTAGTTTAATATAAATAATTGATGTGAATTAGTAAATTTAAAAATTAGTGACAACTTAGTAAGTTTTAATTTTCAATTATTAAAATAAGTTTAATATAATTTTCAAATACAATTTTTGTTGGAAATACTAATTTTACAAAATAAACTCCTATAAATTTGGATAAATTAAATAATAATATTAGACAGTTAAAAGATATTTTTATCCAAATAAAAAGAATTGTACCTCTACTACTTCATCCTCGACAATAAACAACATTAGGCCCGATACTCAAATCTCTTATCATAATTATATAATTTATCGTATACATAGTCTCATATCTAACTGACAACGCTTGAAACTTTTGATCCAATTATTATTTTGTTAAAATCTTTTTTTTTTATAATAATTGTCTTCTTAGAATACAGTTAACGCATATTTTTTATTATTAATTACTAATAAGGGGAAACAATTTTTTTTCAACATTTAAAAATGGCCATTTTTAGCTTTATTCATACAAGAAAAATTAATGAGACTATAAAAATGTTAGAATAAGTATTCATTGAGTTACAAGCATATTAATACATAGAATGGGTGTGGAACCCAGGTAGCGTAAATGTACACAAGTACGGGCTGCAATTGCCTTCACTACATATCCATTCAACAGAGTGATTGGTTTATAATCATAATTCACTCGATAATCAAGAAAAAGTCTGGTCGATAACAACTTTTGGACCAATGTTTCAGAAGTTCTTAAAAATTTAAGGAATGACTGATGATGAGGAGTAGGTGCAGCTATTTTTATCACAACTCATTTTCCGGCCGTACTCTTCATCCTGCATAGTTTTAAAATGAAAATAATATACAAAGTACTGGTCCAAAAGTTGTTATTGACCAGTTACTTTTTTAATTAGATTATTTCCTACTTTATAAATTATTTAAATATGTATGTTATCATTAAAAAAATAAAGTTAACACCTTTATACCCCTTATAATGGGTGATCCTAAAAAGTAATTATTAACTGATAAATAAGAAATTATATGTAATTAGTATAACTCAAAAATTATTTTTTCAATATTGTATTTATTTTGAGATTAATCTGTGTATATTAAAATGATTGTAACTCAATGAATACTTGTACTAAAATTGTTATCGACCCATCAACATATATGTATGTAAAGGGTTAAAAAATTTATATTTCGACATTTTGTAAAAATATACTTATTATAAAATATATATATATAGTTTTTTAAATAAGTGAAAAGTAATGCTTAGATGGATGAATGGAGTGACTAGAAAAGATAGAATAAGGAACGAGCATATAAGAGGGAGTATAGGTGTAGCGTCAATCGTGGATAAGATGAGAGAAAATAGACTTAGATGGTTTGGTCTTGTTATTGAGGAGAGAAGAATCGGAAGCTGTAAGAACAGTTATAGAAATGAATGTTGAAGGAAGAAGAGGTAGAGAAAGACCAAAAAAGAGATGGAGGGATGCTATTGAGTGCGATTTGAGGACAACTGATGTGAACGTAGATGATATGGAAGATCGTGTCAAGTGGAAGTTTAGGATAAGGGTGGCCGACCCCAAGTAGTTGGGATTAAGACGAGGAAGAAGAAGAGTGAAAAGTAATAAAAAAATATGTTTTAACGTAGCCTGAGAAGACAATAATAATTAAAAAACAAAATTTCAATTATTATAATTGGATGAAAAGTTATTAGCATTGTTAGTTAGGTTTGAGACACTCCTCTGTATAATGCTTTTCTAATACCAAATTATTCTACAGAAGCTCGTTCCAAGTCAAAATTTGAGATCGCTTCTACCAAAGAAATTGTCTAACATCATTGTGTGTGAATAACCCTGGTATTATATTGTAATATTCTTTTCCGATATGTATATGTACTATGACATTATTTCCTTATGAGTAATATCTTCATCATCCCTTAAATCCATTAGTTATTTCTCTTCACACTTTCGATCAAATTCCAGATTTTAATGAGATAATACCTCGGAGGCATATTAAGTAGTTATTAAAAAGGGGTGTGATTCGAATAGCAACGATTTTCTCATTAAATTATATAAAAATTTGGATAATTAAAAAGGAATGAATTTTTTAAATTATAAATGGAAATTTATATCTCAAACAAATAATAGAAAATTTTCATTTTTATTATTTTTAATTTTGTTAACTAAATGGTAAAGTACCACAATATAAGAGTTAATTTATTTTTAATGCATACAGAGTGTTGCACCTTGATTTACTAAATTAAATATTAGTTTATATACTTAAATTAGTAAATCACGGTTGCACAATCTGTATATTCAATAATGTGTACATGTTTTTAAACGCTTAATATTTACGCAGCAGGAAGAAAACTCGAAGCTCACCTAATTTGAAATCGATTTGTACTAATAAAATTAAATACAAAATGGTTTATTTAAATATATTCTTTCAAAAAATCACACACGACTATGTTAGAGTTACAACAACTAACTCATTCATATTTTCATCGCAGATAAAAATTTTAATATCAAAAAATTTACAATTTATTTTTAAATCTAAATTCCCACAGCAAAAACTTCTTTAGCTTTATAAACAGGGCTGGTTTAAGAAATACAAATGTTTTTTGCGAAACAAATCATGGGAGGCTTATAAAATATAAATTTTTTGATCATCGACTTAGTTTCTGGGTTTCTGTTGAGCACACCTACTTCGTATACCCTTAGCGTTGATCTTGATCACAGATCGTATTAAAATAGACCTAGTGATAATAATAACGAATAAAATAGATTGAGTCAGTCTAGTATTAAAGGAATTGTCTAAGCGGAAAGGTTTTTAAAACAGAACTTTAAAAAAATTAATAACAATTTTTTTTTCAAATAACATTTGGACAGTTTTTTAGATGTTTTACAAGAAAGTATTATAAATTATCAAAAACGATTCATATTATTTACCTTATAAATAGTTGAATTACCAACTGCTATGCTTTCATTTTGAATTTAGTTTATTACTACATAAATCATTCATAAATATTTTTCAATCTTTTAATGATTTAAATATTTTGCGTATTTTATTCAGACTAAAATTTAAATAAATTAAACACTTTAAAAGAGTTTTTTCAAATATTATAACACATTTATTACTTCGATGTATTTACTTTTAACAAAATATAAATTGTAATTTATATAAATAAAATACAAGTCAAAGTAAAAATACTTACTGAGCAATTCGAATTATAAATACAATAATTAATATACTAAAACTTTGTGTAATATTAGATATTTTACACAACAGTAATTACAACAATTTTGCTAATATTAGAATTTAATATCAAACTTTTAGAAATGAAGCCTCAATTACTACTATTCATAGTGTTTCTTCGTACACACGCGCATAATTATTGACATTTGAATGACTTCTAGTAGAGATATACGATTTAGTGTCTACTATTTTATTACAAAGACATGCTGAATATAACTAGTGGAAATTATAAAAGGCCTATTTACCTATATTGTATAGTTGTATAGTTCGTTGTTTATAATAATTTGATCAATGTATAGTTAATACAGAATACCTGTGTACACATTTATATAGTATGCATGTTGGGTAAAAAATAGAATTTGAAAAATAAAATGTCATTGACAGTAAAATAAAAAAAAAATTACTTATTAGCAATTATATAAATATAGAAAATTTTAACAATATTATGTACATAAGATATTCAGTTATTGTTATCTCTGAAGACGAGTTTTTTTATGTAGTTTATTACAAAATCGTCCTATAATAGTAAAAAGTATTATAGATATACAAGCAAAAAATCCCCACAGATAAAGTCCCGCCCAAAGATTATCTTGATTGTGTGGCATTATATATGGATCAACAGCGGGCATTAGAAGACCATGATGAATCAATGCTGCAGTGCCATTTGGAGTGGGACAAGGCAACTGAACAATTATGTCTTGATGTTGCACCTATTTAAATGAAGTAATTAACATTAATACAATTGAAACAACTAACTTTTTTATACTTTTTCTTAATAAATATTACTTGTTTATTGCGACAAACGAGTGAGGAGGCTAAAGATACTAGAGTCTCCTGTGCGTGATCGTTTTGCAGCAAAGGCAACATTAAATAACGAGTCGGAGATAACGTCGACAAAAATCTCACTCCTTGAAGTTTCTTTAAGTCATTGAAATTCAAGGGTACGCCACTCATCAAACCAGACACCATTACTGCAATAGTAGCCATTATCGAAGAACTTAGTTTATCAGGCATTAAATATCCAAAGGCAGTGGCTATCAGCTGAAGAACACTCATATGAATCGCAATATATACTGTAGGAAAGACATAACATTAATCTAGTGAAATATTAATAAAATATGCACAAAACTCACGTATATATGCGAAAAATGGTTCGGGATCGTTTACATACTGATAAAGAGCTGACATGGCGTATGCCGGCATTGAGTATACAATCCAAACAAACGCTGATGGTGGAATGCTGCATAATATCTAAACGAAACAAGACTGTTATGTATCATATGTATTAATAATTCACAATAAAAAATTACTCACCGAAGTAACGATGTAAACAAAGCGACTGTATAAATTATCAGATATATCACTTTCAACAGCATTTCGATCACTGCCGTGAGTATCGTTCAAAGCAATGTGCAGTATTAGTGGTAAAGCACCAATAATCATTGTACTATAATAAAAACCTAACCTACAAAGTCAAATGAAATGAATATATAAATACAAACATAAAGTTAATAAATATCTTGTCATTATAAGTATAAATGCTGAGATATTAGATATTATTTAAAACAAACCTATCACCATATAACAGTTGAGGATCAGTAGCAGGTATATCCCAAAATATGGCGCCTATAATAACAGACAATAATCCAGCAATAAATAGTCTGAAAATCCAATTTAAACTACTTCTTGGTTGAGAATAGGCCATATGACGACTAAACAAAACAAAAAAATGTATTAGTCACATGTGGAATTTTTATTACAAAAGTTTCTTCGTACAGTATTATGGCAATCACTTGTACTGGCACAGATGCAGTTCGCGGTTTACCCGGCAAAGGCTGTGGTGGCCCTGGATCTGGCAAAGGTTTCACTCGTCTTCTAAATAAGTCTGCTAGTTGCTCCACTCTCTGACTGGACTCCAACATGGCTTCAGCAGACAGATCATCTAACGTAACTAAATCGACTAGGAAAAAAATTTATTTAGTAAAATTACTCTAATACTTAATAGGATTTGATATTTTACTGTTTGCTTACGATAATAATCTGATGGGTTTTTAAAAGCTGGACAAGGATAATCAGCAGATGAAAAATACGGTAACATGTTACGGCGACGACCGGAATACATAAGGTGACCGACCGATATCAAAGCCACCCTAGACACCATTGTGAATATTTCATACGTAGGTGGTTGCAAGGTCACTATTACAATTCGTGGATTTACACCGGCTACAAACAATAGATGATAATAGATTTTTTTTATTGTAAGTATAAATGCAGTATAAATTATTATTTTTTACTTGGAGCTCCGGCAGCCCATTGTCTAAGAAATTCGACTAGAAAGAAGGTATCAAATATGTCCATAGTTACGGTTGGTCGATCCAGCATTATAATTTCGGCGTCTGACATTAAATGACACGCTACACTTAATCTTTGGACTTCAGAAGCAGTCAATTCTGAAACATTGGTATTTAATACTTGACCTAGTCCTAATTCTTCAATTAGAACACTCATCTGAAATAAAAACAACATCAATGAAATAATTAATAATAATAATTATAAATCTTAAAAAAAAATTAAAATCATTGTATTTACTTGGTCATTTTGAGATACTTTTGGTATGGCACGGGCAGGAGCTTTCCGCAAATGAGAATAAAATGCAAGAGTTTGTGCTACACTTAGATTAGGAGCCAGTTTAGCTTCAGCTGGTATATATGCAGTTCTATTAGCTAATGTAGAAATAGAAACATTTTGCCCGTTGAGCAATATATGCTGTACATGACATGGATGTCGATTAGCTAAACTGCTAAGTAACGCTTCTCCTTCTCGTTCTAAAATCAAATAATAATTAGATATCAAAATTAACTATTTTTAATGGTGACGAAAAATATGTTTACCAGAAGTCATCATAAACGCCATAACTTCACCAGCTTGAACTTCAAATGAAATTCCTTGAATTTTTGGCCTCTTTCCGTCTGAACTTCCAGGTACTTCTAAACCCCTTACCTAGTTAAAAATTATATTTTAAGTATAATTTTCGATAATTTAGGTTAAAGTAGTTATATTTTCTAAGTTTTACACTTTAGGTCTACTTTAATTATAGTTCTCTTATTTGAAATAATATATTACCTGTAAGTACGGATAAACAATAGACGGTTGTCCATAAATATCTGATCGATTGGGACTTAAATTACTCATCATACTAATACTTCTATCTCTAGGTGTAGTGGCAGTCGTACCGACCACAGCAATGGATGCAGGTCTTCCAGTCGGTAAACGATGTGTACTATTCAAATAAAATTGTAACGATAAAACTTGTTAAAAATTAATTCATAAATAATTTTACCTAAAATGATGAGCAGGATTAGTGTAATGATGAGGGTGATTATAGTTATGGTAATTCATGTCAGACATTGCTCGTAAATCATGCACACTTCGCCGCATTGTCGGCATTTCATTTCTTACGGAATATCCATGAGGTGCTAGCAAGTTAGCTTCACTAATACTCTTTCCTCGACGGCCTGGATGTTGCCTCTGCAAAGTAGGCTGTTAATTCACAAAATATTTTTAGTTAGAATATAAAAAAAAATATATTCGTTGTATAGCTAAAGTTATGTTTCTCTTACACCACCGTGATAGAGCGTATGATTGCAAAAATCTGGGTCACTCCTAGTTCTCGTATAGGGTCTTTGTTGAACTCTAACGGGACCACCACCATCATCACTAGAATCGTAACCACTGGATCCGTCTTTACGACTGTTTGGTGGAAATACTCTTGGAAGTCCAAACTTCAAATATGTGTACATATTCGATCCTAAAGGTGATTTATGCACATCATACTTAGGTCCATAACGAGGATGGCTTAGTATAGATTGTACGGTAGATTCACGCAACTGAAAGTTACCATAGGGAAGCGGAGATTTTTCACTAGAACCCAGGGCGGAATCCGTAAAGTCGGAATTTAAGTTTTGCCTAAAAAGTAATTTTACATAAAACATTTTTCAATTTTTTTAATTTACACCTTGTACCTATAAATACTCCACGCGTGTAAATCTTCAGAAGCAGGTGGCCCCATCGATGTGACAGCATGGTGACTTACATGAGGATCCGTGCCTGCCACGGAATACCGTCTTTCACCCATTTCCCACGATTGACCACCTCCCCCCATAGCGCCACTGCTAAATCGACGTGGTCCTGGCATATCTGTCCTAAAAAAATGATAATAACCGTGAGAAAATCAGAGAATATAATATTAGATCGCTAATAGTAACATTATTGTATAATCTTGTCTCAAGCAATGACAGTTAAACGCAAAATATACACTAAATGTATCCAACATCCTTGACTTCAAGTACAATACCCGTGAATAATAAACCGGTGGCTCATTCATTAAACCAGCATATACTTGACATAAATGATTAGAGAACCGATTCGGAATGCCGGATGTTCGAATTGCAAAACGTCGCTATAATAATAAAACTATAATGTGTCGTTTCGCACAAACAAACTTGAAAAAAATTGAAGAGACCATTGTCATTTAATAGTTAACCATCGCAATGTAAATATTAAAATGATCTTTACAAAATATAAAAATTTTTAAGCAGCTTTAGGGTCCTACGAAATTTGGAATCTGTTTTATGGATCTTATGTGCTTTTGTTAATCAAACAGTGAACATCGAAACAAAAAAAAAAAAAAATGGTGGTACTTATAATACTTTATTTAAAAATTTTATAATAGCATTATCGTATCATTGTGTTGATTACCTTTTGGGCTTATAGGCACACAACTTGTAATCAAATTCAAATTATACTACTACTGTATATGTCATTGCTGGAATGTTTGATGTTTTTTATTCGTTACAGAGTACATCTAAAAAAACCATTAGTTAATTCACTACTATAACTATAATACAGCTATTTTTTTTAATATTGTCTTTATCATAATGCAGACAAAAAAAAAATTCAAACTTATATAGTTAGGTTTGCATCGTTTTCTTGAAAAATTTTATATGCTTTACATTTTTTTTTTTTTTTAATTTATAAGAATTAAAAAATAAAACTATTTCATTTATAGTACAGCTGTAAATATCACAGCTAGAATAATTTTGTATAAATGTTAACATTTTGATTTTATTATCACTCGTGTTATGAAAAACTATTTTGATAGATGAGACAGTGGACTACACAAAATAAAGATAATCTCAATTCTTTATTCAAAGGTAATAGAATAATAGATGATGACGTTAAATGACCGAATAACTATCATGTCTTATCTGGATCAGTAGATTAAATTAGATATATAGAACTACGTTAAGTAACATTTTAAGAACTACTTTTACAAAATAAATAGCTAGTCATAAGTTATTTAAGAATTACAAAATTTCCTTCGCACCAAAGTCAAATTAAACTTATAGAGAACGTGTGTAAACCATAAAGTAATAAATGAAAAATACAATAGGCTCAGATATAAACGCACTTGAACACACACACACACACACATTTATTATAAAGAACACAAGCAATATTAATGAACAAGAGTAATCACAATCGGTGTAACAAGGAATCAAGAATTTTTTTAAAGAGAGAGAAAAAGCTGTGTGCCCTAGTTACTTTTTATTATTTGAAATTAAACGAGTAACTGGTCGTGGCCGCCCGCGGTCCGGAAGCACACATTCGATCAACAAACTATTGTAGTTATATATAAGCATAGAAACTATTTCTATACCATATGATATGTTGTACGCAATCAAACCAAGCAACCTACTCACTACTGGCCAACTAAAAAAAATAATCTCGATCGAAAGCCATTTGCTGTTTATTTCTATTACATCTAACTGTACCATTGTGTGTAAAAATATTTTGTCGTGATTATCATGTTTACGTATGCGTTATGTACAACAACAATTCAACAATAGATATTTAAGAACCATTCAACGGTGACGATAGCTAATATTATACTTATGTAGTGTAATGTCAAATCGAGAGTTATTCTACAAGAACCTGTAGACATAAGAATTTATCAAATTATCGTTAAGTATGTCGATCTGACTAACAACATGCATACCGCACTAACTACAATAAATTTTATAGAACTAAACGAGTTTATCAATACAACGTTTTACCATGTCTTACTTTTAAAATTGAAAATTATTCACATTTGTTTACCAAATTCGTAAATCGTCATTAATTAGGTTATACGCATGATCGGTATTAAAATTCGGCAACATACCAGTAAATTAAATACAGTTAGAAAATAAGATTATCGCATTAAATATTAAAACATGTTTCAACTTTAGGAATGTAGTATTTTTAACCTTATAATTACTAAAAAAAATTGTAAAAAAATGTCTAGGTCTTCATCAGAAAATAAAATTTACTTATATAAATTTAACATTATCCTTTAATCAAAATCTCTTTTTAATAAGAAGTAATAAGTAAAACACCAAAATCCACAAAATCAACCAATTCTACAAATAAGATTAAATAATTATTCATTTGATAAAAAAAAGTTTAAAATGTTTATTTTCGTTACAAAAACAGTTATTTGCATATAAATCAAGTTTACACAATATTAGTTACCTTAAATTTAAAATAATATGTTACTAATGTTATAGTGAAAAATTCACCAATCATTCAAAATGCTATTATAATGAACAAATCAGTAAAAAAATCTAGATATTACGTTATCATGTGGGAAGATTATAAATCAATTTAGTCACCCGACATGAACTGCAGTAGATGTTTCTTGTTAGCACTTGATTTATACTTCAACAGTCACGCTTAGTCAGTCGTCTATGATACGTGACTCGGAAAAAGTAATTTAAGTTTTTTAGCAAATTTTTAACGTCCGCATACGTTTAAACGATAATGGGCTAGTGTGCATCCATATGGAACCCTGTCAAAATCAATCCGAATAATGATTATCTAAAGTACATAAATAGTTTGATTTGTAACAATAGTAATATAATAGAGGCATTATAACAATCCTATTTTTGTATTCGTATTATGTGTCTAATGTCAAATAAATTATGCGGTTAGTGACAGTGACGAGCTTATAAACTTATTAACCGACTAATATCATGTAATTATTCACTCATTTAAAAAACTCAATAAAAATAAAGTGAAAAAAAATGGTAAATTTTCAATTTAATTTTAATCAAAGTTTAAGTTGTAATGGAATGTATAAGAAATAACGATTCTATTACTAGAGAACAAAAAAGTTTTAAATTCTTATGACCAAAAAAAAAAGAGTTTTACTTAAAATAGTTCTTTATAAATTAAGGAAAACAGAAAAATCAAATAAAAAGGGAAAATAGAATACAAGAATATCTATAAGTTATTATTGAGGAACAGTTTTCTTAGGAGAAAGAAAAATTTCAGGAGTAAAATATTAGATAAAATATTTTATCACTATCAATAATGTTTTATTATTATTTTTATTTTATTAGCGACTATAATTTTTTCTTATAATCTATTAGTCCAATTTGATTTTGAAATTATGTAAAATCCTATCAACTAAGAATATTAACCTGCCTTCTTATATCAACACATCCATCACGACTTAGAAATCTTAAAATAACCGGGTACAAAATAATTTTTAAATACAGAGTGATTCATTTATCACGAAACATATAATTAATAAAAAATTTAAATAATATTGAGAATTTTTTATTTGGTTTCTTTTGGATCACGTTTATCTCAAATTTTAAGACTGACGATAATGACAACTAGAGTACCAGTATATCTGAAGTTATTGATATTTTTATATGTAAACGAAAGGTTAGGTACAGTCGCAAATTGACTGGTGATACAAATAAGCTACAACATTTTATAATGATGACTGAAGGTGAAATGTGAGGTTATTATTTGTATCACCAGTCATTGTCAATTAGATTATATATGCTAATTAATTATGTGTGTTGACATTTGAGAAATTAAAATTGACACTATTATAAAGTACAAGCGATTAACATAATAATTACTTGGTGATTAATACATTGAGATAAACATGACCTAAAAGAAACCAAATAAAAAAAATCTGAATATTATTTTTATTTTTTTATTAATTAAGTGGTTCATAATAAATGAACCATTTTGTATACAATTATTATATAAAATCACTCTGTAGATGATTTAAATCTATGAATCACGAATTTTAATATGGAAGCAAAGGACATTAGATTAAAATGGGCTGTTGTGTTTCTAGATTATATCGTCACTGTAATCCTATGTATTTTTTAATACAGTTTGCGTTTATCACAGTGTATGAATAAATCAGTGCATTAAATGATTAAAAAGCTATTAAGATTACAACAAATGTACAGAATATAATTTTTTCTTAAGACTCATTGGATAATTGTTTTAGATAATCGAATGAATTTTATTTTGTGATTATTAAAATGACAATAAGTCATAAGATTTATTTTTAGAAAATAATGCATTTAAAGTATTTAACTCACGACCCACATCTTTAAATAATCGATTATAACGTGACGTAGTTGATCATGATGATAATTTTCATTTAATACTGTGAAACTGTATCTATTCGGTCAAGTTTAAGCCGATGACACAGTGATATTTCCATCGTCGTTACAAGCAAGAGAATGACTCGGTGATCTTGGCCGGACCATGCTGCACTAAAGGTTAGTTGCACATCAAACCGGTATTTCGAGAAGTCACAATTCTGTCGTTATCACTAAAAATAAACGGTACATCCGAAATTCATCTTCATATCCTGGTCAAGGGAAAAAATTATAATTATTTAACAGCTAAACTCGTCGTCGAAACACACATGCAGGTTATTCATTGAAGATTTCTCCTAGACTTTAGGGTCTGATGAGCGCCAGATGACCAGAAATCCTATTGTGGACTTACAAAATCGGCTGTTTGCTTTTGTGTGTTGAGTAATAATGCTCTGATTGTTATGCGCAATGACGGTTCAATGATTTATGTTCGTTTCAAACGTGATGTAAGATCAAGACTCTAGTAATACACGAGCTTTTTCGTTGTAATTGCGCACATGAAAACAATGTATAATAAATACTGTTTTACACACAGAGAATTCACCAGCATGTGACGACCGATGATTAATGACGCGTGCCTATTACTTAATCTATTCGAAGAAGGTTTTGTTCGTGATTATAGAACAGTATTTAAAACCCGAGATGTTTACGTTCAATGATTAAAAATAAAAGAAAACTAATAACACTCTTGCAATCGGACTAATATAAAGCCTAATGTAAAACAAATCATAATATAAATTGCTTTACCTCCTACAACAACTTGGTTTATTATACTTTTACGTACGAAGATTTTATTCTACCATGAAGATAAATAAATCGAGGTGTTTAAATATCATTTTTGCTGCAGCTGCCATACATTACACGGCTTTCGCTGTAATCGACTTGAATTGAAAGTGTTAAAAGTGTGAGGCGGAGATAGATGGACCTATAGATAACAACACTGCATAATATTTAATACAGTTATTGTATTATTATTGGGTATCTTATACACGCACATAGTAAAGTAAATCTATTTTATGTTTAATAGTTCACGCGTGGCGAGGCCTTGTAATTTTTTGTTTTTCACTTTTCAAAAAGCAATTACACATTTCTTGGAGCAATTTCTCTAAAGGTATTTGCGAGGAATTTACGTCGCGTTTAGAAGAATAATTATTTCCAATTGCTCTGGTCTCGTGCGAGACATTCCTACTTGGAAATCAGATCTGTTGCTGTCGTACAAGTCCTGTGATTTATATTTTATCATGAAAATAACAATAAGTTGAAGCTATATTCAAGAAACTCATTAAACGACAATTTAAATAAATACAATAATGATTCTATGCGCAACAGTGGAGGTAAATGGGCATTATAAAGACACGAGTCCATTGGAAAACGTATAGAGTTACATGACAGCCCGTTGTGATGTTATGGTCAATGCGGAATTCGCATCTTAACAGCAACGGGACTCATAAAAATATCATTATCAAGCGCAGACGACGATAAGGCCAACAAGAAAACAACGATCGAAATTACTGTGTCGCGTTATTCGTTGAACACCTATGGAACACAATAAATAATAGCGAAGCATGTACAACACAGGCTTGGAGATCATATTTTTACATTCAATGTGGAGGTCGTCCACCTCTATGATCAATGGTTCGCGGTCTCCACGATGTTTCTCGTCGAATTTTCGATATTGTGTTTGGAAAAACGTGATCTTTGAACCAGAAACATCATCGGTTGATATGGGCCAAATAGGTACAAGTCAAACGATGATGCAAATCCCGTCATTGTTTCTTGGACATCTATTTCCACCTTTGAAATCTCTTTAACGCTACCGCCAAATATACGCGTTAAAACTGTCCAGTGGTCGTCGTATTAGTCCCCAAAATTACTTCTTCTAATTTATGTGTAGTGTGAGAAAATGATTAGGAGTCATACTCGCGTTTGTTCTATTTAACGCGAATCTCGCGGTAAAATATTAAAAACGTACACACAAAAAGTACCGTTTTTCATAATCAGCATCATCTTCGGTACACATTGTAAAATACAGCCGTAGCCGTCATTATATTATATTGTTGACTATGTGTATTCGCACGCTATGTATGCCCTAATAACATCATATAACATTATAGTGTCCTGCGAATCTCTCCCACTAAAATCGTCTTGGAATTTCTAAGGCTGACCGTTCTCAAGACAAATTAGTGAACACAACGATTTTTTGTTCATTGGCCATCTCGTTAATGAACGTTCGGTGATGGCCTTTTTTCGGGACATTAGTTCAAGTAAATAATTAGATCCTGGGAATGAGATTGATTTCAATTACCCTATAACTAAAACTATATTTCATTGCAGAGCTTTCTAATTTCGGTCTTGTTGACGTTGTTACGATTAACGGTTTTTTATTTTAACATCTATTCTAGTCAATTAGAATTCGATAAAAAAAACACTGTTTTCATTAATACGTCGCGATTATACGCAAAAATCAAATAGCATGTTAATATTATTTATGAGTACGAGTATATATTAACATATTAATTCACGGCAACATTCACTGCGATCAGTATCATCACTAAACAACCGACTTGTTGCATTGATGCGACATTCTCGTACGCTGTTGATCGTTTATTGACCTGCGATCAAAAAACCATTCGCGAACAACCTTACTTAATTTATAATCGTAATTACATTTTTGAAACTAGAAAAATGATTAACCATGTATAGAAGCGACACAACTAAAGAGAAGAAAAATAAATTCCATTCGGTTTCTCATCCTTCCAGGTAATAATGCCGATCGACAGAGAAGGAATAACGAACACGGATTTTTGAAAAAACTACATTATTTTTACAAATAAACAATTTTTGAATCATTTATTTGTGCATTTTCTTTTTGTTGGCCTAGACAAATTACATGCCGGTAAATAGACAAACGTTGTTTTGTGTGTGAGCGTTATTAATTTAAATTTAAGCGAATCGAGTACGCTCTCGTTTCATGGGAAAATAATATGTATACCATCGTAAACTGAAATTGAAAACAATAAGAGCACACCGGGTCGTAGCATCAATGAACAAAGAAGTCAATCATCGCTGGATGCTTGTGTACAAACTACTAATTTAGATTTTTATCGAAGTTAATTGAAATCCATTTTTATAGCACGTCGACACGCGACTGAACTAAGCTACTCAATTTTTACTATGATAATTATTTTGTTTTGTCGAGTATCAAGTTTCACTTTTACTGATATGAACAGCTCTAATCTAATTGTTTATTGACATTTATAATATTTAATTCCAAATAAAGTTTATTTAAGTAAAACTCGCTGCATTTGAACAGTGATTTTTTTTTTAACGTCCCATTACATTAAAATCTTATTTTTTCTACTCTTTTTAAATCAAATAACTTAGTATAACAGTTAACAATTAATAAAATAATCAATGAGTCTGGATAGAACCAATTCAATTCGAAGTTGTTTAAATGTACCATCTAATTGTCAACTTGTCGACCATTTATGTAATATCCGTAATAATGCTGATACTTATTTATTCTGCTTCTTTATTTTATACAAATATAATATAATTACACCTTCAACTGGGTAAGTCTGCACATACCGGATGCACAATGCGTACCAAATTCCTTTGAGATACTGTACGCTGCTTTTAACTTCTGTGTAAGCACGTGCTCACTCGTGCATTTCTGAATAACATTACACTAAGAAATTATCTATGTGTAATATAATTTAAAAAACATTTTAGTATTTAAGTATGCATAATCATAATAATAAAGTTATATTGAACAAATATAAATATTGCTATTTTTTTTATTCGTCTACAATTCTGTATAAACCCGTGACGCGTTAAATAAGTACACTGTTAGTACGCAAATAAAAATACCGTTCTACCAATTTGGTCTGTGGCCCGCCGACTATAATAGCTTTATGCAAAAATAAAAAGTCAATTATTTGTATCATAGTAAAAGTCACTCAGTAAAATAAAAATGTTAACTTTGGATTTTCCCAGTCTAAATATCATATATCACCACTTCTCCATGTTTTATGAATTCAAAGGAGTTATATAATCAAAATCTATATTTATAAGATTTCGTAATTATTCAGTTATATATTCTATATTTTTTAAGAACGCGAATTCATAAATACAGTTATGATAAAAAGCCACACAATAATGCATAACTTAATCATATATCAACGCTACAAAAATATAAACAAATGTAACACTAGCTATTTAAAATTCGTTAAGGGTTTTATCTTAAGAGTGTGCATAAGAATTTTTTTTATTATCCCTTCAAAATATATCTTCACCATGAAGATGTATATATAAATATATATAATGAACACTTCACCATATATTTAATTTCATCATGAGGGAGGTTGTATCACAAATATACGTTCCTCGTGAGAACACTTATTCTCTCTGAATATGTTTACTAAAATCGTAATATATTTCATTACATTGGATGCCAAGTAGAAAAATCATAAACTTATTTTCATTTTACTTTTACTGTTTAAATCTTGAGCGTCTCAAACTTGATCATAAAGCATCGTTAAACGATAATATGAAAACAACTGTTTCGATATTAACGATTTTGCAATTGCTCTCCATTGTATGTCAATTACAGTGCAAATAAGGCACATATAATCGTTAATCAATGAAGTAACATGTGTATCATTATCATGTAAAAGAACCATGGAATATTTTTCCTCAGTCGTATATGAGTATAAAAAAAATAATTGCTATTGTGACACGAATTAATGCAATTTCAACACATGATTACAATATGTAGTAATATTTGCTAGCAAAGAAAGCAAAACTCTTTTATCTCAACTTAAATGAACAAAATCGCGTCAAATAAATCAATCAAGTTGCTTATTTCAGGTAAATCTATGTTCACGAGTTTCGTTTTACTTCAAGCTAGAAGGCGTTACTTTGTTAAGAGCATTGCAATCAATCGTGCTAAATGTTTTATCACTAAAAATTATTTAACTTAAGTTTTTATTGCTATAATGACTTTATTTGACGCCGTCTTACCGACATGGTAAAGAAACAATAGCTGTAAATCATAAAAAATATTTAAAGAAAATACTATTAATTTACTTCAACAACCTAAATTTTTATTGAAAATTATTTCCATACCTTGGTGTTCTACTATAAATTATTATATAATGTTAACGATTGCCAATTTATATATATATATATATATAACGTACAGCACGAGTAACTAAACCAAGATCAATGATTTTCATTTACATAAACTTATCTGTAGTAAAAATTTTATAATATGCAAATCAAAACAATTTTATTCGTAATATGTAATAATCAATAATGACAGTTTGAATGCTTTAAAAATATATTATAGATCTACTTAAGTTAAAATGAATGAAAATATTTCTATGTTTACACTAACAAACCTCGCATTTTGAGAATAGAAATAAGTACTAAACCCGTCCCTTTAATTATACATTATGGTTAATAATTGTGTACTATGGATTTCATTAATTGACAGTAACTTAAAACACGTTGTTGATAAAAACGTTTGAACCTCATTATTATTAGAGAAAATCCATCGCATACATGCCAATGAAAACAAGTAATTGAAAATAAATTATGATTTTTCAATGAAATCTACATTGCATCAATTAACTATTCGTTAATTGATTATCATTATCTTCGTATAAGTGACTATTAAAAATAATTAAATAAGCCGTACAATACGTTAATATTTCATTTTTATCGAAAGTATATAAATCAGAACAATAATCAAAATTTACATAAGTTAAATAAATCACTGTCGCAGTTTAAATAACTACGACACTAAGTTGAGCTACTTAAACCTAAGTTAAAACCCTGCAGAGTATTCTTTCCCTCAAATCCTAACATGGGTTGTAATTATGAGCTTTAAGTAGTTCTAATATGCATTGCCAATCCTTTATTGCATACCTAATGAGTTACGTGCGTTCATGTCCATATTTTTTATTCTACACAATATTCTTCAACATTATTTTAACGTCATCCTACGAAGATTAATTCATTGCTAAAAGCTTGAAAAATAATTTTCAGGGGATTATATTTGTTGAACAAAAAGAATTTCATCAATTTGTTTTATTAGTAGTCACTTAACCCACGTTGAACAACAAAATTATACAAACAATGGTATTATAATACTTCCTGTGGTTGATAAGTCAGTCGGCATCTAAAGTATGGGGTACCCATTATCGTGCCCCTTGCTAAGTTTAGAGGTCAACATGTTGCATTCTTCCCGGACTGGTCACAGTTTTTATTTTAGGTATTTTGTTACTACCCACATAAAAAAACAATATGGATTTTACGCAAACGACATGGTACGCCATACGTAAACCGCACCTCTCAGAAATTGCTATTCACGTTATATTGCAGAGCATAAGCGTGTCAACAATTTTAAAAAATTACGTTTAACTTACCTCGGTACTTTTGAAATGTTCAATTAACGTTTCATATTAGCTATCCTCTTTAAATTATCTAAAAAATAATCACTGCAAAACCGACATTTTCCCGAGCTTAATATTTCTCCTCGGTATTTTTTACCGACCGTTGGACAAAAGGCGCACTTATTTGCCGGCACCACCGACAACCGTAAACGAGATTAACGTACGGGGAACACCGACGACGGTTGATGTGTACTGTGGCTGTGTGTGAAATCGTCCGAGACACCTGTAAACGAGCAGAGCCAGCAGGTATACTTAAGAGGGTGACGCACGGTTGTCAGGTACGCGGTGGTGGTGACTGGCAAGGCAGCCAACTAAACCGGTCCTTCACCTTTAAAACGGATTGTGTCGGAAAACAGCAGAACTCGGTTGGCTACAGTGGCATCGACCTTCCATACAAATACACGCAATGAACTCAATGTACAGAAGGTTTCGGTCCAGCAGTTCTTGTTCTGCACGACACGGGAAACACGTAACTGTTGTTATTGCTAGGTACCACAGTCACTGCAGTTGCGATGAAACCGTCCAAAATGATTGGCGGCGACTACTCTTTAGAGCTGAACAATATATTCCACACTGGCCAAGTAGAACCAGTTTCCTGTTTTCAAAGATTGTTTGGATCTATCCAGACTGGGCTCATACTTAAAGACATCACTTTTGAAGTCAGAGCTGGTGAAGTGATGGCTGTTCTAGGATCTAAAGGTACGTTCACGCTACAATTGTCACTTCTTTTGGAGACAAAAAAACCTTTTACTTAAATTTTAACAACGAATAAATTCCTAGAAAACTATTAATCATTAAAATCAAATTATAACTATCCGGAGACCTTGTTCTTTAAATTTTAACATTTATTGAAATAGGTAATTTTTAAAAATACTTCCAATATCAAAGAACGACTGCCGATTGTTATTACTAGCATAACAAGTAATTTAATTTAAATTTAATTGATTAACAAAAAATTGTTTTAATTCTATTGTTACATTTTAAATTAAATTTTTAAGTTAGAATGAATATTTTGTAAAATTAAATTAAATTTAAATCCATCAGAATATAGGCGCGCTCTCAAGAGAAATATTTCGGTTATTTTCAAATAAAGATTTATTTATCATCTATAAAAGAGCGGTACAAAAGTTTTTAATCCTCAAAATATTTTTTCCGGGATAATTTTGTTAATTTTACTCCATTTATACTTTTTAAGCTTACGATAAAAATCTAGTAAGACTATAGAGACGAAGTGTTTTTAGACCATTGGGGCGAGGAGTTTTATTTTCATCATATCGGATGATATTCTACAAAACCATGTATGATTAGATAAAAAATTTTGAAGATCAGAGACTAGATTTATTTATCACAATACACATCTTAATTCGAATATTTAAGATTGTCTGCATAATTTTACCTTTTTAAACAGGTCAGTAAAAAATTCTAGTGGAAAACAAATGATATAAATATAGTAGTAGCACTGTATATAAACACAGGCCGTAGCTTAACTGTATTACATTACTAATAAGTCTATACAGTTTGATTTTAATTAGGTAGTGGTAAAAGAGCTCTCCTGGAAGTGATAGCAAGAAGAAGCAAAGGTGTATCTCGAGGACAGATTTTACTAGATGGTCGACCGTTGACTCAAGCCATGTTTAATCAGTGTTGTGCTTATGTTGGTCATCGTGCCGATTTGTTACCATCTCTTTCGGTTCAACAGACTTTACATTATGCAGCAAACTTATCCATTGGCTCACAAGTAAGCGATTACGTAAAAGACTCAAGAGTGAGACAAGTTTTAGCAGATTTAGCACTCAGTCAAGTAGCGAGGCGTAGTGTAGAAGCTTTAACCGAGGGCGAGTATAGGAGACTTGTGATAGGAACACAACTAGTTAAAGATCCAGGTGAGAATTTCGATTTAATTTTTTCTATGGAAATAAATGGAATCGGTTTTGTAATTATGAAATGTTTACTATAGTATTATTACTTTTGGATGAACCGACGGCTGGATTAGATCCTTTGACAACATACTTGATAGTATCTATGGTCAGTAGTCATGCAAAACGTAGAGGCCGAGCTGTAGTGCTTACTATGGAAAAACCGCGTTCCGACGTATTCCCATTCCTTGAACGTGTTGCTTACTTGTGTTTAGGCGATTTGGTATATGCTGGCCCTACAAGAATGATGTTGGATTACTTTAGAGCAGTTGGATTCCCTTGTCCGGAAATGGAAAATCCACTTATGTACTATTGTAAGTATCAATTTCTTTTACTAATAAAAAATAAGTATAAAATGAATACATTTTTTTTAATTTACTTGCTCTATAAAATATATAAGAACTTATTAATTTTAAATCGTGATATTGTAACTTCATCAGTGAATGAACAGTTAAGAGTTTTTTCCTTTTAAAGCTATGTAACATACAGGTTTTATAGCCATATGTTACGAACTTATAATAAGGCTAATTTTGATAGTGAATCTAAACTTTGAACGTTCTATTTCGGTTTTTAAACATTTTTATATTGAATTATAAATGTCAAATGTTTTATTTAATAAAACATTTTTTTTTTTATACTAGTTTATATTTACATTTATATATTAAGTCTTTATTTTTATAATTGTGTACACTCTATTTTGCCCATATAATCATTAAAAAATGTAAATTAAAATAAGATTTCTTCTTGGTAGACATTAATAACGTAAATTGTAAGAATACAGAATTTACAAATTGGCATGCAAATAAACATTAAATATGTTCACAGAAGAACATAGCAAAGTCGTTCCTAGAAGGGATGTAAAAGTATCACTCCTCGACATTAATAGAGATGCTACCTAAAAAAAACCCAGCACAGGGGGGTCCCCGGCACAGTGATGACGTGGAATAGTTAGATCAAGTATAATGATATTTGACAATTATTAAAATCACTATCATAAAAAATGCTTTGATAGGAATCTTTAGATGATAGTGTTTAATTTAAAAAAAATGGTGGATTATCCGAAAGCTACATGATCTGTTATTTCCTTATTTATATCCTGATTAAAATAAAGTATGTCGAATGAAAAAGAGATACAAATACTACTTCTCATGAAAAAATTGTGTTAATCCATACACTTTTCAAAAAGTTATAGCATTATAAAGTTAAAAATGTAAAAAATAAAATCAAGAATTTTCACACAAAAATAGCATTTGGTAGCCATTTTCACCTCGAAGACAAAATAAAGTCCGAAATTTTTTTTTTTTCATAATAAAGTACATTACATTAGCTTTAATTTAAGATATATATAAAATGTCAGACTTTCCGGAACACTTTCAAAAGTTAAGTTGAAAAAGTAAATTTTTTGTGAAAAAGTTGTCATTTTAAACCCCCTCCTATGGGCAGGTAAAGGGTCAGATTTATAAAAAAATATATACCAAATGATAGGTAAAGACATGAAGTATCTACAAAAAAAATTATATTGATTTGTTCATTTTTGACAAAATTATGGCAGTGTTAAGAAAAAAAAATTGAAAAAATGAGCGATTTTTAAATTTATGATTTTTTTGGAGGTTTCTCCCATTTACAGGAAACGAGGGAAATTTTTTCAATTTTTGAGGGTAATGTCTTCGACTAGATACGATTTGTGATCTTTTGACATATCGTTGAAAGAAATCGGTTCGGTGAGAACTGAGAAAAAGTGTTAACAGACACACAAAAAAAAAAAAAGACATCATAGTAAAACCATTACCTTTTCGGCTTCGCATCGAAATTAAAAATAATTTAAAAAAGATCACGCACTTTTAAAAAAACAGTACAGTTGGTACCCAGCATAGTAGAGATCTAGCATCATACACTCTAGTTTAGATTGATATCTAACAATAATTTACATCACTATCTTAAACGCTTTCATGCGAATAGATTATAATTTCTCTCCGGAACTGTTATTTAAATATTAATTTTGAAAAATGTTAGCCACAAATAATCAGTTCTTATAATATAAAAATTTGTATTTTTTTTTTATCAGTGAATTTTACCTAGTATACTATAGATTAGTTTGCTTTTTTCTAAATCATTAAGTACGTTAAAAATGCTTCAATTTAATATAACTTAAAAGTTATTAGACGTTTCAGAACATTTCTTTCATACATTTTCTGTACTTTCACTTGGATTTTTAAAAAAATATCATATGAAAGATAATTGTCTATAGTATAACAGATAATAATATTATTATTCAGACTTTTTAAAAAAAGCTATATTAATTATAAATTGCGGAAAAAAATGCAAATAGACCGCCTTCATCGATACTAATTTTTTGAGATATTTTCATAATAAAAAGTATTCAGGTTAATAGTCAATTACTGAAAGCAACTAGATATAATTATGATTCTTTTTACTAACAAATCAGTAGATCGGTCTAATAAAAGTTGATTATTTATTGGTAGACATATGATATCTTCTCATTTTCAAAGCTAAAGAAAAATATTATTTTATTTTTATGCCATCTCTCATCGTATTATTTAATATTTCAATACCTGCCTGAATCCAAAAATTATTTAAACAATTTTTAAAAAAATAAATAATAAATTGCCTATAGCGGCATATTTTAAGGGGCGGCAAATATTGAAGGCCAACAAATTTATTTAAAGCTAATTATTTTTTTTATTGTTGTTAAGACATATTGACTTCCTAATAATTATCATAATCGTTTTCATTTATTGTGTATTTATGATATGTATATTAATAGCTACAAGTAATTTATTTTGTGATTTATTAATAAACATAGAATTGCTTGAAAAATATTTTTAAATACTATTTTTTTTTTTTCTGAGGAAGAATTAGTAATGTTATGGCGAAAATATATAAAAATGAGCCCCCTCCGTCATAACATAATGACTGGCGGCAAATTTTTAAGTATCTATAGGCAGAAAATATGTAAATACGCCCCTAATTACTACAACTAAAGATTTTTTTCATGACTTTATACAATAATTCATTATTGGCTATTACAATTACATATTTTCTTAAACGCGTTTCGGCATTTCCATTAAGTTACGTTTACGGGCATAATCGTTACAAACTTTTCTTGAGAAATTAATTCAATTTTTTCTAAATACATATTTTTTAAATGCTTATTTCAATATTTTGTATGCAATATTATTCCTTATTATTTACATATGAAAAAAATCTTGCAATCTAAGATATACATAAGAACATTTATTACTGTCCTCTTCGAATTGTTTACCAATCATATGAAATATCACGTATAATTCCAAAAATACCTTTAACCTTTTAATCGCGGAACCTCAAACAACTACATTTATGAATAGTTTTCCGCCATGCCTGATCTCAATTCATATGCATTTATTCACCAAATAAATTCGTGATACAGTTTAAAATAATATGCCCTTTTTTACTTTAATTAAACTTTTGTTAGCCAAAATAAGATCAGCTTTCTACAAAATTTAACTTCCCTCAAATTTTATGGTTCAGATTCCCTATTTCTAGGGGATGGGATCCAGTACAAATGTACCAAACGTCATTCCATAAATATCATTTATGCATTTGTATAAACATAATATATTAAAGTAACAAGATGTCATGACTATTTCAGATCGCTCAGAAAACAGTTTTACAAATTTTCAAAATTAATAAGTTTTTCTTGTTTATTTAGGTTTATAGCTTTTTTTAATTTAAGACTATTTATAAACAAGTCAAAAACTAAATTACTTTTTAGAATATATTAAAATGCAATTGACATTGCATTTTATGAAATAAAAGTGCTATTTAATAATAACTTTACTCAATTGATATCCAGTATGTTTGTCAACGGTCGATCGACGATCCAGAGAAAGATTTGTCGAGTCTAACGCACAGATTGTAGCATTAGTAGAAAAATTTAAAATGGAAGGAGCACCATACAGAAAGTCATCAGCCATGTCGGTTCTCTTGGGATCGCCACCGTCTGAACACCAGTTAAATTCCCATCCATATCCATATTCAGCTCAGGATTCTTCGACTACACAAATAGGCATGACATTGTACCAGTAAGCAATATTGCCATTTTTTATATATAATTTGAGTAATCTCAAATTTTTAAATGTTTTAATGTCTTCTGTTGCCGGCAGCAGAAAATAGTCAAAATAATGGTAGTCATTTATTTGATAACGCTGATTCCTTCATCACTTTTTGTATTACTTATTTTAGAGAATATAAACAAATAACCATGTTAGATTATTATCTTAGTTTTCTTAAGACCAAGATTTAGAAAGAGCGCATTCGTGTCAATACATGAATAAATACATTCAACTTTCTCAGTATAAATTATAATGTGAATTAATTCATTTTAAATAAAAATGTAAATTGAAACCGAATGCCAAAATTCATTTGTTAACTAATTATAATAATATTATATTTTAAATTTAGATCAAGATTTTTTATATTTATTATTTTCACTCCAAATATCTTATATGGTGATTTATTTTCTATAATCAGCTCAACTTTTACAAAATAAAATTCAAATTTAGATTTCTTTTTTTGATTTTTATTAGATATTAAGTGAGGTGGAGAAAATGTGTACGCTATCTTTTTACTTAAATGGTCATAAAATGATTTGAGTAACATTTCTGTGTTAAATAATTATCTTATATAACATCAAAATTATTAGTGTTTAATTTTAAAAAATTGATGTCTGTTTTCACCATGAAGATAAAATAAAGTCCAAAATTAGCTTTAATTTAAGATATATATAAAAGTGTCAGACTTTCACTTTCAAAAGTTAAGTTGAAAAAGTTCTACTTTCTATATGCATTTTTTAGATTTTAACCCCCCTCGTATATAGGGAAATGGTCCAATTTAAAAAAACAGTATATCGAATGAAAGATGTATATAAATACTACTTCTCATGAAAAAATTTATAGCATAATAAAGTTAAAAATGTAAAATACAAAATCAAGAAATTTCACACAAAAATAGTATTCGGTAGCCATTTTCACAATGAAGATAAAATAAAGTCCGAATTTTTTTTTCCATGATAAAGTATATTACTATATATATTAGATTTAATTTAAGATATATATAAAAGTGTCAGACTTTCCAGAACATTTTCAAAATTCAAGTTGAAAAAGTTAATTTTTTGTGAAAAAGTTGTCATTTTAAATCCCCCCCCTATGGGCAGGTAAAAGGTCAGATTTAAAAAAAATTATATTGATTTGGTTATTTTTAAAAAAGTTATGGCAATTTTAAGTAAAAAAATTTGAAAAAATTTCGAAAATTAGCGATTTTTAAATTTGTAATTCTTTTGGAAGTTTCTCCCATTTACGGGGAACGAGGGAAATTTTTTCAATTTTTGAGAGTAATGTCTTCGACTAGATACGATTTGTGATCTTTTGACGTACATTGAAAGAAATCGTTTTTGTGAAAGCTGAGAAAAAGTGGTAACAGACACAAAAAAAAAAAAAAAGACATCATAGTAAAACCATTACCTTTTCGGCTTCGCATCGAAATTAAAAATAATTTAAAAAAGATCAGGCACTTTTAAAAAAACAGTACAGTTGGTACCCAGCATAGTAGAGATCTAGCATCATACGCTCTAGTTTAGATTGATATCTAACAATAATTTACATCACTACTATTCAACTATTTAAGTTTTAAAAATGTAATAGTTATATACTTTTTCATAGGCGTCAATTTGCATCTACCTTTGGATGTTCATGGAAAGCACTTTTTTATTTAGCTGCTCGACTATTAGCTTTACCAATAGCGTTCTTACTTGTTTGGATATTTTTCCGAAATGTTAAAGTAAAATAATAGAAAAATTTAACATATGAAGTATCTTTAATCGTAAAAGTTATTATCTATGTTTTAGGATTATCAATCAACGTTTACGTCAAGATCCGGATTGTTACTTACTTGTATTCTAACTACATATTTAACTTCGGTTTTCACTGCCGCTTACACATGTAAGTCACTATTAATAAATATTATTTTTTATTTTTTCTTGTTATCAGAGAAGTAAATGTAAGTATTATAAAATCAAAGACATTGTAATTCGAATAAAATTAATAATTTTAACTTAAATAAATTATTAAATCGATGCATCTTGTAATTATTATTTTTTAATAATTATAAGATGCATTAAATCTTTGGTTAAAAATATATAATATAACTCTTTAAATTATGGTATGATTTAAAATTATAATTTGACATGGCATCGGATAATAAAATTATAGGAACTATTTTTTAATATAATTTAATGGTAATATGTAATTGAAAATTAATTTTCATTTCGAATGTTAAAAATTTTAATTTTGAAATATCGAATACTTGCATACATCCTAACAATTTATTAGTTTACCTTATAGAAATTATAATCTTCCTAACTTTTTTAGGGTAGTATTACGATTTAGTATATAATTTTAGTATATAATAATATAGAGTGAGATTATTTGAGGGGGTAAGGATTTTAGTATATAGCTAGAGATAGTCGAAATTAATATATATATATATTTTCAATTAGTTAACTATATATTGAATCAAAGGTGTACTTATTAAGGGTGATAAATGTTAAAATCTTTATAATGATAAAAATATACATGTTGAAAATGAAATCTTATTGGATAGACAAATTATCTTACCTACTTCCACTTTTTCTACACTTCTGTTTTATATATTACATTAATTAAAACAAAAATAAGATCATTTGCCAACTTAATTTAAAATTAAAATCAAATTAGTGTTAATTTTTATCTTTTAGATGCTCCACACAGAACCAGATATTACCAAGAAAATCAAGATGGTACTTATAATGGGCCTTTGTTCTTAATCAGTTATTTTACTTTTTCCTTACCTTTGGCTCTTATAACAGTCACGGGCTCATCAACTATTATGTATCAGTGAGTAGTTATTAAAACAAAAACTTGAATTATGTCCAGATTATTCATATTTAAGACCTGTAACAAGATTTTATTAGACCTCCGCCAAGAAAAGCTTTTTTTAAAAAACTGTAAACAATGTTTTTGTTATAACAAATAAAAACTGTTTGTGATTAATAAAATTAATAATAATATAACTTTTAATTTTTTTAAGTTATATTACCTATTAGATGAAATACAAACTAGGTTTTCTTTTTATGTAGGATCCTATCACTTGTGGGCCCAGAAGCCATTACTTTACCTCCCTTAATCTGGACATGATTTGAATAGAAGGTCATACAATTATAATATTGTATATATCTATTTACAAACATATAATTATAATACTATTATTAACAGACTTATGAAATTCAACAATTGGATGGAGTTCAGTTTGTTTGTAGCTGTGCTCTTGAGTTGCTATCTTTTTGCTGAACAACTTGTTATCTCTGTAATGGCTGTGTCAAAGAATGCTTATAACACCAGTGTATTTTGCATATACTTCTTGGCTATATTAACTATGTTAGGAAGTGGCATGCTTAGGTAATCAAATATTATTGATGTGTTTCTATAACTATTAAGATCTCAATAAAATAATATTATTATTTTTAATTTGTTACAGGTCTTATCGTGGCATTTCTGATTGGTTAATATGGTTTACATATGCTACACAAACTAGATATGTTGGAGCATATTTGACATCACAAGCTTTCTATAGCCGTAAACAATATATAGGTTTACCTCAAAATGCAATACAAAATTGTTCTATACCAGCTGCTGATATTTTTGTTTGTCGATATCTTGATGGTGATTCTTATGTAAATGAAAGATATCCATCTGCTATAATAGATGCACAAATTAATTTGATTGCTAGTTTTGTTTTTCCACTTACAGCAATGATATTCAATATTTTGCTTTATGTATCACCTCTTCCATCATTTATTAAAGCAAAATTTAGAGAGTAAAGTGCAACAACTATTTTACTTAAATGAGTGACATCATGAAATTTAATAGAATTTTTTGTAACGTCATTGTTATTTGGATATGTCTATGGGACATCAAACAACTATTAGCCTGAAAGATCCTAGTCATCAAATAAGTGTTAAATAAGATTGATTAGCTTTAATCTAAAATAAATAAACCAGATAAAAATCATTCAAAATTTATATAAAAATTAGAATTTTTAATAATTGTTTGTTATAAAACGATCTCAATCAATAATATAAAAAAGATGCACAGAATTGTGCAAAAGTTTAGACAAGGTAAATATTTTGAGAAAATAAATCTTATTTCCTCATACTAAAAAATATTTTAGTATTATTAATCATGAGTTTCATTTCATTTTTTTTTTTTTTAGTTAACTTAATAGGCTAAAATATTCATCTTGCACTTAAATATAGTTGTATAATAGTTTATAATTAAAATAACAACTGACTAATGTGCTCTTTTAATTAAAATTTTTTGATTTCTTTCAAAAATGATTTTAATTTATTCTTGAATAAAATCTCCTAATGAATATAATTGTTAATGTATAGTAATTATTACTTTATAAATATATATATTTTTCTTGTATAAAAATTATAAATATTTTTTATGAAATGACAAAAACTGTTAATTAATACTTAAATATTAATAAATTTGTCACAATATCTTAGTTTAAAAGTACATTTTAATATTAGTATAGTTTCATTAATTTGTTTTTTTTTCATTTAATATATAAATATATTATTATTATCATTTTTATAGTAATAAAAAAATGAGTTACAATTAAAACATAATTTAATACTTTCTATAATCAATTTTTTTCTATTATTCTTATAAATAATGATTGGAAGAGTCATATACTGCTTGTTTACGATGTCTAGAAACAATTGATTTACAGTCATTTGTAATTTCTGACGATCTTCTTTTATTTTCTGTCTCAGCTTCCATAATTACTTCAAGTTCACTGTCATTTCCGTGAACTTTTTCAACTTCATCTGTACTCATGCAATCTGTATTAGAAGTTTCTAATGGGCTGAGCCTTCCAATGATAGCTGCTGGTTCTTCAAATAACTAAAAAATAACAATAAAAGTTTAAATTAAGTGTAAAAATTATTTTTTGCAAAAATATTATGGATTTTATTGGTTTATAATTGTAAAAACTTTACCTCTCTAAAAGGTGCATCTAAAAACAACTCGTGCATATAACGTCGAGCCTGAATATGGTAATGATGCTCAGCTAATAAATTACATACATCAGAATATACACATATATCATGAAACAAGTCACTGTACATCTGTTTCATCCTGTTAAAAATAAAATTAATAAAATATTACACATAAATATGTTTATACATGGATTGCTTACTGTAATAAGCTTTGGGTGGATGTTTTATACAGTACAGGATTAGGTAATTGTTCTACAAGTTTTAGAATATCCCTCCGTAATGAAGAATGACTTTTAATTATTCTATCAGCTAAAGTAGATCTTTGAGCTAGACCTAAAAATAATTAAATAATGAACTATTCTCGTTAAGTAAATACCTTGTTAACCTTAAATAAATAAATATTTTAGGACGGTCAAATTACATTTTAATGGTATAATTTAAATATTTGCTAACCAAAAATTTTTAATTTGTAAAAAAAAATCTTTATATTAAATATTTAACTTACTACTAATATCAGAGCTTGCTCCACTCTCATTACTTCCTGTACCAAATCCAGAAGCTTCATGAAGACATGAAGACTTATTATGTTGCCATGGAAGTAATATAGGACTTTCCCCTTCAACTCCCATACCATAACTACTTTCTGTCTCTATAAAAATTTATGTTCAAAGTTTGTTTATAAGGTTAAAATATTTCATAAAAAAAAATTTAATTAAAATACCTGTTCGACATCGTCTTAATGAACTAGATGATACTTTTCTATTTCTTGTTGTTGGACGATTTGCATGTTCGTTTACTGAACAAAGCATGCACAATACACGATTATGATTACGTTGCCTTCTTACTGGTAATGGATCTGCAGCAACTTCTGTATCAGAATCATCAGTACTAAGAACTTCTGAACCTTAAAAGGATAATAAATAACAAATATTCAATTATATATCATTAATAGAAATTATTCTATAAAAATTTTCAAAAAAACTATAAAATACCTGTGGAAACAGGCTTAAAACAAGAAGATGAATCATCACAATCTGGAGTAGGAACTGTTTCAGTTTCTTTTTCTACAGTAGAAAATAATGTACTTAGGTCAGATGGCAATGTTACACCCCCATAAAATGACTCATTAAAATAATCTAAATTAACAAAAAAATTACAATAGTGACACATCATTATTTGTGATACTTAATAATTTAAAATAAATTAACATAAGTATAACAACTAAAGAGTTGAATAAAGAAATAGAAGTTAAAATTATTCTTAAAACTTTCAAAGTAAGAATTTTATCAAATAATTTCTAACACAAAGAAACAGTATTGAATTTTTCAGTAACAAAATGATCAAGTATATACTATTAAAAACAATAATTTTTAATCTACTAGATCAATTTTAATAGATTTCTGAAGTACATGGTAAATGAAAATTTATTTAGTCTGTTTAAACATAGTTAATCACTCTGTATTGTGCACATTTTTGAAAATATTAAAATTAGTTTAATAGGTTTTTAAATGTATTTTTTAGTATTTATTTTACTATGTTAATTACACTAAAAAGCATTTTTTTAGATGAATGTATTCAACTCCCTATAAGTTATTCACACCATATTGAAATTTAAAACTTCTATTGATAAATTTATTAAATCATTTTTGTAACCTTTAACAGGATGATGACATATTTTATTTGATGAGCACGATGATACTGACTCAAATTCAAATCTGAAATTCAAAAAAATTATTTCATATGTTTGAGTTACTATATATATATATATATATAATAATAATATAAAGAGTGATTCATTAAGAATAAAACACTCATTTTCTTGAAAACTATTGAAAATTGTTCACTTTTGTGCAGGAAAATATTGATTGATTCAAAAAACTATACAATAATTTGTAATTAAATTATTTTTATTTTCATCCCATCACTGATAAAAAACCTCAACATTATAAAACCATTATTTTTACCATAATATATGATAGAAAAAATTTACAAACAATTTTATTCTTATAATTTTTTTTTATCTAATCAACTGTTTTTCTGTTTCAGCATTTTAAACAATTTTAAAAACAAAAGGTTGATCCCATAAAAAAACTATAAAAACAAAATTGTACATTTTTATTCTATCATATTATTAAGGTAAAAATAGAGGTTTTCGTTAAAAATAATTAAAGATCTAATTTTTTTATCCCTGAAGAGATGAAAATAAAAATAATTTAATTACATATTCTTGTAGTTTTTTGAATCAAACACTATTTTTCTGTACAAAAATAAAAAATTTCCAATAGTTTTTGAGAAAATGAGTATCTTATCCTTAATGAATCACTCTAATAATCTATGTATATATAAATAACTAAAAAATAAGTTAGTTGTATAAAATTTTTTATAGTTACTTACGGTGAGTGATTTACACTAAAAGAATGCCTAAATTCTTTAGGGCGTATTAAAGGTGACATAGGATCAATTTCATGCTCAGCAAGCATAGCAAACATATCAGTGGCAGTTGAATGGGATTGCATGGTCATACTTCTTGAACTTTTTCGACTCATTCCTTTTTGTATCATTTTGAGAGTTCTATAGCCAAAAGAATTTCTTCTGGATAATTTTGTACCTTTAAGAAAAAAAATTTTGTATAAAACTTTTTTTGTATAAAAATTTTAATTTTCAACCATGTACAACAGTTATATTAATAAATTTTTGACTAATTAATAACCAATGATGGAAATAAACAAGTTAATTATTTAAAATTGAGTAAAGTTAAACATCTTATCTTAATGGAGATATTTATATTTTATGCTTAATTCTTTATTTTATTCATTTAATGACAAATTAACATAAATTTTTGGTAATTCCATTAAATTATTAATAAACTTCCTAAATATGAAAAAAATCAATTTTTTTTAATTGGTCAACTAATTGGTAAAAAATTATTTTTATCATTACTGCATATTGTTGTCTTAGTGAAGAAACTGCGTTTCTTAATTTTTCAGAATTATTTAAGAAGAAGGAAAGTACACTATTATGATTTATCTAAAAATAGAATTTTTTTTTAAAACTGCAAGTAAATCTATTTTTGGAAGATAAAATTATGCTACACTTTTTTTATTTTTTGAAAAATCATGCTTTGTTGTACAAAAAAAATGAATATATTTTTGCAAATCTACTAGTATTTAACTCATAAATTAATTTTCTGTATTGTAATCATATTTTTATTTTTTAAGTAAGATTTCATTGATATTTATAAAAATAAAAAGTATATACAAAGTGTGTTCAGAAAATAACGGTAATTTTCGTTCTTGAAAAAAATATTTATTTATTTATCTTTGTTAATATTGTTGCCTTCTTAAGAATAACATTCCCTACTAAGTGGAGATCACTACACGTAGAGAATGGAATATTAACCACCCGACTGAAAAAGGAGGATTTGTGATATATATATAGATGGATCCAAAAAATCAGGAAAGGTTGGTGCTGTAATTTGGGGTTTAAAGCCACAAATAAATGTCAGTATGTCATTGAGCACAACACCCTCTGTTTTCCAAGCAGAGGTGATGGCGATACTGGTAAGGGCTCAGAACCTGCTGGTATACAAAAATAGAAAGATAATTATCTTAAGTGTTAGTCAAGCAGCTTTGAACGCACTCTGTAACGATCAGGTGAATTCAAAGCTGGTCCTCGAATGCAGGGAAACTTTAGAAGCACTATCAAGGTTCAACAAAGTTACACTAGCAAGGGTACCGGGACACAACGGTGTCACTGGAAATGAGAATGCTGACTTTCTAGCCAAGAAAGGAGCAGAGAACACTTATGTTGGACCAGAACCAGTGGTAGGACTCACTGAGCAATCGCTCAAAGCGCTACCCAAGAATTGGTGCAGAGAACAACACAGGAAAATCTGGAAGTACTTAGTAGTACCTAGACAATCTAAAATGTTTATCAAGACCTCTGGTTTACTGTTGGGTGATCTTAATAGCATGACTAGACATCAAATAAGCACCCTGACTGGTCTACTGACAGGACATGGTCACCTGCTTAAACATCTTAACGCAATGGGGGTATCGGAATCACCATTGTGCAGGAAGTGTGGAGTAGAAGAGGAAGACTCATTTCACATCATGTGCGAATGTGAATCCTTGTCTACACTAAGATCAAACTACTTGAATAAACCTTTTCCTGAAAAAGAAGATATTAAAAACCTAAAACCCAGAGAGATACTTAATTTCGCCAGAAAGACAGGACTCTTTGGTCATCTTTAGAGGTGACTTTATGGTTGGTAATGTATTAACACTTTGGTGATAACACTTAGGTGTGTAAACCGAATCAAGACAATTCGGTATGAGGTGCGCACAATGGACCAACAGGTCTGAGTGCATGGGCATTATGTCCACCTCGATAATAACTAAAACTAAAACTAATGTTGTTGCCTTCAATATAGTCCCCATTAGATTTTATGCTCTTGTGCCAAAGCTTCTTCTAATCCTCAATTTCTTTGGGATAGCCTTTAGCTCATTCAGCGGTGCGCTTTTAATGTTATCTATACTTGTAAAACAACGGCCTTTTAAGGTTTTCTTTATTTTTGATAATAGAAAAAAGTCACACAGAGCCATATCTGGCGAATATGGACGCTGAGACATCATTAAAGTATAGTTTTTGATCAAAAATTCATGAACAAGTAATGAAGTGTGAGCAATTGCATTATATTGGTACAAAAGCCATGAATTGTATTGTTACAAATCCGGGGCGTTTTTTTCGGATTGCTTCACGTAAATGATGTTGAACTTGTAAGTAGTACTCCTTATTGACTGTTTGACCTTGTGCAAGAAATCATGATGCACTATGCTTAAAATCTAAGAACACAGTGAGCATAATCTTCAGGTTCGAACACACTTGTTAAGCCTTTTTCGGTCTTGGTGATCCAGAATACCTCCACTGAGATGATTGAGCCTTAGTTTTGATTTTATATGTATTAATCCATGTTTTGTCACCTGTTATAACACAATTCAGTACATTCTGAATCATCGTTGACTTCATTGAGTGACTCGTAAGCAACTTCCATTTGTCGCTGTTTTGTTCAAAATTCAACAATTTTGAAACAAATTTTGCTACGTGTTTTATACCCAAAACATTTGAAAAAAATTCATGACATGAGGCAGCAATCAATATTCCAATATTATCAGTGACTTTTCTAATTGTGATTCAGCGATCGTTCATAACCATTTCTGTTACTTTTTCTATGTTTTCAATGGTTATTGATGTCTAGAGCATTCGCCATCGTCAACATCTTCACAGCCATCTTGGAAACGCTAATATTACTCGTAATCCCATGTTTTACGCAATCCAGACTCACCATAGGCCTCTGTTAACATTTCACACACTTTGTTACATTTTATTTCATTTTTTACACAAAATTTTATACAAATCTTTTGATCCGTTTTTTTAATAAATGAAAATCACCGAGCTCATAAAAACACATTTAGCTTTAGAGGCTGCCACTGATAAAGTAAAAAATTAATCTAGCTGAAAATGTTATCATACTTTAGGAACATGTGTGAAAGTATGATAAAACATTATGAAAAAAAAATGTTTAATAATCAGACTCTCCAAACACCCAAAATTTAAAAATTTCCGTTATTTTCTAAACACATTTCCTACTCAGGTTAACTGAAATCTGAACACTGGTTATAAAGTTAAAAAATAAAAGTGTTACTTTCTGAGCTTAAAGATGTCATTGGTTTTTGTAATGGAATGGTTGATAATGAACTTGAACTAGGTATTGGACTCAATGTTTGATGTCTATTATTAAAAATTTAACAGGTTAGAGTGCCATTTTTCATCATGTTTTATTATATTATATTTATATTAATAATTACTGATAATTTTCTGCGTGTCTCATTCCAAAACCTGATTCACCTGAACTTACACCACTAGTGCTACTATCAACAGTACAACTACTGTCAGATCTTAAACGATAACTAGCATAACTACATAAAAAATAAAACAAATTCATTGAAATAAATACTTAAAAAAAGTTTATCTCATATTTACATTGAATTATCAGGAGGGGAACAAGGTTTATTTAATTGTAATTTTTCATTATTCTCTATAGTTTTGCTTTCGCTTAAACTTCTTAAAAGCTGTTGATATCTAGACCAAGATGCACTACTTCGAGGAAGAGTTGACCATTTTTTCCTATTCTGAATAGTAGGGTCCCACACATCATCTACCCATTCACTCACAATTCCCTACAAAATATCAAATTATTAATTATAATGTAATTAGTAGTTATAAATATATTATTTTGATTAATTACATACATGAGAACTATCAGAAGGAGTTGTTGCTAAATTGCTTTCTACTCGTCTATCTGTTATTTTGTAAAAATCAGTTTCTAAAAATACTCTACTTAAAACATTCCAACCAATTGCTCGTAGATGCTTAGCTCCAGATTTATTAGCACTTATTAAAGACAATGCATATAGAGCAGTTGCTCTTACTGAATAAATTTGATAAGAAGTTGCTATTTTACAAATGGACTGTATAACACCATTACTTGCTAAATAGCAAGCACCTTGAGAAACAGAACCAAAATGACCAATAGCCCACAATGCTGCTTTTAAGTGCAACTGATTTATTGAATTTTCTTGAGTTGCATTTATAACTATTTGAATAATACTTCGAAAGTAAATATCTCTTATTAAAGCTTGATATCCACAATCATGTACAACCATTTGAGAATAAAGATGAGGAGGTTGAGGTATACATGGAATTTTATTTCTAGACATGTCGCCAGAAAGTCTAGTTTTATAATGTCCATCTTCATGACGTTGATGTAGAGTCAATTGGTCATGCAACTCACCTTCCACTATCAATACATACCTGATAATATAATTAACATGTAATTTAAAGTTAATTAAAAAATATATGAATTTTAAATACTTTAAGTTGAAATGAGTTCCCCAATTATGTAACTGATTCGTAACAAAACCAGAGTCTGATAGGTATTTATAACCAGCTGGATCAGATAAGAAACGTATAAGTACTAATAGACCTGAATCCCCAAGATGAAGAATATTTGGTTTGGATACAATTAATATTTTCAAATAATCCTAAAAAATAAACACAATAACTAAAAAAAAAAAAATTTTTAATTTATTAATCAATATACTTTGTAATCACATGCTTCATCAAGAGCTTCTAAGGCAGCCATATAAATAGTAGAATTATCATCATTTATTTGTAATATAAGAAGTTCAAGAATCCATTGACCAGTTATAACAGGATTTTCAGCAGAATGTGCATTAAATCTAAGCAAAGCTCGTAAATAATGTGTAGCATAAAGTCTAGATTTTTGTTGAGAACAAGAGAGAACACGACCTAATAATACTCTATAAAAATAGTCAAAAATAAAATATTACACTTTATAACAAAAAAATCCACAAAGATTTTTTAACAGAATATTTATTATTGTCTAAAATTATTTTTGAAGCATTTAGAATACCTTTATCTATTAATAAAATATAAATAATAACACATTAAAATTAAAATAATCTTATGGGATAATCAACCAATATATATTTTGAATTCTTTAATTTAGATTATATAAACATTTATTCAAGTAAAAATGTTATTATACCTTGGAAATGAATCTTCTGTATAGTCTAAACAAGAAACAATTAGTTTGACATAACAATATAACTGGGTACTAACAGCAATATTTAATAACCTAAAAAATATGCAATTGTTAATATATTTGAAAAGTTTCAAAATTAAACATAAATAAATATTAGTTAAAAAAAAAGAATGTATATGACACCACATATCTTCATATATTTGTAACAATATTTAATTTTTTTTTATTTTAATTGTATCACTAGGAAAACATTGTATACATACATAGGAAAAATTTTAGTTTTGTCTAAACAATATCTTCCTCGTTCGGATGAGCTAACACGTCCAATAATCAAAAAATAATGTTGACTTAATGTAGCACCTAAACGTTGAGGGTTTAAATAACAACTATAAGAATAATTAGAAGATGATAATAATTCAAGTTGTTGATAAATATCAGTTAATAGACTATTCAAAAAAATTTCTCCACTTTCCTAAAAATTCATAAAATATTTAAAATTTAACTGACATGAAAATAACTTAAAAATAATTATACTCTTACATTTGGAGCATCTAAGAGGTCATCAATTAAATCAAATGCAGCTAATGTAAATAAATTAAGAGGAAGAACTTCAGGCCGAAGTTCTACATCACCATACATTTTTGAAGATGGTTTAAAATACTCAATCAGTCTTTGTATGAATAAATTATAATTTGTATCATCCAATTTGTTCATATCTTTGATTCTAGTCTAAATATAATAAAATGATGTTTATAATGACAAAAACAGCTGAGTTATTTTTAAAACAGTTTAATATACTTTAAGTGCAGAACGTATAGGATCCCATTTCCATGCTACAGCTTCTTTAACAATTAATACGCCAGATTCTTTTACAAAATCATCACATTCTTTTGTCATGATACATTGATTTCCTTTATGTTTTAAGTACTTTTTGTGTGAGCCAGTTTTCAATTTATTCATTTTTGGACCAAACAAATTTTTTGCATGATATAAACTAATAGTTGCAGGATTTGGTTCTTGGGTAAGAATTTTATGTAATTTAGCCAAAATAGATATGGAAGTCATAGCATTATTTTTTTTTAAATCATCACCAATAAATACTTCTGATTTATTAGATTGTAATGGTTTTGTAGGATGAACTATTAAACGATCTTCTGAAGAGCACAATATTTGATCATATGCTTCAGTTGTTATATTTAAATTGATACATATAGAAGAAGGCTTTCCTTCTAATGCATAAGCTATAAGATCTGAAAGAACGGGTTTCTTATTATTTGGAACTATAGTATCAACTAGATGAAGAAATTCTCCTAAAATTTAAAAATTAATAAATTTAAAAAAAAAACATGTTATTTTTAATTATAAAAAAGTGTATATAACTTACCAAGAAGTAAAGTTGATTGAATAGACAAGATACTATCTGAAGTAAGTATAACTTCAACTAGAGCTTCATCTAGTTTAAGTTCTAATAAACAACTAACTAAAAGAGAACGAGGTAAATTCACTAAATTTACCCTATTAAAACAAAGACAAATAATTATTAAGCCAACAGATAACATAATTTAGGCACATAACCAATTTTATAATTAGTTAATGAATTTGGAAAAAATTCTTTTAAAAACTAATTTTAATATATTTACGGTTCCTGGTTTATTAGATAGCGTAAAAATACTCATCATTTTTTACTATTTTGAAATATTATATCATAAATAAATAATATTTTAAGCAATTTAATTAAACTAATACCAAATAAACCAATAACTGAGTTTTTAAATCCAAAAAACTTATTAAAAAAAGTGAAAATGTAATATGAAATTATACCTGTTGCTGTTTAATCTTGGTAAAAGTTCCATTGCTTCAATATAAACATATCCATTATTCAAATGATAATTTTCTTGATATTTATATGGATTAACTGATTCTAAAACTGTATCAATATCATCCACCCATTCTGCTGGACTAAATCCGAGAATTTCTCTTAAAAGATTTATGATAGCTATCTATTAAAAATAAAAATACAATAATATAAAGTTCAATATCATATAATTTTAGTAAATAATTGTAACAAATGTTTAAAACTGACTCTAATACTTGAGTTTTGAACATGTAATGCATGTATAATGGAAGATAAACCACTTTTTGAGTTGTCATTTGATGGGTCACAGAAATATAGTATACCAATCCAAGAACGTAAAAGAGAAACTAAAGTGCCATGAGCAGTTTCACCAACTAAGTTTTTATCACTCGATCTAAAATTTAATTTTGAACATTAATTTTTGAAATAAAAAATATACTTTTAAAAATTTTCACTTACTTTGAAATTGGATTAAAATCAGTAAAATATGATGCAAGTTGACTAAAATCAAATGATACTAGTTTTCTAGTGTTTGGGTTATTTAGCATCCATAATAACGTACCTAAGACACATTCAGCCATTTTTAATGGTAACTCGGAAGATATCAGAACATGTCTCAAAGCTTTTAAACCACATCCAGCTACAAATGCTTGAGGGTTTAATAAACCTATAAGTAAAAACACATAAGTAAATGTGACAAAGAATTATATTAATTATTAGTATACTAAGTATACTGATAACATACACAATTCACAAAGAGTTGCTACACAGGCTCTATGTAATTGATCTTTAGAAGGACCATGTGAACACATAGCAATAGCAGACAATGAATGAGTAAATGCTTTAGGAAATTGTTGAGGGCAAATAGCACAAGATTTACGAATAATACGTAGAGCTTGTAAACGTTCATTTTCATTATCAAGTAGCAGTTCCAAACTCCTTGAAAAGATTGATACAATATATTTTTCATAAGGTTTAATTGTAAAGAATAAAAAATAATTTAAAAAAATAAAATTTGACTATCAAAATATTTTGAAAAACATTTATTAATCATAATCATTGATAAAATAGTAGACTTAAGTTTTTAGTTCAACTTACCGGCATATTAATATTGTTAAACGTAAACGTACAAGTGTAGTTAAGTTTTCTGGTATTCTGATACAATGGCGAAGTGCTCGTAAACCAGCTGCTCTAACATCTGAACTATCACTCAATAAACTTGGTGTAAGACTACAAAATAAAAATAATAATGACACATAAATATATGAAAATTATGCAACAATATTTTAATATAAATTTTTACATGTACATTGTTATATGCATTTTTATGATTTAAAATATAATTTTATTTGTTTTTTATTATTCACTAATGTAAACAATTTTAAATAAAATCTCTGTACACAAATATTACATGGACTGTTATCTTCTTCTTCTTTTTCCTGTCTTTAATCCCGACTATTTGGAGTCAACCACCATTATTCTAAACTTTTTCTTGATACAATCTTCCACATTTCTTTTTTGATCTTCCTCTACCTCTTCTTCCTTCAACATTTATTTCTATAACAGTTCTTACAGCTTCCGATTTCTCTCTCCTTATAACATGACTAAACCATCTAAGTCTATTTTCTCTCATCTTATCCACGATTAACGCTACACTTATACTCCCTCTTATATGCTCATTTCTTACATAGACTGTAATTATAAAATAATTTTAGTGACCTTACAATATACTTTCAGATAATTAAAGATTTTTCTTCCCATAAGATATTTATCCTAATAACTTCTAGATTTCTTTTAATTAAGAATAAAGTTTCAATAACAAAGATTATTACACAATTTTAAAGTTACAGATTGTTTTGTTTNTTAAAGATTTTTCTTCCCATAAGATATTTATCCTATTACTTCTAGATTTCTTTTAATTAAGAATAAAGTTTCAATAACAAAGATTATTACACAATTTTAAAGTTACAGATTGTTTTGTTTTACTATTAGTTTAGTTGAACATTTATTTTAAGTGTAAATTATTGTTAAAAAAAAAAATATTTTATGAATTCAAACCAAAAATGAGTAAGATTAAAATTAAAACATTTGAAGTGTGTTATTTTCAAGTTATATAATGGTAAAGATAAGTAAAAAAATTTAGTTTAATAGTTATAATGAATGACAACAGAATTACCTTATATACTTGCCACGCCTATGCAATAAATAACTTTCTATATTAAAATTTTATTTCATAAAATAAAATACTGTTTGTTATTTTTATAGAGCTGAAGAAACTTAGGTTATTTTAATGAATATAAACTTACCAACACATAATATCTGATATGGAAAATCCAAAAACTTCACTATTATTGTCATTAATATTTATGGTAGATAATAATTTTACAAGTATGTTCAATAAATTTAACTTTTTATGATCACTTAAACCTTGAGTTTGGTTCAAACTAGAAAGAATTCTTTTAATTGATTCTCTAGGCTCTAAAATACAAAAAAATATTAATTTTATGTAAATATAAAACAATTAAGTAATTTATACTAACTTGACACAAGGTCCAAATTGAAGGCATCATCTTCTACATCATGACGCCCTATTAATTATAATTAAATATTTTAATTATTATTATCAAATAAATAAACACTCAATATATACCTCTCGATTTATGTGATTGCAATCGAGTCCAAAGCTTCCATACTGGCATAACCATAGTGTTTCTTAGAATATAGTAAAAGTATAATTTATAAATTAGCACATTTTTTTAGAAAGGACTTTATTTCATATTGAGTACTAAGCTAAAATCCTAGATAATATGATAAATATGTAATTAATAGTTTAATAAACCTCATTACCTACAGTTTATTTCATTAAATCATCAGAATAGAAATATGTAATGAAGTGAATATTTTCAAACATAAATATTAAAATTTTTAAGTCAATTTTAGCAGTAACGAAATAACAGTTTACATATTTAATGGATAACTTGAATTTTAGATTATAGGAGTAACGATATCGTGATAAAAATGATAAATATTTTAGTCTGTTAGAGTGCGATAAGTGTTTGATAAAGAACTATGATAATAAAATGTATGTCCATAACACAGAAATAGATATATCTATATATATCTCCGATTCAAAATTAAAAAAATCTACGAAAAACCGTTCTAATGTTATGAAAATAATGTTTATCTGTTGTATGCATATTCACTAAAATAAAACATTACTTAATGATATTAACCAATATGTAATTTACTTACTAAATCAAATTTGTACACTGATTTTAAATCTATTATTAAATTTTTTCTATCACTTTTTTTTATATTATTAACAATTAGGAAAGGAGTATTAACCCATCTTAAATACTCATAATTAAAAAAAAACTTTAAAGAAATTAAAAAAACTCGCCTAAGATGATCAAAACTAGAATCTAATTAATTTTACCATTTATATCATTCTTAATAAGAAAATTATTGCAATTTAATTTTTATTAACTAAGTCCAAAATTATTAAAATATAAACATTGATAACAATTGTCACGAAATAGCTGTGTATGGTATTTATACATTTGGAGACAACTGTAAGAACAGTTATAGAAATGAATGTTGAAGGAAGATGTGGTAGAGGAAGACCAAAAAAGAGATGGAGGAATGTTATTGAATGCGATATGAGGACAGCTGATGTGATCGTAGAGGATGTGGGAGATCGTGTCAAATGGAAGTTTAGGATAAGGGTGGCCGACCTCAAGTAGTTAGGATTAAAGCAATGAAGAAGAAGAAAACTACCTCTAACAACTTATAATAATATTATCAATGAAATGATAAATAAAAATGTGTAATTAGTGATGATAATGTTTTCTTTGTACTTTTAAGACTAAGTTTATACTATCATTTTCATATTTTGTAATTTTTTTAATATCCCATGTTGGAGAACAAAAGATAAGCTACAATATAATTGTATTATCTTCCTTACTGATATTAATTGTTTAGGAAATTATTCGAAATATTTTATTATAATACCGGGCAAAATGACAGTGGTATGTCATTTTGCCCAAGTTATTTTTTATATTTAATTTAATTTATTTTTGTTATATTTATAGTTACAATGGTATCAAATTATAAACGTAAAACCACACGACAGTCATGGTCAGAAAGTGATATGAAAAAAGTTATATCTACTATAGACAAAAAAGAAATGGGTTGGCTTAATACAAAGCTAAGAAGATATTAATTTTACTATGATGTGTTTATTTTTTTTGTGTCTTACCACACATTCCCAGCTCTCCTGGACCAATGTTGATGAAAAATACGTCAAAAGATCATAAATTGTATCTAGTCGAGACATTACCCTAAAAATTGAAAAGAAATCCCTCGTACCCCTGTAAATGGGGGAATACACAAAAAAATTATAACTTTAAAAATCAGTATTTTTTATATTTTTCAACTTTCTTTTACCTAAAACTGCCATAACTTTTTGAAAAATAAATAAATAGAAACAATTTTTTTTAATATATAAATATATTTACCTATCATTTGGTATATTTTTTTTTGTAAATCTGACCCTCCCTTCCTCACAGGGAGGGATCTAAAATAATAACTTTTCCATAAAAAACTAATTTCTGAAAGTGTTCCGGAAATACTAACACTTTTATATATATTTTAAATTAAAGCGTATGTAATATACTTTAATATGAAAAAAATAATTTCGAAATTTATTTTGTCTTCATGTTGAAAATGGTTACCGTATTTAAAAATATGCTATTTTTGGGTTAAAATTCTTGATTTTATACTTTTAACTTTTAAAAAAATGTATGGATCAAACACTGTTTTTTAATGATAAATACTCTCACTCTCTCTCTCTCTATATATATATAATACATAGTATTTATAAAAAAAAGTATGTCTAATAAAAGAGGTATATAATTGAACCATTTAACTTCATACCAGGGGCAGTGGCGTATTTAGAAATTTATAATGAGGGGCATAAAAAATATTCATGAATAAGGTACCATAAAACGACTTTTTTTTTGCTCATAACTTTTGTTAACATATATTAAACACATTTTAAATTAAAAAAAAAAAAAATCTGTTATTTATTTTGAATCCATTTTTATTAATAAAATAATTTCTTTTTAAATCAGTGTATATTGTAACACAATAATCTATTCAAAAATAGGTTATAACATAAACAGGACGACTGTGCGTACGTCAAATTTTGTTTCACAAGACAACTATATCGACTAACATTTTATAAACCCATATTATTATGGATAACCAAAAAATACCTTTTTATTTTTAACGATATTATACATTATTACATAGCTTGATAAAATATTTAGATGATTCTGTCAATGGGGGAAGGGGCACGTGCCTCTTCTAAATACGCCACTATTCATATGATAATAGTAATATTACCTTTCTTTTAAATATACTCAGCTGCAACTCTATAATTTAAATTTTCGTGTAGTATTTGCGCTTATGAATGAAAATCGATTAATTTTCAAGGAGATTATAAATATTTTACAGTAACTTCCATGAATCAGGTGTTGTTCTTGTTATGAAATGGTCAATTTTAATCGTATATACATGCATAAATTGTATTATCAGGTGTAATAGAATAAGTAAAATTTGGGAAGTTCTCAAATTAAAATGTTTCAAAATTTTGTTATATATTGTAATGGATTTTGGGGTATATGTATGTGAATCCTAACTTAATTATGTCAACTGAAAGGCAAGTTTTAAGAGTCAATTACTTGTATATATAATAAAACTCTAAATTTACATTCCTTTTCTATGAACAATAAACATGAATTTAAAATAATTTTTTTTAGAGTGGTATGGGTTGAAATAATCGAACCCAAGACCAAGGAATATATGTATGCAAATTTAACAACTGGAGAATGTGTTTGGGATGCACCCATTGGAGTACCTGTGTAAGAGTATAGTAAATTATATTAATATGCACAATGAAAAAGGCAGTTATTCACTTCTCAGGAGATCAAAAATTAAATTTATCCTCTAATTTCTCCTTATATGTTTATCAATTTTCTAAGTAATTTAATTTTGATTCAAACCTAACTTGATATTTTGATGTAAGTTTCTATAAGAAAAGTAAAACTTAAATACCTCTTAATTTCAAAGTTTTAGTTACTACCTTATTATTTGTTGTCCATGGTGATACATATGATGTAATATAAAACAATATATGATATTTTATAAAACATTAAGGAAACAAAAATATATCTAAAACTAATATTTATTTATCTCAAACTATCAACATTTTATTAATTTATGTTAGAAGTCTTTATTTATAATTAAATACAGACTAATTTTTTAATAATTTATCTATTTTTGTTTTCTAGCAAAAAGACTGATAATAATCAATGGTGGGAGTTGTTTGATTCAATAACTAATCGTTTTTATTACTATAATGCTGCTTCTCAAAAAACAGTTTGGCATCGTCCTCCAAATTCAGATATTATACCATTAGCTAAACTTCAGACTTTAAAACAAAATACTGAGCCAGCAATCAATGATGAAAATGACCGTAAATATCCCAAAGAGTCAGTGTCAACCCAAACCTCTGGACGAAGTAGAGTTGCTTTACCTCTTTCATCTAGTAACCAAAGCCTGGTATCGATTATTTACTTTTGTATTTATATAATCAATCATTTATATGATAATAATTAAACAATTAATGACATCAATTTTGTAGGGTAATGTTGAAAATGTTCCTTCATTTAAATTGATGGATCCTGTTACAATTAATAAGAATTCAGTTAATTCCGAAACTCAAACTTCACCACTTACTCCTCGTAGATCTCATCATCATCATCATCATCACCACCACCATAATAAGTATGAAAATATCTTTCACTAAAGCTTTATTAAAAACAGATGTAGTTTTAAGAAAATATTAATAAAATTTCCTCATAATTATAAATTTGTATTTTTCAATAATATATTAAATAACAGTATTGTTTAAATTTTTTTTAAATATTCTTTATTTTGTTACTGGATATTAATAGCACATACTTATTGTATAGTGTAGTGTACATTTTACTTTTTTCTACTAAATTTATATATCCATTAATTTTAAAAATTAAGCTCATTAGTAGCAGTGGGATAAATTTATAAATATTTTTTAATAGAAATTCCTGTGTTTTAATTTTTTAATTATATGGTAACTACTTATTTTACAGTCAAAATATTCCTTTTTTATGTATTTCTGTCAAAAGTATATTAAACTATTGATCACTTGTGGCTGATAGTATTTAAAATGTAAAAGTATAAATATTTAACTCTGCTTAAATATTTTTAGTAAAAACACCTAATATGTATTTCAACAATTATATTTTTACTACCCCATTTGTTTACATTTACGCTAACTAACTATACATTAAATTTTATTATTTTAAAAATTTTCATTTCATTAAAAATAAAAAAATATTCTTAGTACATAAATGATTGTTTTAACAATTATATACGTTCAATTTTATATACAGCAAACGTGTAATTGTTACTATATAATCTTCATTGAAATAGTATGATTTTAGTAATAAATATTATTGATACATTACTATTAATGTTCTTAATAACTATGTGGTAAATTTAGATACCAGTTACAAAGTAATGTACCAAGTAGAGGACGACAGGAAATCAGAGGAAATCAGCCAAATGTATGGCATAATCGCACAGCTTATTCTCAGGTGAGCTTCTCATTTTTACATTATAAAAAACTATAACATAATCATTAATTTATTAAGGATTCGGGCCGATCGAGTGATTCAAGTTGTGTATCTATACATTCATCTAGTGGAAAGGATAACAATGTTGGTTTGTCAATGTCTGCTAGTACACCAATATTTAAAAAAAAGATTTCTCAGCCAGTTGTTTCACAATTAAATCTAATTCAGCGCAGTTCTTCTAATGCATCTCAATATCAGTTATTGTTAGGAAAACAGAAAAGCTTTGATACTGATATCAGTATTGGTGGAGGTTACAGTCTTGGGAATGATAACCGCAATAATAGTTGTTCACGTCCTCGACCTCCAGTTAATTTGTCTTCCAGCTTATCTAATAATCAAATTATTCGAAGCCAAAGTTTTGCCCAGAAGTCAATAGGTTCAAAAAAATCACGATATAAAGATGAAGAAGACTCTATGCATGAGAAATATTTATCACCTAATGGACTAATGGGTATTCCACCACGTCATGGCAAAAAATCTGTAGAGTCTACACCTCTGGTAAAACAATTACAAAAAAAAAAAAAAAAATTATGTTAAAGTGAGGTAAATGTGAATAAATAAGATATTTGTAAAATAATTTTTTTTAATGTTTATAATTTTATGTTATAAAAATGTATTATTTTTAATAAAATAAATATGTTTAAGGATTAGAACTATCTTACCTTAAATATTATTTTTTTAAATATTCTAAAAAATAACCAATTTTCAATTACACAATTCATTTACATTTACTCCGCTTCTCTCTATTTGTTTAAGAAATATTATTTTATTAAAATATTTAATTTTAGAGCACACGAAAATGGCACTCACATTCTGAAACTGGATCTCCAACTTCATCTTCTAAAATTAAACCTTTAACTCCAGAATATGCAAATTTTGCTGCTCCTCCTCCACCTTTATTAGCTCCTAGCCATTCGAGCTCAAAATCATCATTAAATCAGTCCATTGGAATGTCAAAAAGTTCTAAAGATGCAGGGCTATCTAGTAGTGATGATGATGATGAATCTATTGAAGATCACAACTCTAGTTCTAGTGTTTCTAGCAGTCCTCCTACAACTGGTAAAACTGACCAAAAATTCAAATTGGAAAACAAAAAAATTGATAACTGTAAGTTTAATAAGAACTATCCTAAAATAATTGTCGAAATAAAAATTATTCAAGTTGTCAGAATATGGTTGAACACTATTTACAGATGTATACATGGTAAAACTGACAACTCATAACTTTTTCAACCAATTATCATTTTGTTATAATTTCATTTAAACGTTTTTTACATTTATGAATTACGTTTAAGGTATGTTTTTTAATTTTTAGTAATAAAAAAAATTAAATATTCATTTTTTTCTAAATTTTAAAATAACTGTTTTTTAGAGCTATTTTTACAATACATTTTAATAAGTTAGTAGCTATTTTAGATCAAGTCATTTTTGAATTACAAGTATTTTTAAATGCATAGAGTGAGTATGTAGATGAATACATCTTGTTTTGTTATATATTTATAATACATACTCTATATACGCTACCTACCTACTTATTGTATTTAAATGCTTGTAACTCAATAAGTATTTGTCCTAAGATTTTTATCGACCCATTAATGTTTTTTATAAGAAAACTGCAAAAAAAAAGCTATTTTGTAATTAAATAATAATAATAAATATTATTTTAAATACAACAGTGCATATTTCAAAAAAAAAATGTTATTATTTTTATTATTAAAAACAAATAATTAAATATATTATTTTAATATAGCCTAAGAATACATAATTATTAAAAAAAAAAATAACAGTAAAATGTTAATTGTACAAAAAGTTATAGGAATTGTCAGTTAGATTTGTTTCACTATGTATATATTTATTTTCAATTTTATTAGAATATATTGTTTATTTTTAAGTTTCTAAAACGAGACCTATTTCAAATCATTCAAGTTCATCTAGTCAACGTGGCGATGGTTTAAGAAAAAGTGTTAGTCCTTCTACTTCAGATAAAAAAATAAATCCATTATATAGTAATATGGACATGTTTGAAGGAAGAATTTTACCAATTCATCAATATATTTTAGAACAAAGAACATTTTCAGGTAACATAATAAATTGTAATATAAAATAATAACTAAAATGTAACCTTTGAAATTTAAAATTTGTTCACCCTTATTGAAATTTTTTAATAAAAATTAAAGAAGTGTGCCATATATCATTTATTAACTTTTTATCTAGGTTCAGAAGATGAAGATGCTGAAATTGAAGACCTAATTGGTGTAATGGGCACAGCTACTGGATATGACAGCGATGAATTTGCTGATGATGAAGGTGCTATTAGTCAAGGTGAACAATCAAGTTCACCATCACCATCAAACACATCATCGAGACATTATTTAAGAGATGAATTAGACTATGACCATTTAACCGCTATGCGAATCACACAACCTCGTAGTTACACTAATGGTAAAAATCAATTAATTATTAATTCTATCATACATAAAAAAAATTATGAATATTTTGAACATTTTTTATTAATTTTCAGATGGTAGGGTATGTGATTATGTTGTAGAATCTGCTGGCAATAGTCAACATTATTACAACACTGTTACAAATACTTTAGCAACGCAAAGATCTGTCAATCTAGTCACACCATCTATTTCTGGTAAATACGTTAGATTATATATGTGTTATATCAACGCTGTCTTGTTAAAAAAGTGTATTCTAAATTTTCCTTTTTTTAACAAGCTAATGAAAATCATCAATTTCCAAAAAAAAATTAGTGATTTTATATTTAATATGAAAAGTTGTACATTAATATACTGTTAATAACATAATTATATAATTCTTAGCTTTAAGTTTTTACAGGTTTGGTCACTCTCAAATTTAGTGATATACTTCTATGTATATACAGTAAATTCTTGTTATGTCGAATCTCAAGGGGAACAGAAAAAAGTTTGAGATATCGAGTTTTATTAAAAAAATAAATAAATAAATAAATGTATGTTGTATAATGTACATGAATAATAAGTAATACAAATGCCTTATATAAATAATTTGAATACTTAAAATACTGATATGACTGAATAAATTATTTTTATTTGTAAAAATGTGTCATTAAAGTTTGCTTAATATTACTTCTTTCTGCCACGATGTCTTCCAAAGTAGATAATGCAGAAAAAACCTTATCTTCCATACCTGTAGTAGTTTCAACAAAATTCCTTAGTGTTTTTAAAGCATGTTTAGCTTGTTGAATTGTAACTTCAAAAATGACTTTCTCCTCATTTTGTGGTTCGTCTTCACTCTCGCTGGTATTTTCGATGGTTTCTGATAAAATATCGTTATCTGTCCATGTTCCACATACGTTTACATTATTGTCCATTTCCACATAATGTGAAAAACTTATGTCGTCTAAATTAAGATGATCAGCAACAATATTCCATTTAACATCAGAAATAGTAGTTGAGTTATCTAATGCAATTATATCACCGTCTTTAAAACCGGCTTTTATAAAGCAATTCAATATAGTCTGTGGTGTTACACTTCTCCAAGTCTTATCAGACATTCTTATAGCTTCGAGTATGTTTATAGAAAATGCTTTGTTGTTATCGACTAACCGTTTGATTATTTCTTTTCTATAAAACATTTTGAAATTCTGTATAACGCCTTGGTCCATGGGCTGAACTATAGATGTTGTATTAGCTGGTAAAAAATGTACTTTAATGGAACTTAATTCAACATTGTGATTATGAACTGTACAATTATCAATGAATAGTAGAACTTTTCGATTTTCTACTTTCATTTTTCTGTCAAAATTTAAGAGCCACTCACTAAATAATGACGAAGTCATCCAACAAACGAACTATGAAAGACTACAAACATGACTACTAACGCGCTAAATCACAATCATTATACTGAAAGTACTGCACAATTCCTGTTTTAACCGTAATAAAAATATTATTTGTGAACTCGAAATAACAAAAAACGATTAATTTTATATTGAGTTATCGAGAGCAAAACACTATTAAGTGTAATGGTAGTTTAAAGGGGAATTCAAAGTAGTTCGAGATAACAAAAAATTCGAAATAGCGACGTTCGACATATTAAGAATCTACTGTATTAAACATAGATTTTCTTGTTTCATAAAAAGGTGTATAAAATCTTATAACTAATAAATCTATTGTTATTTTCAACATTAACTAAAAAACAGTAACAAAAAATAACCTAAATTATCATTTAATATTTATATTTATTGCATCAATCATGAGTTAAGATACATAATGGTATATCACATAATATATTTAAGGTTTGGTTTTTTCTTGATTAATCAGCTAATTCTGGTAGAAACATTTCTAGATTTTCAAAATATTAAAACTATATTACTGAACTACAATATTTTTTCATAAAATTTAGTGATCAATTATTTGTCATATACTCTAGTCAAAAAAATAACTTTTAAATTTTATTTCTCAGGCTAAAAATCTTAGAAATATAAATATAAATCTGAGTGACTTTCATTTCTTATAACATATACAATTTAATAATAATATATAACTTTTCCTTTATATTTAAATGTATTATTTTATCATAAAACCAAACTTTCATGTTAAAAATAATTATTTCTAGTAATTAAAGTAATTACTGTTTGTTTATGTTATATTATTTTACAAAATTAAATAATTAGTGAAATATATTAACTATATTGTACATTGTTTATTAGATTCTTTTAATAGCTCAGTTTCAACTATTCCACTAGAAACTCAACACACTTCTTTAAGAAGACGGAAAGATCAGTATGTTCATCCTCCTACAGCTTTATATTCACCAATTATGGAAAAAAATGAAGTATGTTTAACATTTATATACATAATGATAGATTTATCATAAACCACTTGTTTACTCTCAAAATAAATGCAATATTGAACAGTGTTTAGATAATTTCCTATTTTATAATAATTATAAATTATTTGGTTAATTATGTATATTGTCATTTACAAAAATAAAATTGACATCCCTATAAATTATAAAGGATGGTTCTGAAAAGTAAATAATAGGTATTAATTCAAAGAAAAACATGTAACTAAAAAAAACCAAACAATTTTTTTCTTATAGTGTATTTATTTTGCAAGTAATCGAGTGGCTTATGATAAACTAATTTAAAATAATAAAGTATCATGATTTTAAATTTTTTATTTTACTTTTTTAATAATATTGCTAAGATGAATAATAGAGAAATAAATTTATCTATAGTGGTATTTAATATTAATGTTGCTATATTAACAATTTTTTAATATCAGGTCATGATTGATTGTGTAGTGCAACATTTTATATAGCTAATTTATTAAAGAGTTAATTTTTATATATTCATGCTTAATAGTATATAATAAATGTAAATTTATTTTGAATCACCCCTTTAAAATTTATCATATGTTACTGTTATTAAATTTCTTAACTAGAGTTTATAGTCCTCCACTATCTTTTTAATCTCAAATAAACATGAATAGTTTTATAGTTACTAAGTAATTTTAAAAATTTCTAGTACCAGATTTTATTACACTTGTGTTTGTATTAGTCAAACAACTAAATTGTTACACAATTTCATTAAACACTATAAAATTATTTTAATTATAATATTAAGCATTTTATCAATTTATTGTTATTATTTTTTTAATTTTAGTGTTAAATTAAAACATACTACAAAATATATTTTTTTTTTCATATAATATATTTATAATTCATAGTGAAATAAACATTTAATATATATTTAATATTTCTGTGTATCATGTAATTGATTAAATCAATGGTCTTATATATAAATTTACTTTTGCAAAAGTACCAAAAATATATATATTTTAAAATTTAATCTTTCATTATGTAAATTTTTTGAAATTTTTGTATTTTTTCCATTAATTAAATTCTTTATGCATTCTCATTTCAAAATAGGCTCATTTAAAATCATCTGATTCAATCTAAATCAAACTATCTTTCATCATACATTTTAGTTTTAAAGTAATTTTTTTTAGTTATTATGTGGTAATTTTGGTTTTGGTTTAAATAAATAGTAATTTTAATATTATAATACATTATTATTATTTTATTATAACTATAAATTGTAGTTTTAATTGTAATAAGTCATAGTATTTTTATTAGTTAAATTATGATTTTTTTGTTTTAAAACCCGTTTATGTTACAGTTTTTTTCCACAGTCTAAAAATTTTTATAATTTAAATAAGATAAATCAAAATAAATTATATTTAATTTGCTTCTTGCATGACTTAGTGAGCTATTTTTTGTGTGTGCTTTTAGTTTTTATTGGCTCGTTATTCAAACACCAATCGTATGATACTTCATCCTTCTTTATGTCAAGATGCATATTCTCGATTGCCTACCTATTACTATAATCAGGTTTATATAAATATATTTATACTTAAAATTTTTTCCTAAATTATGATATTTATAATATTATATAAAATTACATAATTAATATTTTTATAATCTAAATTATGATAATGTATCAACAGGTATCAAGGACATTATTGAATTGTGAAAAAAAAACTACATCTGAAAGTGACATTGAAAAATATGCCCAGGACAATTTGAATATACACACTAAAGGTATATTCCGCAAGAAGTTTTCTGTCAGAGATATGTTGTCATGGTCAAAGGTAAGTTTAATTTGAAATTAATATTTTTGAAATTACTGATGTATGAATATAATGAAAAAATATCTAATTTAATATAAATTAGTATGAAACTTAAATATATTGCTTTATTTTTTAGGATCCAATTCGTAAACCTATGTTGGTACTATCTGATAAATTATTAAAAAAAGAAGCATGTGATCTTTTCAAACTAGTTCAAACTTATATGAGTGACCGTAAAGCTAAGTTAGGAATGACTTTAAACAGTGTTGCTTTAGATATCTGTATGACTGGTTTTATGAAACCAACTCTCAGAGATGAATTATACATACAAATATGTAGACAAACCACTGAAAACCCTAGAAAGTTTGTATTTGAAATAATCTTTTAGTGCAATTAATAATTAAAACTTAAATTTAACTTTAGAGAAAGTTTACGTCGTGGATGGGAACTTCTAGCAATTTGCTTATCTTTTTTTCCACCATCCCCAAAACTTCAAAAATACTTAGAGAGCTACATGGAAAGACATAGGGATCCTGGATTAGATAGTTATTCAACTGAAGTTGGAAGATGGCCTGTACATGTTCAAGTTAGCCATTATGCTAGTGTAGCTACTAAAAGGCTTCATAGAGTAGGAGTAAATGGAAAAAAAGCTGTCCGTAGACCAACTCTCGAAGATATTGAACAATCAAGGGTAAATTTTTTAATATCAATAGTATTTAAAAGAATAATAGCTAATTTTTAAAGATCAATTCATAGTTTATGTTTACATTTACAGTATTTAATTTTAAACTATTTTTAGTTTAAATTTATTATTTTACTATTAATCATTTTATATATAATTATAAAAATTTAACATGCATTAATAAAATTTTTTGAAATACTTAAAAATTAATGTTTATTATTTAAATTATGACTATTAATTTTTTTTGTCTCTATCAATAAAGATATAGCACTTACTGAAACCAATTAAAATATATTATCATCAAAAATTTAAAAAAAAATCCTAAAATTTCTTATTAAAGAAATATTCTAAAAAATGACAATTATTTAAATTAGCAAATTTTAAATTTGTATTATTTTTAAAAATTATTAAATAAAAAAAAAAAATTGTATGACTTTAATATTAGATATCTATCCTACAAATGTCAATGTCCTACTTCTTTTAAAGATTACAATTTTCTTGTACAATAATTATTATAATTATTTAAATATTTATTCATTTTTTTTAGTCTAATGCGAATAGTGTCATTGTAATTAGGAAAATTAGACTTTTTTTTAGTTTATATAACCCCATTTCTAAAAATTTTTAGAAAATTTCATTTACATTTGTATTAAAACGTTTTATGAGTCATTTTAATCACTGCCATACTTAAATCTTTACTAGTTGAAACTATGCTATGAGCTAACTGTTAACTAAATTATTATCTCTAAGTTTTACATTGAATCTAGAAGTGTTGAAAATTATTTGGTGAAAATATGTTTAAAAAAATGTTGGACATAAAATATAAACTAAACAAATAAAATACTGTTAATAAACTTAAATCTATGTAGCATAAAATTTTCAATTCACACTTCTACATATATATATAATCAGTTCTATTTCTATTTTTAAATTTAGATGCAGATTTTTAGACCTAGTCTTTTTGGAAATACTATTATTGAAGTTATTGATCTTCAAAAAGAACGATTTCCACATCATAAACTACCTTGGGTACAAACCACATTATCAGATTTGATATTAAAACTTAGAGGAGATCAAACGGAGGGTATATTTAGGTAAAATTATATTTTAAATATTTAAATTAGTTATTATTATTAATTTAATATTTATGAAATTATTATTATTAATTTAGAGTTCCAGCTGATATGGATGAAGTTATGTCTTTAAAAAGTCGCTTAGATGTATGGGAAGTACCAGGTCCTGAAGATTTAACTGATGCACATACTCCTGCTTCTTTATTAAAACTTTGGTATCGGGAGTTGTATGAACCACTTGTACCTGACCACATGTATGGAGAGTGCATTGCTGCTCATCAAGACCCAAGAAGAGCAATTGCAATTATTCATCAATTACCCCCTATTAATAAAGCAGTGTTATCATACCTTATTTATTTTCTACAATTGTTTACAAAACCTGAAGTTGTTCAGGTTACTAAAATGGATGCTAGTAATCTTGCTATGGTAATGGCACCTAATTGTTTACGATGTACATCCATTGATCCTCGTGTAATATTTGATAATGCAAGAAAAGAAATGGCTTTTATGCGATTATTAATTTTACATTTTGATGCATCTTTTATGGAAGGTATTTTTTAAAAAATTTAATTTAGTTCCATAATTTACCCAATTTTTCAAAAATTAATTTTGGGGACCACTTATACCAAAGTTAAATATCATGGCTAGAAGCACATTAAATTTAGCTATTATTAAGGTAATTTTAACTGTATTTTATTATAGTACTTATGTAACTCAAACGTTTGATGTTGATTGGTAGTTTAGATAAGTGTTACCATGAGTAATTAACATTATAACATTAATTATTTTAAGATCATTTCCTTAATTACTACTTGTTTTTGAAATCCCTCCCACTGCCTATATATTATGTTATTTTTATCTTAAAAAAACTTATTTACACACAATATTTATGTTAAGAAATTAAACTGTTAATATATATATTTTTGCTGTAATTGTTTCAACTATTAGAATGTAAAATGTTATTATAATAAGGTAAACTTCTTTTATAGAAGTTAAATACTATTAGATTAAATGCTATGATGTATTATTTTAACATTTTAAAGATTACTTTACAAAATTTGATTGTTAGAAATTGATTTAATGATATGTGTTCTCCGATAGTGTTGAAATATATGTTAACTAAAAGTTTTATTTACATTTAAACTATACATATATTCATGCTTCATCTATTTTCATTTTACTTTTAAAATTTACATTTGTATCATTTTCCAAAGTAATGAACTTATAGTTTTTTTATTTTTATTTTGAACAACTTAAAACAAAAATGTATTATTGACTTTTTTATTTATACTTATATAATTTAATTCCTTGTGTAGTTTTGTGGTGTTATTGTATATGACTAATAAAGTTAAATTTGTTTTTATATTGTTAGTTTTTTTTACTAGTGGGTGAATTATTAACCATTGTATTGAAACTAACTAAATAATTTCATTCCCATAGAATTACAAAAAATTGTATGTTAGATCCACATCAAATGAGTCCAATTATTTTTGTGTCATATGACCATATATTAATATTAAAGAAATAAATTACTGATAACAATAAAAACAATATCAAAGATAGTATTTTAAATATCTTGGTCATCACTTTAAAACTTGAAATCAATAAATAATTTTGAATTATTCAAAACTTAAATACTGTAATCTTTAGCATTTGCCTTTTGCTATCTAGCTGACATTTTTTGACCGGTTTGTATTATTAATTAAATACGTGAGACACTATTTAATAATTATTGCTTAGAAAATTTAAAATATAGCTTAATTTTAATTATTGGCAAACTTAAGTTATCTATATATAAATAAAAAAAGTTAATTATAGTTGGGATCCAGCAAAACGTTGATGAGACATTTTTAAAAATTAGTATTGATCAGTAACTGACAGTGATTAACAATATTGTTTTGTAACGCTTCGATACGTTTTTAAAATTAAATATTATTTAGAACACGATACTCAGAGAAAATAAGTTGACGGAACATCTTTCTTTTTTAAATTGTATAAAGCATAAAAAAAAACTTGTATTTTATTTAGTTTTGAATAGCGTACGTGTTCAGATATTATGCATAAGATTTCCAAATTGTCCTTTTTTTTCCCCAAAAATTGAATGATTTTTGGATGTAATAGTGAACAACTCCTAGAAATCAAATTTTTTAAGTTATTTTTTTTCATCTTAAGATATATAAAATTATCTTTAATTTGACGTAGGTTAAAATTTAAGTTTTTTGAAAAATTATAAAACATTCAGAAATATATCAAGAAAATATTTTTTATGAATTTTAAGCCCACTAGTATCTTGTTTAATGATTGGATTAAAAAAATATATATCGGCAATAAGGTCAATGTCTAAAGAATTTCAATCAATTTTTCTCAATGAACTATCAAATTTTAAAAAAGTTATTTCAATTTAAAGTAGAAACGTAATTGACTATTTTACATCAATTGTAATTTTTTAAGACATTTTCCTTAATTACGGAGATTTAGGGGATTTTCCAAAACTAAAACAGAGTAAAAACAATAGTTTCACAGTTACACATCAAAGCTAATATATAAACAATTTTTATTTAATACTATTTGCATATTATTAAATTTTTAAAGAATATTTTTTAATCATTTTTTATAATCTAGATACACTGGTGATTCATTAAGAATAACCTAATTTTCTTAGAAATTATTAAAAATTTCAAATCAACGTAAAGGAAAATATTTTTTGATTCAAAAAAACTACAATAGTCTACAGTTAAATAAATTTTTTTCCTAGATTAAAAAACATAAACTTTATTTTTCTTTAATGAGAGAGAACTCCTTTTTTTTAGATGATGTAATATAAAAACATTTTTGTTCATATAATTTTTTTTATCCAATTAATAATATGATATTAAAAATCGTTAAAACATTTAGATTTAAAATACAAATTCATCATTAATTTAGATAATGATAATCCAGTATTCTACTAAGTTTTAAAAATTACTGCACAACAAAAAATTAAACATATTTAAGTTAAAAAATATGATAGTTGATTCGAATTGGAATTTAGACGCTGAATTCCTAATCTGACCTTAAATTTATTAGTGAAAATCAAGTAATCACATTATAATTGTAATCACAATAATTTCTCAATAAAAATATATTTTTTTCAAAAATCCCAATTTAAAACTAATGGGAGATATTTAAAAGATACTTGCAACATTTTAATAAAATTATTTTAAGTTTAAACCAATACACGTATTTAAAATTGATTTGATAATCATTTTCAGAAATTGAAGCTGAACTTATTTTCGCTTAAACTTATAATTATACTTTTTTATGGCTTACAGAATTTTAAACATTTAATTTTTATATTTCAAGCATAACTAAATATTGAAATAACCGCTGTTAACAGGAAAATCTCAAAATTTTTATTTTATCACAGTATTTTTTAAAAATTATCTTTAATTCTAAAATTAAATATATTTTTTAAATCAATAATTTGGCACAATCCTATATAATTTTTGTTATTAAAAAAAATAATTTAATTAGATTTCATACATCATAATTATATAATAAAGTATAAGGGTATATAATCAAATCAATAATTAAAATTCACTAGTTTTTCTCGTTCATTGATAAACAACTCATATAAAATTGCTGTAAGTTTTAAAATTATATTAGTTTACAATTAATTTAATGTTTATTAACTTTATTTGATTACTAGAGTACTATTCTATTTTTTTTATATTGATCAGTTATAATGTGTTGTTATGTAGATCTTTGCATAATTATTTGTATCCATTTCCCATAAATTTATATTCTAGTGTTTGTTATTGCGAGTTTATATGACTTTATTGGTTTAGTGCTCAATTACTATAAACAGTAGCGTAGACAGAATATTTTAAGGAAAATTGGTGTTTTTTTTTTTTAAATAGTAATAAACAAAAAATAAGTCATTACATACTCTTACTAGCGTTAAAGATATATACTGTTAATAGTTATAATTGATCATTGGAGGCCTTTAGCCCTTTATCTTCACTTTCCTCGAGTACACCATTGACATAACATAAATTTAAAACTAATATAAAAATTTTAAACAAGTTATTTATCAATGAAATAAAAAATAAAAATTGTTATAGGGAAAAGTTCAGCTTTGATTTATGTAAAACGACAATCAAAATAAACTTTAAAAGTTTAAACTTAAGATATAGATCTCAAATTTTGCAAGTATCTCTTAAATATAGCTCATTGATGTTAAAATGTGTTTTTTTTAATGACGTAATTACCTGAAGTTCACTAATTAGCGATTAAATCTGAAAAAAATCAAATCTAATATTCAATTATTTAAAATTAATTAATAATTATTAAATTAAAATCTCAAAAACTAGAATCTAAAAATTCTAAGACCACATTCGGAATTACTATTATGTATCTACGATGATATTGTTTGGCTCAAATGTTGTGCAGATATTTTGTTTTTACAAATTATCGATATTTATTCTTGCTATCGTAAGTGGCATATAGGGGCGTATTCACATATTTTCCGCTTATAGGCATTTAAAAATATGCCGCCTTTCATTACGTTATGATGGAGATGGCTCGTTTTGATATATCTTCGCCATAACACTACTAATTCTTCCTCAAAAAAAAAAAAGTATTTTTCAAGCAAATCTATGTTTATTAATAAATCATAAAATATATTGCTTGTAGCTATTAATATACATATCATAAATTCAAAATAAATAAAAACTATTATGATAATTATTAGGAAGTCAATATATCTTAACAACAATAAAAAAATAACTCGCTTTTTATAAATTTGTTGGTCTTCAATATTTGCCGCCCCTTAAAATATGCTGCTGTAGGCAATTGCTTATACTGCCTGCATATAAATACGCTGGTGATAGATACGATAACAAGAATTGATAATTAAAACTTGTATATGTGATATGGAAATTATTGCTACTGTATGGTAAATACAAATTATTTATTTATTGGTCAAAATAAATAAACTGTAACAAGCAATAGCAGAAGTTCAACAGATAAAAAAAATGATAAGAACATAATTGTCTAGATGTTTTTTTCTATCATATCCTCAAACTAAAAATAAGCGTTCCATTAAAGATAAAATAACAAATTTTCAAGTTTTTGTTACATTCTCACATACAACATTGTAACATTAACCACGCATAATTTTTAAGTTATAGTTGAACATGAAAAATTAATATTTTATTTTCAAATACTTCATAACAATATAAAGACTACTAATTTTTACTGTATAATTACAATTTTATTTTTCAGGAGAAATATTTTAATTTTTAAGGAAACTTTACTTTTTCGTCATGACAATATGTTGTTAATAATTACTTTAAAAATGAAATAACTTTCCACTTCTTTCTTTTTATTCTTGCTATTAGACCGACGAAAATCCTAAAATAAAAGAATGGACATTTTTATGAGTACAAAAAGTATATTAATAAAAAAATATTAGTTGAAATTATTCTAATATATATTTATTTTGACACTCATGTTTATTTACATAATTAATATAAATTTTTAATTAGTTATTATGATTTCACAATCATTAAATATAATAAAGGGAAAACTCATGTTTTCATTAAATTTACTAAACAATTAAAAAAAATTATATATAACAATGTTAACAAACACAAACTAAACAATAATATAAACATAATTGATATATTAATAAGTCTATTATAAATTATTAGATTACTACTCACACAGAATAATAATAATAATTCATAATTATCATTACGTTCAACTTACCTAAAATTATTTTATATAAATAATACATAAATAAATATTGAGAAACAGGAACATGCAAGTATAAATGCTTGATAGTAGTCAATGTTAAAAAATTGTTATTATTAAATACTGACAAGTTTTATTTTAAGTTATTTTTTCCATATAAGAAAAAATAAATTTTTTTAGAGATTTTCATTATAAATGCAGTAAATATACAAAAATGAAAAATAATTTTAAAATGTTCAATGTATGTTTTTGTTTATAAATTAATATGTTTAGTTTTCTTTGTCTTATTTTATTGAGATGGATGATGGTACTGTGATTGAAGAGTGGAGGTATTTTGTGAGGAATAGATATTATTTGAAAATTGAGGTAAAGGAAGTCTACTAGGTAGCTCACTTATATTACTATATTGATACTTATCAAATGATCTAGAATATTCTGAAGGTTGTCTAGGATTATAATACGGATCAGGTGTTTTAGATGATAATCCTATTTGAGTTGGTTTACTATTTAAGGGGTCATATTTAGTGACTGTAATAGCTGAAGGTAATTTTGGTTGTTGATAAGCAAATGGCATCTTAGGCTGTAAAGATTGAGAATTTGCAGCAATTTGATGAGAATTGGTTGAATATGCAGGAAAATGTAAAGGTTTGTTAGTTGGTGTTATTTGTTTAGGCGTTAGAGATATATTAGGATTATTTCTAAGTAAATTTGAACGATTACGCAATTGTTGAATATAGTTATCTGAAAAAAAAAAAAATTATTTAAGAATTTTTTCATTTTATTAAAATACCAATAATTAAATAATAAAAATTCATACCATTTTTTGGAGATGAATTATAATTTGTATCAATTGATTGAGATCTAATAAAATTAGAGTTAGATGTTTGTTGAACTAATGATGTTTGCTGTAAAAAATTTTGTCCAGGGTATAAAGGACTATTAGGTTTACTATTTGCTGATGTTCGAATAGCAATTATTTTTCCAGATTCTAATTGCATATAAATTCCTTTTGGACTTTTTAACACCATAACTTTTTGACCAGCTTTAAGTACTATTGAACCTCGATCACCAGCATTTGTAGGAATAACTACATCTACATTAAATTTATTTAATAAGTTTTATTCAAAAGACTATTATTTCATTGATTACCTAATGGTAATGTCATTTCTTGAGCACTCATTCCTTGTTTTTGCCATACTTCAGCTGGGATCCACCTTCGGTTTAAATTATGTCTACTGGCTAATGTAGTGGAAGTATTAGACATAGATTGCATAGGACGCACACTTGCCATTGGTTTGCCTGTTTGATTTCTAATTTTTAATAAATAATTAAATGTTAATTTTTTTTTAAATTTTAACATATTTACACTATACAAAAAAAAAAAATAAAACTATGTAATTCATTGGTTAATGAATGCCCATGTCAAGTCTGACCAAAATTAAACATGTCCATGTAATTATGTTTTTTCATACAAAGAAGATTCTATATGTATTTTACAATATTTCTTTTATCATAAACCACTTATTTAATCAAAACATAAGAACAATTTTGATCATTTTTTTTAGTTACATATTTTTCTATCACAACACCTCAATTTTAAAACTTCTTATATACAAACTATTTTTCAAACCAATTTGGACATATGCCATCCAGCTTTGGGGACCCACCAAATCATCTAACATCGATAAAATACAAACCTTCCAAATTTAATGCCTGCACCAAATAACAAAAGCCCCATTTTACGTCTCCAATGATACCATTCATAATGATGTCGTCAAAACTGCTAAAACATAAAACCATCAAAACCCTCTGATCTCTGATTATCAATTCACTCTATCCCTGGTGACCTCAGAAAGCGTTTAAAGCGAATATGGTATTATGACCTACCTATTTACAATTTCACACGTCATTAAGTACCAGCACTGGTTGACTTCTTTTATCAAGCTTATTGTCTCTATATATTATTTTTTATATTTGCTTAACATAAACATCATTTATGCTTATTGTAATGAAATTTATTACAGATTGTATGATTCCAAAAAAAAAAAAAATATATATAATTTTCTGAATTCATCAATCATGAAATATTTTTTAAATTTATACCTCATAATGGTGCCAAATTAATTTTTTTAAATAAAAACATATGTATTTAACTAATTTATAAAATAGAAAATGATGTAATAAAGAAAATGATAGGTAGATAACAACATTTGGACCAGCATTTCAGAAGTTATTAATAATTTAAAGTAATGACTGAAGGTGATCTTATATTTATCACTCAACATTTCTTGGCCATACTTATCCTCCTTTTTTTTTTTTACACGACCAGCATTATTGTGGGCCACCCTGGAACTGCTATGAGGCATTACTTTAGGGCGATATTTATCCTCCTACCTAAATATAAGAATTTTAATAAATTTAAATATATTGTTCCAAAAGTTTTTATCCACTAGGCATTTTCTCAATTTATCATTATATAATAAATAAGCAAGTTCATTATGTCTTTATATTTGATTGAAAAATAAAGTTGATATCCTCATAAGGTATAAGAGATGAATACAGATAAATACTTCATGATTGACAAATTAAGAAAAGTATGCAACTAAAAAAAAAAATTATTAGTACTATTTTTATTTAAATAAATGGTTCCTGATAAAAGAATTACTCTGTATATGTATTTTTTATTTTTCAAATTTTTTACCTATACATTGTTGTATTAGTATTTTGACCATAATAGGAATACATGGGTCTACTTATTGCTTTTTTCTCCATTTCATAGCTTCGTTTGGCTAAACGTTTTTCTGCTTGTGATAGTTTTTTATCTTTTCGGTCCACAAATAAAGATTCGTGTTGAAATGGCTCCTATTTAATAAAACAAGTAAATAAGGTTAATTAATTTTTACAATAAAACAGAATAATATATTTCTAAGAGCTATCATCATTTTATTAGCTTCTATACCAACTATATAGGTTCCGCTCTACTTTAGTGATTTATCACAATTTTTATACAGTCTGTTGACCTAATGTAACCCCATTATGGCTAAATAAGCCAGTATGAAGCTAGGCGTGTGTATCTGTTAAAGTTCCCATATGGTCACCCATCAATGCTAAGGTAGCGACTCAATGATCCATTGCACTATACCCAATATATTTCTAAGAATATTATTTGTAAAATAAGAATGCCATTCAATTCTATAGATAAGGCTTTAACTCACTATATATATTACATGAATTATTTATTATTTAGATTTTCAGTCAAATGGTTAGTAGTTATATATTCTTTTATAATGTGTATTTAGGAAGATATATTTTAAAATATTCATTTTATATTTACCTTAGTAAGAACAGAACTAAAATTTTCAACAATATATTTTATCACTAAATCATCATAGTTATCTTTAAGAGATGAAAAATCTTTTGAAGGTTTTGACTCCCCATCATCCCAACATAAATTAGTAACTTCTTTTATAGATAAATGAGCATCTGGATTACATTCATCAACCACACGATCAGCCATTACTTGCTTATTTATTTGCCTATCATATATTTTTTTTTCTAAACAATTATCAGTTACAAGTCTATACACAAAACAAGGTTTCTTCTGACCATAACGATATACTCTACAAACAGCTTGAGTATCATGGCATGGATTCCAAGAGGCATCAAAAACTATAACTCTGTTTGCCCCAACTAAATTAATACCTAATGACCCAGCACGAGTTGATACTAAAAATAAATGAACTGAATTACATTTATTGAAATCATTAATTAGTTTTTCTCTTTCAGATGCTGAAGTGCTACCATCAAGACCTAAAAAAAATTAAAGTTGAAGATATTTGTGGATAAATGATAATTTTATAAAATTATATTTTAAAAATGTTAGTTTTATCATAATAGTTTGCTTTTTAAATAAGTATAAGTTACATACGATAATAATCATAATTTCTACACCAATTCTCATTTTTTCCAGGAATTTTATTTCGTTGCAAAAAGTCTTCGATTAAGTCTAAAGTAAACAATGATTGACTAAATAATAAAACACGATCTCCAATTTTAATTGACTCTTCAACAATTGCAAATAATAAAGACATTTTAGCTGATGCTTCAATCATACCAGGCATATAGTCTTTAAAAAGTTCAACAGCCTAAAAATTAAATACATTAATAAAAAATGATATTTTTTAATATCATTAAAAAAATTTTTTTTTTACCCAATCATAAGGTATTCCTGGTTCTTCTTTACCACTTTTTATGATTAAAGATGGATTTTTAATTTCTCCGTCGTCCAACAATGTTGATGTTTTTAATTCTTTAGCATCATCAGAAGGTTTAAAATCTTTAGAATCAATAGGAAATTGTGCTGATTTTTCATCTTTACGCTGAAAAATTTCTTGACTTGATCTGACTCCACTGTAGCCATAAGCTGATTTATTCTCCAACGAATGAAAGGTATTCAAAGAACTAACATCTTGACTTGTCATTGTACAAGAGACTATATTCTTCCGTTCAGTTGGTTGATATGAACATTCTGGTACCGGTATATTGTCCAATATATCAGATATGCTTCCTAAGGGGGTATTTGAGCTAGATGCATAAGGATAAACAGAAGAATAGCTATTAAATCTTTTATAAGGTTCGGGTAATTTTGAAACATTATAATGATCTGTGAAAGATTTTTTATCATTTTGCTTATTAGCTAAAGGAATTACTGAAACTCCTCTTCCTAGACTTTGCTGTATTTTTGGATCAATGAAATATTGATTATCAGGATCAGTTTTCATACCACCTGGTAATCCTGGCTTTATATTAGATGGTAGTGGACCATAAACAGGTTGTTCATAACTATTATTTTGGTTACTCATCATATTAGAATCTAAAAGTCCAAGTATACTATGACCATCAGATTGGCCAACCATGGCATTATACAATAAAGCTTGTTCATTAACGTCAGTTGTAGAATTAAGAACACTTAACATAGCCTGATCATTAGCTAATAAGATTTCTTGATCTTGTAACATTTGATCGTTTAATAAATTTTGATTTTGAAATTGTTGATCTGACAATAAACTTCCGTAATTGTGGTTTATATTTGGTGTATTTTGATTATTTTCAATGACATTGTAATTGTTGTAACTGAGATTTGAATTTGATGAACTCATAAATGTTTCATTAACAGTCAAATAATTTTGATTTTCTGAGTTTTGATATATATTTTGTTTATTGTGTTGTTGTTGTTCACTTATAAATTTTTGTTCGAAAGTAATATTTTCATTATGAGAATGTGATATAGCGTGATTTTGGTTTTGACTATTAGCTGATATTTTTTTTTGGTTATTAAGATCATGCATAGACAATTTATGATTATCTAGTATTGAGTTGTTATCTACCATTCCAGAAGTATCAATACAAGAATGATTTGGTGATTGACTTAGTGTATTTATTAAACTTTGGCTGCAGTTATCTACTTCTTGAATAGACATATTTGTTTGAATAGAGTTTTTTTCATGACACTGATTTTTTCTATTTATTTCTTGATGATTTATCAATACTTGATTATTATCAAACAACTCATTAAAATTAATAGATAAGTTAGAATTATCACCATCGACATGTTTAATCAAACTTGAATTTTCATATATCTCTTCTTTAATTGTATTTGATGGATTAAATATATTTTTAAATTTTAAGTTATGATTATTATTTTTTATAGAATCAGAAAAAAATCCATCATTATTATAAGAATTATTTTGTTGATTTACAAATAAAGCATTACTATTAGATTGATTTTCTTCATCATTAAATTCTTGACCAAATGCTATATCTTTAACACCATGAAATACCTGAAGATTAACAGACTTATTTACATTATCTCTACAGTTAGTATCTGCATGACTAATGGAGTTGGATATTACTTGGTTTGTTTTACCACTTTTATTGCTAGATAATACATGATTGTCAATGTATCTATTTTTTGTTTCTGATATTTGATTAGATATAGATATAATATTTGATTGTAATCCAGAAAAGTTTGGAGTTAAATTAGATGGAGTTCCATGATTTGTGCTAGTATTTATGAATTTATCTTGATTAGAATTAAAACTATCTTTCGAAAATCCTTGATTTTTTAAAGATGACTCGGTTTGATTAATTTGATCAGAGTTTTGATTAATTACATTATGATAAAAATCATTAGATTTTCTAAAATTATTTTCAACAAAGTTATAATGGTTACAATCATTATTATCTAATCTAATTTCTCTTTCTTCTATTGTAGGATCTTGAGAATAATGTAATTGAGGGTTTTTTTCAGTATTATGTCTTTGATGATAATTATCTTGATAAAAATCTCCTTTATCTTTCCAAAAATTATTATGATTATATTTTTGATACTGTTGATTTTGAATATTTCTTGATGTTCTGTAATCATTTTGAGAATAATCATCATCTTGATTATTTTGTAATGAATGAATTGTAATTAAAGAATTTCGATTTTGAGTAGGAGATATTTGATTGTTGCTAGTATTTGGCATTACTGTAGCAACAGCTGGCATCCTTGATACATCTTTGTTTGTATTCTACAATAAAACAAATAAAAACTTGGTTATATTTATACTTAATGTACTTTCTTAAAATCTATAATTATATTAGGGGAAAAAGAACCTATATGGCCAAGTTAAATAGACTATCTACAAATTATTTAAGGAAAAAATGTCTGAAGAGAAATTTTCTAATTTATTTTATAGCTTTAGGTATATTATTATATAGGAACATCATTTTATTTTAATTTATCTAATAAAATTTTCTACTATACAAAATCAATTGAACTATTGTACATTTAAATGACCTTTAAAATACTAATATAAACTTTTTTCATTTTTCACCCAATAAAATTCTTTTAAACAATTGCACGAGTAACAGCATATTATTATAAATATACTCTATAAATTGACACATGTGTCTACATTTGCTGTCAATCAGATAATTTAATTTAATGTTATGATATATAATAGTAGTGGTATAATAGCAAAAACTAGTAATCATTAGTTTTAACAATAATCTTGATGACCTACTCAGCTTTTGGAAAATATTGTACCATGGTTTTTATAAACCCAGGTTTGATATAATTGCTATAGACCATGTAGGTTGTCTTCTCTACCACTATAGCTTTTAAGAGAAGACATTAAATAATTAATAAAAATAATAATTATAATAATTATAATATAGAAAAACTTGTAATGGAATGATAAAATTGATGTTTAACTAATGACAAAATATTTTACTAAAATATACAAAATAATATTTAATTGAGATTACCTTGCGATTAACATTTAAATCTTTAGAATTAGAATTTACTCCACCACCTTTAGAACGATTTCGAGATCTTTTTAAAGCAGATGGTGATGTTGTTGGAGTAACTCCTAGAGGAGTTCCTAAGGGTGTACCAGCTTCTTCAAGATCTAAATCAATTTCAGCTTCATCTAATGATCGTTTTTTTAAAAAAAAATAAAGAATATCAGGATGATTCCAAATCTGAAATAAACACCATGTTACAAAAAAAATCTATATATATAATTTATTCAATTAATGACTTACTTTGCAGCACACAGCAAAAGCCTTTAAAGGATTAGGAACAGCCTTTTTTCTTACAACTTCATTCATAAAACGATCATATAATAGACGCTGTAATGGAGTCAAACGTACAAGCAAAACATACTCCTCTTTTTGAGGTAATGATTTTTCAAGCACGGAATGACTTCTTCTTTGAACAAACCCTTCAAGAAGAGAATGCAACACATGTGCTCTATACCTCATTAATCTTATATCTTGAGGTGTACTGTCAATACATTGACCATTTTGTATTGGTCTTTCAAACATATTGCTAAACTCAGTTTTTGATCCTAAATAATTAGGACGAACAAAATCTACCATGCACCAATATTCAAGTAAGTTATTTTGTAATGGATATCCAGTTAAAACAATTCGCCGACGACTTTCTATTTCTTTAAGAGATTGTGAAGTGGATGCATGACTATTCTTTATACGATGTCCTTCATCACATATAATTAAATCTGGGCCAGGTTTTACTAATGCCTCCTTTATTTCTGAAAAATTGATAATATTAAGTAACATTAGGTCTAAAAATAAAAAAATAATTAATTATTTTTGTACAACTAATTACCATCTAATAGAGGTTTATGTTTTTCATCACATAGATCTTCATCAATTTGTTTTTTATTTCGTTTTTTTCTAGTTTTTCGAGTAGTTAATTGTCTATAAAGTTCATATCCCATGAGTAAAACACCACCTTCATTTCGCCAATTTTGAATAACTTTGCCTCTGGCTGATATTGTTTTATGAAAATCATTTAGTACAAAAAGAGAAAATTGTCTATAAATTATATCTTCATTCTTAATTGTATTTTCAGATGTTTGATTATTAGTTTCTTCGGGCAACCACATGTTAAATTCAGCTAACCAATTTTGTAATGTATTAATAGGCATTATACATAAAACATGCTTTGCTGGAGTATGTCTTAAAAAAACATCACAAAATGAAACAACCTAAAATATAATTAAGTACAAGTGAGAAAATAAGTTATTCAAATAGAATTTAATATACAAAGTTTTAATATATACCTGAAGTGTTTTTCCTAGCCCCATTGAATGTGCAAGAATACATCCAAAACCACTTGATGTTTTAAATCTTTCAAGGGATTCAACCACATTATCATACATGAATCTTACACCTCCAATTTGATGAGGTTTAATAATTCGCGCTATTTGAGGAGCTAAAAATACATCTGGTTCATTTTCAGGATGTCCAACATTGATTAAAACTCGTCCTAAATCATCTGGTTGGTTGTAAGCATCATTAGTGTGCATACCACTATTATTTGCATCATCATCTGGTACTTCTTCTTCTTCTTCATCTCCAGAAATCAATATACAATCATCATCTGAACTTTGAGGTTGTTTAGGTTCATCTACTTCACTTTCACTACTTATAGTGACTATTTCAGCTACTTTCATTGGTTTAACTGGAGCAATTGAAACAGATGATGTAACCATATGAGGTTCACTAGCTTCCAACAGTTTAGAAGCAATTGATGTTAGTTTATCAGGTTCATTGCAGTTATCTATTACTTCAGGTTGATTTTTTATATACTCTAACATTTTCTTATTAAAATCTTGTGATGACCCAGAATCAGTAGAAATTACTATTGTATTTGATTCAGTAGGTATAACAGGTTTTTTAATTAGAGATGTAGTGCCGCCTTGAAGAAGTGTTTTCACTCGATCTTGAGTTTTTGAACTTTGTTTATTTATTGCAATTTGTTTTTGAACCTGTTCAAATAGAGAAAAGTAAAATTAATAAAAAAATAATTTTTTTTAATTAAATATTTTATACTTCTCTAATTAGACGTTGTTGTTCTTGAACACGTCTTAACCTCTCCATTTCTTGTCTTTGAGCAGCCAAAGTTGCTTCATCTAATTTAGTTTCATCCATAACCTCACGAATATTTCTTCGTAAATTAGTTAGCCGTTTTTCAGAGGTCATCTGATTTTCAGGATCTTCATCACTACTTTCTGTGTAAACATTTATTGTTAATAAATATACAAACAAATAATTAATTTTAAAAACTTACTTTCTTCAGTCATTTTCACTTTCTTTAAAACTACATTTTCATCCCTTTCTTTATCAGATTTTCTCTTAGAGTTTGATTCTAATTCTTCATGAGTGTGATCTTCACTTACTTCATCATTATAAGACTCATGAATAGGACTTTCTGGTTCCAATTTCATATCATCAACAATCTTTGAGGCTTCATTTGTGTTTATATCATCATAAGTTATATGTGGTTCTGCATCCATACCTGATTTAATACTAGACAGCTGTATATCTTGTGAGGAACTAGGTTCACTTGATAGTACAGGCTTTTCAAGAATTTTGTTCAAATCTTTCGTTTCACCAATATCTTCCTTGTCAGAAAAATCTTTACTATACTCATTTCCATTAGTCTTAATTGGTAGTTTTTCTTCAGGTGGCTCAACCCTTTGGATTGTAATGTTAGCATAGCGAGATAAATTAAGAGAATCCATGAGAATAGTTGATAATGTAATTTAATGTAGTCCCATAGTATGTCTTTAAAAACTTTAAATTATTTGTTTCGGCTCGTTTTACAGAAAAATTTAATAATATACTACGTAACAGTACTATCAAAACATCTTAAACAATGTATTCTTCGTTTATTTGAAATGTATATTTCAATAATTTTTTGATAACACTCATTTTATAAAATTTAAACCGAATTAAATTCTTATCAGTTTAATTAACAATTGTATAACAATTTATTAAGATACATTAATTTCGTCCATTTTCTTTATTCAATACATTTACAGAAAACATAGTTCAGAATCTCCTTCTGGTCTAGAATTCTGTATTACAGTGTGGGTGAACAGGTATTATTCCCGCCCCTAATTGTTCATTATCAGCATGATAATTTATATATATATATACAGATATATATATATATATGTACGTATTAAATATATATTTCTGAAAATACTAATATAGTTAGTATACTTTCTTAATTTTTATTATCGCACTAAAATTTACACTATTGTAGACCTATATTTGATTATACTATAAAGATATAATAAATCTATAGTTCAATTCATAAGAAAAATATCTTAAATTGTACAAGTTCATTTATAAGTTCTAGATTAATTTTTTCCTTTATAATTATGATATTAACTACGTCATGCATGTTATTAATTTAATTAGTTATGTAAAAATTTCTAAAATTATTAACAATTATAGTGAACTTAAATTTATGTTCGTGCAATGTTGTACAAAAATTTAAAGATACAATTAAGTTTAAAAAGGGAAAGTATTTATAAATCAACAATATAATACGTTGGCTACACTGTTATGTTGACATGAATGAAGTATCGTAAAGTGTGTATGCGTAAAAAAATTATAAGTCTAATAATGAAATTTAACATTGTCTTATCTAAATTATTGTCAAATTTCTATTTATTTCTCAGTATTGGACGTTTAGTGATTGTTGACGTTACTTTTACTTTTTAAATTTATTTTACTTTTAAATGTATGTAGACAATTGTGTGTGACTATAAACAAATTAAAATTCTTAGTTTGGACTTAAGGAAAATTAATTCATATAAACATTGTTGTGTCAACCAAAATATATAGTTAATTTGTTGTAGTTACTTATGGAAAAAAACATTATCGTGGTAATTGATTGGATAATGAATCTACAAAATATCTAGTGAGACATTAATAATTACATTAAAATTTTCTTTGATGTATATTTTAATTTACATTCTACATTAATATTTAGCAAAACAAGTAGTTTTTTAATTATAATATAGCAATTTACTTAATTAATATTATTCAAATATAATTTTTCACATAAGTGATAAATAATCAACTAACCTAGTAAATCTAACATTATATAATTAGAAAATTAAGTTTTTTTTAATTTCTTTTTAAATTTACCTATATATTTTATTTTTTAAAGAATAACTGAAACATCATTAAGTTAACATAATTACACAATAAATAAATATTAAAATTGACATTTATTCTATAAAGATTACTACAATGTTATGACAATTTATTTAATTATACTATGGAGGAGAAGAATTCTGAATTCCGACGTAAAGAAGGATGTCATCTTCAGGGAAATTCTTGTTGTGCTCTTAAGCATGCTGTGAGGTCATTAACAAACCTGGATGATTTTACCAGTGAACGTATTGGTGAAGGGTTTTTTTCTGAAGTATATCGTGTTACTCATCAGACTTCAGGGAAAGTTATGGTCCTTAAAATGAATATTAAACAATCAAATCGTTTTAACATGCTTAAAGAAGTACAGCTGATGAATAAACTTTCACATCCAAATATACTAGGGTAAATCAATAATTAATATTATTTTGTTTATTAAATTAGAATAACTCGTGTATTATGACTAAAATTAAAAATCTTAAAACCTCAAAATCATAAAAAAAATTTGATAATAATTATAAATTGACTTACAATAATTTTAAAACATAAAGTGGGTATGTCGTACATGTGTGTACTGGTGTATGTTTATAATACATTCATACATAAAAATATAGTGAAGCACCATATTTTTAAAACAGAAATATAATATGTAAAAATAGAATTTTAAAAATGAAAACATTAAAAAAAAAAAATTCAGTAAAATGATAATTATATCAAAAGTTAAAATATTTTTCAGTCAGATCTGTTTCATTCGGTATATAGGATGTCTCACAAGGTTTTGATTAATCCATAACACTTCTTACGGCGATTTGTCAAAAATTCGTGCGACATTCAGTATTTGCATATTAATTATTATTTTGCTGTTTTCAAAATATTTATTTATAAGGAATATATGAGTATAAGTTGTATGATTTTTGATTCATTTATAATTTTAATAGATTAGAAGATAATTTAAAAAAAGTTTTATCAAAGTATTTGAGAAAACTATTCTGCCCGAATATGATTCAAGTAATCAACATTATAACTAAGAATTTTCTTATTACAAGTGTATATTTTCAAATTTTTATAGTAGTCAAATTGTGGCAGATTAATATCCATTCTAGTCGTATTAATGTACTAGTAAAATGTTTACAAGTATTATTAAGAAACAAAATATATGTTCACAAAAATTAAGTGATGAAATTTATAAAAAATATTTAACTCCCCTAAATTAGCCTATTTGATAGCAAGTTCGGATATCAGGAAAGGGCCATAGGAGCAATACCCCCCCCCCACCACCCAAAAAATTAAATAACTTTAAATTTTTAAAATTTAATATCATCAAATATAATTATATTATTACTTAATACTATTATTTCAACTATAAATCATATGTCTATAATGCTTTCATAATAAAAATTGTATTATGTACTTAAGAGTTTGTATTTGTGAATATTAGTTTGTAAATCATCAGTCTACGATAACGTTAAAGGCAATAAGTAAACAAAAATAACTAGGTAGTTTTATCTTTATTGTGGTGGTAAATATTACTTTTTGTTAATTATCAGTTAACTTCATTATTTGAAACAATAGGGATTAAAAGTCATGAAGGATTACCAGTTTTGTGAACAGTCTACAACTCTATGCGACACTAATTTTATCATTCCTATTTTTAGTCTTATCCATCTATTAAATTATACTTATCCTTTTAGCAAAAGTTTTCAAAGAAAATCTTAGACTTGAATACAGCAGCAATCACGATAAAAGACTAAAGATACAAGCTCTTTCAAAATGTCGGGAAAACGTTAATATAGAATTTTCAAATATATTTATGTCATCTAATCAACACTGTTATCATAGATTCACAAATACCCAGAATATGTAAACAACGGAATAGTCTATCAAATTACCCTACCAAAACTATAGAAGACTATTACAGAATTACAGTATTTATACCTTTATTAAATCATGTAATCGATGAACTAATATCTCGTTTCTCACAAAACACATTAAGATTATTTAATTTATCTTTTTTTCTCCCATCCAATTTTTTAATTCTCCAAATAACTCTGAAAACAAAATTGAAAAATTAAAAATGATTACCAACGACTTTAAAGTCTTATTTTTGACAACAATGTATCGTCTCAATTGATTGGTGAGTTCAATATTTGGAAAGAACAGTGGACCCGTGAACAAAAAGATGATTCCTTAGTAATTAATGTGTGTGCAGTTAACTTTCTACAAAAAAGCAATGAAGATGTTTTACCTATAATAAATAAGATAATACAAATATTTATTACTTTGCCTGTCAGTAATTCTAGTTCTTAAGACGCCTTAAAACTTGGTTAAGATCAACCATGTCTGAAACACCCTAGACTAGCCTGCACTATTAAAAATTCACACAGATATGGAATTGAATATTAAAAAAGTTATCCATAGATTCTCAAAATGCAATATAAAATAAAATTTGTTCTTTAAAAACTGTATAAAAAACAGTAGCACAGTGTGGACGTGGCATAGTTGGGACAAGTATAGACTTAATCTAACAATGATTAAAATCACTATCATAAAAGACGCTTCGATGCAAATCTGTAGATAGTGTTTAATTTTTATAAATTGGTTTATTATTCCAAAAACAAAATTAACTCCTTTTTCCTTCATTATTCTTGATTAATAGTTTTTTGATTTAGAAGTATAATATATGAATAATTTTTTACTATAGCAATTAAATAAGTATGAGATTCATATTTAATAATTTAGTAAAGTAATTTTTTCGGAGAATTTATACAAAATTATTAAGTAGTTATTACTTTTATGGTAAACGTGTATAAAAATTGAAGGGCTTGATATAAAAATGTTCAAAAAATAATTTGTGGTTAATTATGAATAAATGATCTACAAATAAATTTCATTAGAGTCAAATATATACTTTTATTATTCAATTTTTGGTGTTGAATTTTGTTTTCTATCTCAAAAAAAAAAAAAAAAAATTAAGAAAAAAAGTTATTTTGGCTGGCAGGTTTTGAACTTTGTACCCCGAACTTATAAGGCTGTATAGTTAATAACATAACCACTGTGATCGTTATAAATAATTTTTATAAAAATATATGTAAGCTAGTTCAAAAATTCGAAGTCTGTTTTCTTAACTTTGAATAGATAGAACAATGAAAACAAGTTTAAAAATTATATTAAATCTAAGTTAGATTCATGTAAATTTTATAGAAATTGATGGAATCAATACTATGACAAACCCTTTTAAAGTATTTTAAAATGAATAAAAAAAAAATTGAACACAAAAATAGCATGTTTTTCAACTACGGCAGTCATTTGCAAGTAGAAGATAGATCGTCGGAACAATTTTTATTTTTTTAATTATTAGTGCATAACATAATCATTAATTTGACATATGTTTAAAGGACGCAGTATTTCTTAACATTTTCAAAATTTAAATTGAATAAGTTGATTTTTGTAAAAATGTTTCTATTTTGAATTCCCCCTGTAATCAAATGAAAGGGAAATATCTAAGATTTCAATATTAAAAAAAATTTTTTTGATTAATTTATTTTTAATTAATTTTAAAAATTGTAATTTTTTGGGGGATTTTCACCATTTACGGTGAACGATGGAAAATTTTTAATTTTTGAGGGTAATGTCTTCAATGAAATACTATTTGTGATCTTATGACGTATTGTTGAGAAAAATCAGTGCAGTGAGAGCTGAAAAAAAGTAGTGATAGACACAAAAAAAAAAATATAAACACATGGTAAAATTAATACCTTCTCAACTTCACATCGAAGCTAAAAAGTTTTGTTATTTTAAGTTAAATTTAAAATAATTTTAATTTAATTAAAAGTTTGATTATTTTTTAAGGTTTTTTTTATTTATTCACTCATAAATTTATATTCATCCAATGTTATGGTATTTTGTAATTTCAAATTTTCAACAATAAAATGTTTTTTTGTTATTTTTATCATTGTATTAAAAGTTAATATCATAGTTTTCCATAATAACTTCAATGTGGATTGAAAGGAAAATGTCTCAGAGGGTTATATGACCCTCAACCTCAAAAACAATTTGTTCCACCTTTTTTTAGCAACTTAAATTTCACTTGTTTAAGAAAAAATCAGAATAATTCCTCTCCTACCTTCTGGGTAGTACCCAGTCTACATCCAATGGCCACTCCAAATAAGAATTCTGGATTCGCACCTGTTTGATATTACTTTTTTAAATTTGGAATCATTTTATTTATTTCAAAAAATAAACCAATTTAATAATCTACATCAACCATTAATACAAAATGTCTACTCTATAGAAACAAGAATAGATAATCACTGAAATTAAACAACACAAAATGAAACCAAACTCCCAAAAATGGCCTGATCTTTAAATACAACTTTAACAAAAATTTGTTAATATAGGATACTCTATTAGTATTCCAAAAGCATAAATTATTAGTTAATCACAGTTAACTATAAGTTAATGATTCTTTTTATGGATTTATAGTATATTAGGAAATGCTGATGATTTACACTTATTGACAAATCTTACATCTTAATGTTCCTTATCAAGCAAAAGTAAATTAAAATTTAATCATAGAATTACATAATTAAATTTACAGGTTTGAAGGAGCATGTGTTTACAAAGGAACTCTTCATGCTTTAACAGAAGTAATAATATTTAATAAAAAAATTACTTTATTTATGTATTTAATTGTTCTTTTTTTTTTATCAGTATATTAATGGTGGCAGCTTAGAACAATTATTAGAATCTAAACAAGAACTTTCTTTTAAAATAAGAATGAAAATAGGGCTTGACATAGCAAATGGTATGCTGTACTTACATTCAAGAGAAATTTTTCATCGTGATCTAACTTCAAAAGTAAATAATATTTATAATCATTTAATAATAAAGTTGTGATTCTAATTAAATATATATATATATATATATATATATCGACACAGTGTCCCACTAGGTATGATATCTCTTAATAACTTTTGATCCAGCATATATCTTTCGTAATTTTTTAAAATAATGTTTACAACTTTGAATCTTGTAAAAAGCATATTTTATTTGACTCAAAATTATGAAGGAAGATAAGTAGCTCTGTTTAGGAACAATATATCTAACTGGTAGGGCTCTAGTAGAAAGAATGTTCCAAAACCACATATACATGTTATAAATTTAAAAAAAACCCCAATACGAGTTATACTTACCTGCACTATGTACCCATTAATATATTTAAATGGTTGTAATTTTATAAGTACTCAATTACTTATCCTAAAGTTATTAACAAGTTATCTACACTTTTTATAAGAGTTAATAAATGGCTATTTTATCATTTATTTCTTATTAGATACAATTAATAAAAAATATGCTTTTAACTTAGCCCAAAATTAAAAATAGAGTAACAAAAAATATTTGCTAGATCAAAAGTTATTAAATATCTCAAAACCTAGTAGATCACCTTTATATATATATATATATATATATAATTATAAATCATTGTTTTAGAATGTATTAATAAAGAAAAATGAAATAACTGGTAATTTAACTGCAGTTGTAGCCGATTTTGGATTAGCTGCAAAAATTCCAAAGTAAGTTTTTTTTGTTAATGATTTTTTTAAATTATATTTATCTATTTTAAGATTAACATAACAATATTTTTATAAAAATAAAAAGTTAAGGTAAAGATATTTATGTTATCCAAAATAGCTCGTAGAATTATTTTTTTTAAGTGGGCTTTTCTATGCTAGTTCTGACTATAACTAATAAAATTAATTATGTATTTTTTTCTAATTTTCTAGAAATATTGAGAGAGCTGTATTGTAGAGGTTATAAAAAATGATTAATAAAAGTAATAAAATATAATTTTTTTTTTGTCGCTTTTTTGTTGTAAACTTATTTTAGTGGAATCCTTTTAGCTTCGATATGAAGCTAAGAAGGTATTGATTTTACCATGATGTGTTTTTTTTGTGTCTGTACTACTTTTTCTCAGCTCTAACTAGGCCAATTTCTTTCAACGATACATTAAAAAATCACAAATTGTATCTAGTTGAAGACATTACCCTCAAAAATTGAAAAAATATCCCTAGTTCCCTGCAAATAGGGGAAATCTCTGAAAAAATTACAAATTTTAAAATGGATAAATTTCATAATTTTTTTTTCACTTTTTTCTCAAAACTAACTTCCATAACTTTTCAAAAATTTACAAATCAACATAATTTTTTTTATATTGAAACCTTAGATATTTCTTTTCATTTGATATCATTTTTTTAAAAATCTAACTTAAACTGCTCACAGGGGGGATTTAAAATAGCAACTTTTTTACAAAATCTAACTTTTGATAATGTTGAAATACTGCGTCCTTTAAACATATATCAAATTAAAGCTTATATCATGTACTATAAAATGAAAAAAAATTTTGTCCCAACATCTGATATTCTATGTGCAAACGGCTGCCGTAGTTAAAAAACATGCTATTTTTGTGTTAAAATTTTCGATTTTAAATTTTCAACTTAAATTGCTATAACTTTTCGAAAAATGTATGTATCAATAAAAAATTTTTTTTCTAAATACATTATATATACCTCTTTCACTTAACATACTTTTTATTTAAATTGGACATTTACCCTTTATACAGGGGGCGTTCAAAACTGGAAACCTACGTATAAAAAGTATAACTTTTGAAAATGTTCCAAACATACTGCGTCCTTTAAACATATGTCAATTGAAATCTTACAATAAATACTATAAGTTAAAAAAAAAAAATTGTTCCGACACCTTTTCTCCTATGGGAAAATACCCATCAAATTTACCGAAAAATGTAATGTTTATGTAAAAATCACTGTTTAACATAAAATATTTTAATATTTAAAACTGCCATAACTTTTTGAAAAATGAACAGATTAAAATATTTTTTTTTATATTGAAACCTTAGATATTTTTCTTACATTTGATATAAATTTTTTGAAAGTCTGACTCTAAAACTGACTTTACATTTTCTTGCTTTTTTAAAGTCAAAAAAGTAACTTTATAATTTGAATTAGCTTAAATAGCCAATTTTATTAACTGACAAACAGTTGCTGAATTGGTAAAACTTGTGTCTTTCACGCTTAGGGTACAAGGTTTGTATCCGCCTCTGACAATTTATATTTTGTATTTTTTTGAGTTAGAAAAAAATTTTCAAATCATTTGATTTTTATCTCATTTTGATTCAATAACTTCAATAAATATCAAGGATCCCATCACTGTATTCTTCCCTTGTGAGAAGAAATTTCTTTTTCATGTTAATATTATTTTACTTTGTGGTTTTTTTGTGGCTGCGATGTATTTTTCCAATGTTCACTTAACCTACTTTTTTTAACAATACATCAAATAAATTATTCTTTTTTTAGTTGAAGATATTACTCTCAAAAATTGAAAAAAAAATCCCTTAGTCAAATAAAAAGTAGCTTAACCAGCTTTTTCCATACAAACAATTAAAATCATTAATTTCTAATATTCTTAAAGTATTCATTGTCGAATTAGATTTAATAGAATAAAAGTATTAAACTACAAAAATAAATAATTTTACTTTATAATATATTAATTTTTTAACTCTATTTGTATGTGCTACTACTAGTCTATAACATTCCAAATTTTTTTGTAACATATGTTGCTATATAAATCAAATCTAAAAAAAAAAATTATTTTTAGTTTCACCTGAATTTAACAATGGATTTTACAATTATTATCAAATTTTATAATACAGTCAATTGAGTAGTTTTTTTAACAACTCTTTTTTGATTGATATTTTTAGTTAAAGTAAATCATTAAAATTAATTCAGTTCTGCATATTTCAATTGTAGAATCTTTTTAAACACCAAAAGTTAATTAGAAATTATTACTATGATTTCTATTTAAGTGATCTATTAAGATAAAAATGCAAAATAAAATCGAGCATTTTTGATCAATTTATTGTAAATAGTAATTATAAAATTTCCTGTCTGCGTATTAATCTTATCAAAACCATTTTTTTCTATTTAATTATGTCAATTTGCAAGTTGAGCTAAAAGTTACAGTAATGAATTCATTTTTTTTTTATTATTATTATTATAAACTTTCACTTTACAGGACAAAAAAAGGTCATAAATGATTACTTTTAACATATTAAAAATCAAAATCAATAATAATTTGAAAGCAATTAATTATAAAAATTATATATTATAATTTTGAATCTAAGAATTACTGAATCTGGATAGAATTAAGGAAGTAGAAGTTTATATTGCTTTTGTAATTAGAGTATTAAATAAGGAAATAGGAGTTCATTTTAATTTTGGAATAATCCACCTATTTTTTAAAATTAAACACTATCTACAGATTTGCATTGAATCGTTTCTTATGATAGTGATTTTAATCCCTTTCAAATTAAATCTATACTGAACCCAACTATGCCACGTCACCACTGTGCCGTGACCCCAGTGTGCTGGGTTTTTTTTATTTCAATTGTTTGCAGACTCAATAAATAATATTGAGCCATTGAATTATTTAATTTTAAATTAGAATAATTATTAAAAACTATTATTGTTCACTATTAGTTATTTAATTTATTTTTATCCTTATCCAAATAAAAAGTAATGTTTATTTTAAAAATTGTATCTTTAGAAAAGGACAAAGATTACAACAAGTTGGTTCACCTTGGTGGATGTCACCAGAATGTGTTAAAGGCCATGTATATAATGAAAGCAGTGATGTATTCAGTTATGGGATTATACTCTGTGAAATAATTGCTAGAGTAAAAGCGGACCCAGATATTTTACCCAGAACACAAAATTTTGGTCTAGACTACATAGCTTTCATTGAGTTATGTTCATCTTGTCCTCCACCTACTATATTTCTCAAACTAGCTTTTTCCTGTTGCCATGTAAGAATAATAATATTAATTTTAGATAATTTGTAAATTATTGATAGTAAACTTTTATTTCCCAAAAATAGTTAGATGCCAAATCACGTCCTACATTTAAAGATATAGTCCAACAATTAGAAGAATCATTGACTTATCCTCCTACAATCAACTCAACATTGGCTGGATCAAGAAGAAGTCAAGCTGTTGCAACAAGATCAAATCCTTGCTCAACAGCCATGGTGGAAGCACGAAGTGAAGAGTTCCTTTTAAAGGGTGATGTACCTGAAGAAAATAATCACAAAAAATGTAATAAATTACTTATTTTTAAAATGAATCAATCATTTAATTATTAAATATTATTTTTAAAAATGTCATGATCTTTCATATTATTTTAACAAAAATATTTTCAGTGTATCACAGTAGATCATTATCTGAAGATGAAGGTCTTTTGGCCTTTCCAGCCCATACGGCACCTTCAGACAAGGCACGTTGTCATTTTGTACAACCATTACGGTATGTTGGGGAAAGTATGTGCCGCCAAGATCCTCATTATAAACCATGTCCATCTAAATCTAACCCTTTTCATAAGTTGGACGCAAAGTTTCAAGGTGTTAGAAAAATACTTGCATCTACAAATGGTTCAGATTTATTTTCTTCATGTTGTGAATTACCATCACCAGGCTATAGTGAACCTGAAAGACGATGTTCACTTAGTGTATCAAGTGGTGGTACTCTTATTTCTAAATCATCTACGCCTAAAGGAAAACATGATGCTGTTCCCAAAGTCACCAAAAAATGTCGGTCAAACTCACTACCAGATAATCTTCAAATATCTAGGACTCCTGATAGGCGGTGGTTGTCTGTTACTAACTTAGGAAGCATTGCAGATACTTTTCCATCTATAACAATAGATTCATGTTGGACTAATCTTTCAATTCCCGTCAATTCTGGTGTAACTATTCTAAGGCGAAGAGGTTCATGTGAATCGGGGTTTTACAGTAGTGTTTGTGATGACTATTGTTTACCAGGTATAGTCATATAATGGATGCTTTGTATGAAGCATTTTTCTTTATATAACTTAATTTTAAACTGACAGTTTTGTGTGCTCGTCTATTTTTTTGTTGTGTGGCTGGCAAATGTAAGCGAGAACAATATTAATGAACAATACATTTTGGCAGGACTTGAGTGCCAACATACAACAAATGCTTCAACAGTGACTTTATCATCTGGTTCAGCTACATCTTCATTGTTCCTAGATTCAACTGGTGATGAACACCATCTCAAACCAGCCAACTATTGTTTTCATCATAACAATATTCGCCACAGTTCAGACGATCTCTCTTCATATAATGAATGGGAAAATCATCATGTAATAACAATCAAATTTTTTTTTTAATAAATTTACTATCTATAGTTTTTTCATTTCAGAAAACTAGACATATTAGTAAGATTGTTGAATATTTTGAAGAAAAACAGAATCAAAAGGAGATGCAACCATCTGTAAAACAAAGACGTTCGGGTCTTGTGTCTGGAGTCTTAAGACGTGCACCAAATATACAAAGTCCAACAGTATTTGGTAAACGAATTCTAGTTTGTGAAGGCGCTGTTCAATCTAAATTGAAGCTTTTTGATAGAAAATAAATTTTCTAATCAGGGTGCTACATGCCAATTAAAAAACATATTTTATTACTAATTTGGTTGGTAATTTTCCAATATTCTTTTTGTCTAGTCAAAGGTACCACAAAATGCCAAAACAGTAAAATGTATATTAAACCATTATGATAGTATTTAATTATTTTAGTTGCCATAATTTTTTTTTATTTATTAAATATATATATTAGTTACACGGCCACCAGGGGGGTTTTATTGTAAGAAAAAGTTTTGAAGATGATTTTTGTATTTTTATTGAAGAAACTAATTATACTTCTAGCAAATCAACACAAAAATTAAAAGAACTATTTTTATTGTAAGTGTTATATTTTTTTAATCTGTTTTGTGACTGATTATAGTATTCACTACAAATATTGTTAAAAAAAAAAGCATTAAGGCTAGAAAAGCTGATTTAGTTTAACAAAAATAAATTTACAATACACAAAAGTAATATTTTGTTTTATCATTTAACCAATGAAAACTTTCTATTATATGATATATGTATTATGAAAATATAATTAGCTCCCAACAAAAATGTTATTCTAATTGCGCCAATGATTATGAAATATAAGACCATGTAATGTAATACCAATAAATAAATAAATCCCATGTACATTTATATAGCTGTATATATGTATAACCATTAAAGATTTCTGCTAGAAAGTTTTAAAAGAAAATTAGTTTTGAAATTAAAAATGTAATCTCACTTTTTTTAATTATTTTTTTTTTCATATTTATGGATTAAAATATCCATTAATAATTTTGTAAAATTTAAATTATAATTAGTCATCTATAACTTAATACAGCTAATTAGTAACGATGAACATACAGTGGTAACCAGAACCTACGTTCCATAAGGCAACTGCTCTACCTTAAAAATAAGTGTTTGGTTGGTTGATGTTCGCGCATGTAAATAGATCATTTTTAGTAATTAAAATATTAATAATTAATAATTGGGTAATACAGTCTTAATATATTGAAGTCTAAAAAGTTTAAAAAATGTAGTCAATAACCCATCATAACCTGAATAATAATTTTTATACAATAGTTTTTAATAAATTTACGAATCAGCTGATTTATTAATAACCAAACCCAACCGGCCAAGTGCAATGGAATACAAGTCTGATATCAGTTGTTATGTTTTAAAATGTCCAACTTTGCAAAATATTTGTATATAAAAAAGGTAAACTGAACTCTATAAAATATATAAAACCAGCCCAATAATTAATTTTTTTTTATGCATTTTGATAAGTATTTAATGATTGAGCGAAAGAAAAGGAAGTAATTGTGAAATTATAAATTTAAAAATTTAATAAATTCTTATGGAAGTGTTTTTATGATAAAAATAATAATTATTATTAGGTATCATTTATATTTGTACCACTATGTTGTGATCCCATTCTACTTAACAATATTTTCCTATTATTGAAAGATAATTAGAAGTGAAAAGCAAAGAAGTCATGTAATTCTTTATGGGTAGATAGCGTTTTAAATAGGTTTGTCTTACCTAATATTTTTAACTTGTGCCACTGACAATAATGTTATTGAAGCATTCACAAAGTTAAATAATGTTGTTTGTATAGTAAATTTGTTGGCCTTATTATACCCTCTACTTTATGCCAAATGTAAGCATGACTTAAAGTGAGGGGAATGCAAAGGCACTCGTTACATCAATATTTAATTTAGGAGGCTAATCTCGCCCAACATACGAAAAGGATTTCTCTTCAAATAATAATAATCTTAGTTAAGTGTAATTGGATATACATATATACTTTAAAGCTAGTTAATAGCCTTTGAACAGATGAAATTATTCTGCAATTGAGCGCTTTACTTAAATGCGAAATTAAAGGATGATGAGGCACTAAATTGTAGGGACTTCACTCTTAAACAAATTTGAATTCTCCATCTAAAAAAATGGTGATGAACAAAAATAAGATCTTTCTACAACCTATTTCACAGTTAAATTTTTGCAAAGGATAATATAATATAATTCAAGAAACTATAAGAATATGTTTTTTTCATCTTTTAAGGGATAATTTGCTGTTTAACACATTGCAATTGTCATTTCTACATGAATTCCATAAACAAGTTTTTATTGACAGTTCTTGTAATCATATCTGTCACTTATGATAGCAAGATAAACATAGATAATAATTTATGGGTTATTAAAACAATTATTCATGTTTCCTATAATGTAAAAACCAAATTAATGAAGAATTTGTTATTAATCCAAGTCATAATTAAACAATTACAAACGGTTGATTGAATAAGAACAAAACTGTTTTAAAATTATTTTTTATTGTATTATCTAACTAATAATAGGTTTTCATTAAAGAAAATTAAAGTTTTTAATGCTGAAGGAATTGAACAAAAATTTCACTATATATTATTATTGAGTTTCTTGAAATAAACAATATTTTTCATCTGTTAAAATTTTAAATATTCAATAATTTCTGAGAATATATGTGTTTTATCTTTAATTGATCACTCTGTGCATAAAATTATTAAGGAAAAATAAAAAACTTGGGTTTTTATCTTAGAAATTTGTTGAATATTTCAAATTATTGTAATTTTATTTCAATTTTTTTCTAAAATACTTTTGAGTATTTTGTGTTATATGCCTTTTTTGAAATATAGTAAAAAAATTTTTTTTACTTAACAGTAAATATTTTTTGTAGAACTAGTCTTGCAAGGATTTTTTTTTAAACAAACCATTTAGTTATAATGTAAAATATCTGATGTCATGATGTTAATACCAATAAATGATATTAATACTAAATTATTTATTATCACACAGTTCAAAAATAAAATATCTTCATAATATTGGTAATATTGTATACTTGATTTTATAGTCAAGTATAAAAATTAAAACAAACATTTTCTTAACTAAGTTACATAAAAAAAAAGAAAACAATTATAAATATTTTATAATAGTTATTAACTGATACGTTGTTCTACATTTTAAAGCATCAACTTTTGATTAAAACATTTATTTAAAAAAAAGAAATGCCATTTAACAATTTTGCAATACAATTTATACATTCAAAATATTTTATTGTGCTTCAACCAATTTGTTATCATTTGTTTTTCACGAATCTAAGTCATTAATGAAAAGAACTTCTCTTTTTTGTAAACCTACCTCTTTAAGAGTTTTATTTCGCTCTTCAGTACTAAGAACGCGCTTTGGGAAATTTGTAGCAATTTCAAAACTATCAGGAGAATTTGGATGGCAAAATACAAAATCTATAACATTAGAAAGAGGTGATATGTCAGAAAAACGCCTTTCTACTCTAATTCCCCCAGGCATTATAAATACAATAGTTAGAGATCCTGGATCTTCACATGAAGGTTCTTGTGAAATTCTTTCCATCATCTCAATTTTTCGTTTCTTCAACTCTTCCTTTTTTGTTCTCTCTTCTTCTTCTTCTCTCTCTCTTTTTAAATGCTCTTCACGTTCAATATTTTCTTTTTCTCGTCTTAATTGTTCTTTCTGTTCATCTGCTCGTAAAGACTCTAAATATGCTCTATCTTGTTGTTCTCTTAATGATTGGTTAAAACTACGTTCAATTCGTTCAGCACGAACTGCAATTAAATAAGGTTCATTAGCTTCAAATACTGATCTTAATCTTCTGATAAATTCTTCAGGAGAAACAGGACCTTCCATTCGTCCAGCAAGCGTCATTCGACTTTCCATCAACACAATTACTGCAATAAATGGAAATGCATTTGCATGAAGTGTTGAAGCTACACGACCTCCTTCAAAGGTATCTTGCTCACAAGCCCAAAAGAGGATATTACTTTCATTTAAAAATGAAATTACCTCATTATTAGACAAAACTGAATTACAAAAAGTGGAACATTGCTGTTGGTCATTCTGGTGCAAGTAAATAACCAGAAATCTTAATTCTTGTTTAGCATCATTCAATGCTTGTTTGTAAGAACCCCTATAAAAAACTGGATGTTCATTACCATATAATGATTCAAACGATTCAATAAATTTTCCTACATCAGCAATAGGATCTGTTATAGGGACACGAGGTTCAGGCCATATTAAACTCCAAGTAAACTTTACTACAGACATAAATGTACTATAAAACTTTCTAAAAATATAGTCAATAACAAATGATATAAAATTTCCAGTTCTAGAATTATCTGAATTAAACACTTGTTGTTTAGATGGATCTACTAAAACTGTTGGCATAGAAGAAGTTTCTGATGTACCTGCAAATACAGAAGGACGACCTTCCCTGAGATTTAATTGATCTTGAACAGCAGATTCAAGATCCCAATTGTGCCTTTGTAAAACATCTCGACAAGTTGGTAAACTTTCAATTCCTGTAAGATCTTGAAATTGGAATAACTTTCCAATTTGGTTAGCACATAAATCGGCAGTAAAATCGTTATTTTCCATTGTAAAATTTACACCACCTAAAAATTAATCAAAAATAAACAAATTTATCTTACATAAAAAAAAAAATGAAATTATTTGATTTCTTACTTAAAAATTATAATTTCATTGATAAAAAAAAGGAATGTAGCTACGGAGAAAATTAATAACGTGTAAAATAAATATTTATACAATTTTTATCTTTTGAAATTTTGTTTGATGACAAATGTAATTTAGAAAGTTAAGTAAAACTGTATGTACTGTATCATAAATAATAATTATATCATTAAAATTACATTTTTTTGGCGATAAGGAAAATTCAACGTTGATAAACTTATAAATAGTGTAGCCACTTTAACAATTATTTACTGCTGTAGAGAAAAAAGATTGGTCATTTCTTGATAATTAAAATATTATATGTAATGAAACTACATCAGCTCCCAGTTAATATCGGCAGTGAAAATTATAATTTTCCATTTAAATAAATATCAATTTTTTGTAGTAATTAAATATATTGAAAATTCAATATATATATTATATATTTTTTATCAGTGTTAGAATAATATTATAAATAAGAGATTCCAAATTCTGGGCTTTCATATTTAAGATTCCGTAATATGATAAATGAATAAACGACCTGGCCCAGACTATATCTATTAGGTGTCCCGGATCCTAATACTTTAACGGGGTCCAAGAAAAGTTTTTCCATAAACATTGTACTCTTTTATGAAATAATGTTTTTTATTATAACACAACTGCATATCATTACAAGTGATAAAATTAATAATAGTAACATATTTAAATTGTTCCAAGTTATTTCATCAATTAGGCGGAGTACAAAACTGGGTTTTTTTTCCTAGTAGACCACCATTTATTGCGTGTCATGGTCTCCCTCAATACGGGACTGTAAATAAATTAAAGAAATAATTTCCCAACTGATAACATCAAATATTTGTATTAAAAAAGTAATAAACGATTTAACTTAACTTTTGTATAAATTTACATAAACTCTTCGAGAGATGCTTTTACATTAATATACTATTGAATAATTATTACCATTCGTCAATGGTTTAATACAAAAAGTAAATAGTTCAACTTATGTCAGTTGTATAAAAGTTTTATTTTATAAATAAAAAAGTACTTTAATACCAGAAAAAATCATGAAGACATTTTTATCAAGTAATTTAATACATAAAATTACTAACAATATTCTATTATATGGAAATAGACAACATTATTAAGATTTATCTTAAAAATAGAAATAATAGAGCTAATTAGTTTTTGCGGCAAACCTTTTAATTGCAAAATATTTCGTTAAATTATAGTCAAAAAATTATGAAATTTACTACATATTAAATTCAGTTTAAAATAATTGAGATTAGAAGATCAGGTTATCTTCACTAATTTTTTAACTATTATGTAACCTTTTTAAAATATAGTTCATATTTTTTCCGATTTTTCCCTATAGAGTTGTTATACACATAAGTGGTTTCAATTATTTTTATAAATTAGTTTTTATGAACCAAAAAATGTTTTTTTAGATATTTCAAATTACCAGGAACATATTTTTAAAAACATGTAATAAATTTGAAATATTGATATTTTGCATAAACTAACGTAATTTTCTTGTTACACATTTGCATTATACAAAAATTTAAGTAAAATAAAATATTTCATAAATATTTCAACAAATATTTTTATTGAAAAATTATTTAAATTAGATTTTTGTTTAAAATATGAATAAATACTAACAACTTTATTTTTAAATCATAAAATAAAATTAATGAATGTAACCGACACTAGAATATATTTAAATAATTACATATACTAGAATTATTTAATTAGGTTACTCTTGTTTTCCTAAAATTTAAGCATTACAATTTTTATATTTAAGACTTAAATTTTTGTATCATAAAAATGATTTATTTTTCATTATATCTGTAAAAATTTAAAAGAAAAAATGTTAAATTATTTATATTCATTACTATTAATTAAAATAGTACAATTAAATACATCTTAAAATGAAAATGTGTATATTTATAAATGATAAACAAAAAAAAATGTACATATTAAAAAAGTTAATTCACAGCCAAATGATTTTAATAACACCTTGTACATTAAATATAATTTGCACATTTTTTTGAAACAGAGTAACTATGTTCCCATTGTGGAAATGTGACCTTTTCATGACATATTGTGTAGCCTCCTAATTCTTTTAACTGTAAATTCAAATTTTTAAAAGTTTTTTTTAGATTATTTTATACAATAAATTATTATTTTTTTTTGTTTAATAGGTTAACCAAACCATTATTATATATTTTCCTAGAGTTGTCAATTTAAAAATAAAACTGTAGCACAGTATAGACGTGGCATAGTGGGACAAGTATAGATATCTGATAGTTATTATAATGACTATAATAAAAACATTTTGATGCAAATCTGCAGATAGTGTTTAATTTTAAGAAATATGTGGATTATCCCAAAAGCAATATTAACTCATATTTTTTGTTCTACTTTGACTGCCATTTGCACATAGAAAAAAAAATAGGTCATCAGTAAAAAATTTTAATTTTTGGACTTCTAGTACATAAAATAAGCTTTATTTTAAAATACATATATTTAAAAAACACAGTATTCCTGGAACAATTTTATACAAATTTTCAAGTTTTCATAAATTCAAAAAGCTTTTCTTAACTTTGAAGAGGCAAAATAATCAAAATAAGTATACATTTATTTTTAATGTAAGTTAGATTTATATAAATTTTATATTTATTTGTGAACTCATTACTATGGCATACTCTTATTAGGTATTTTAAAATAAAAAAACAAAATTTGAAAACAAAAATAGCATGTTTTATAACTATGGCAGCTGTTTGTACGTAGAAGATAAGTCGTCGAGACAAATTTTTTTTTAAATTTATAGTATGTAACATAAACTTTAATTTAAAAGACTCAGAATTTTAGGATCATTTTCAAAAGTTAAATTGAAAAAGTTGAGTTTTGTAAAAGTTTTTATTTTAAATCCTCCCATGTGTTTAGGTAAAGTCAGATTATTAAAAAAATGATATCAAATGAAATGGAATATTTAAGGTTACAATACAAAATAATGATGTTGATTTGTTAATTTTTGAAAAAATTATAGCAATTATCAAAAAAAAAAAAAAGTGAAAAAAATGCCGAAATTTACTGATTTTAAAAATTGTAATTTTTTGAGGGATTTTCACCATTTACAGAAAATGAGGGAAAATTTTTTAATTTTTGAGGGTAATGTCTTTAACTGAATACAATTTGTGATCTTTTGACATATTGTTGAGAAAAATCGGTCTAGTGATAAAGTAGTGACAGACACAAAAAATAAAATAAAATAAATAAACATATCATGGTAAAATTAATACCTTCTCAGCTTCACATCAAGGCAAAAAAAAAAACATAATATACAATAATAAACAGTTTTCATGATAACTGATTGGAAAGATTATGCTTCAGATCTCATAAAACATTCCTAAAAATCTGGACATAGCCAACCTTAAGCTTTTAATGTTTAGATTTAATAGATGGACCAGGTCATAATTTTACTATCAATTTTATCCTGTTAGTTTAAATGGAACAAATGTATCATTAAATTTAATCAAACTTTTCCAGAAAATATATACATAAATTGGGCATGACAAATAAAAGAAATTTAAAGTATTTCTACTTCTGATGTTCAATTACAATATACCAAAAATTTAATCTGTTGCATACATGTGTTACTATGATACATTGCCTAATAATCATAATATAAATTTAAAATTAATACTATTTTATGAGGTTCTGCATTTAACTGACAATGTATAAAGTTTTAAAATATTTTTTTGTTTATGTAGTATGAAATCTTTTTTTTTAAATGAACCATTGGAAGTAATAAAATTAAAGAATAGTTTTATAAAATGATGAGTAATACTAATTCATTACAGAAAAATTTGACCAGTCGGGTGCAGAAAAAGCACACTTTGCTCTCCATGTGGTAGAATTTAATATAATTACATGAATAAATAAATAACATTTTATTTAGTAATATCATTTTTTTTATTAAAATAAGTAAGTATATTACCTTTTTAATAGTTTTATGTCTTCCAGGTAAAAATGGTTTAAGATTATAATGAATTTTTAGTTCTCTATTTCTCCTAATAAGAGATTCTTTTTTTATTTTTTTGTTATATTTACATTCATCTGAAATAAAAAATGTACATCATTATATGAATTTATTATTTTGAAAACAATTTGTAAATTTTAAGGAGTTTTGGGTAAATTATAATTAAAACAAGGCTATGTAAACATACTTTAGATTACCACTAAAAAGTTAAAAATAAATTTTCTTTTTTAGATTGTGACCTTAAATAAAGTGTGCATTATAAAAATAAAGCTAGTGAGGATTATTCATAATTTAAAAGTACTAAACATCTCCTACTTAATTATATTAGTGTTAATATAAAAAAACCCTACACAGGGGGTCACAGCGCAGTGCTGACAAGTCATAGTTGGGTCATGTATAGACTTAATCTGACAGTAATTAAAATCACTATCATAAAAGATGCCTCAATGCAAATCTGTAGATAGTGTTTAATTTTTATAAATTGGTTTAATATTCCATAAACAAAATTAACTCCTATTTCCTTCATTATTCCTGAGAAGTAGTTTTTTGATTTAGAAGTATAATATATGAATAAGTATTTACTATAGCAATTAAAATAGTATGAGATTGATATTTAATAATTTAGTATAGTAATTTTTTTCAGAGAATTTATAAAAAATTATTAGGTAGTTATTACTTTTATGGTAACCGTGTATAAAAATTGAAGGGCTTGATATAAAAATGTTCAGAAAATAATTAGTGGTTAATTATGAATAAATGGAATACAAATAAATTTCATCAGTTAAAAATATACTATCATTATTCAATTTTTGGTGTTAAATTTTGTTTTCCACCTCAAAAAAAAAAAAAATTAAGAAAAATATACAAAAAAAGTTATTTTGTAAGGTGGGTTTCGAACTTTGTAACCCGAACATATAAGATTGTAAGTTAATAACACAACCATTGTGATCATTATGAATAATTTTTATTAAAAGAATAATAATTAAGGAAAAAAAAAATAAAAATAAAAAAAGCCACCACAGCGGGGACGTGGCATAGTTGGGTCTAGTATAGACTTAATCTGACAGTGATTAAAAACACTATCATAAAAGTCGCTATGATGCAAATCTGTAGATAGTGTTAAATTAAAAAAAATTGATGGATTACTCTAAACGCTACATGATTTTCTATTTCCTTATTTATATACTGATTACAAGTTTTATGATTAAAAGTGTAATATATGAATAAATATTTAATATAGCAATTAAATATAGTATGAAATTGATATTTAATAATTTAGTATTGTAATTTTTACGGAGAAATTTAAAAAATGTATAATATAGATAATATATAAAGGAAAATGGTGATATTTTAAAAAAAAGTATGTCGAATGAAAGAGGAATATAAATATTATTTTTCATAAAAAAATTGTATTGATCCATAAACTTTTCAATAAGTTATAGCATTATAAAGTTAAAAATGTAAAAAATAAAATCGAGAATTTAGAAAAAATATACCAAATGATACATAAAGACATCAAGCATCTATAAAAAAAAATGATATTCATTTGTTCATTTTTGAAAAATTTATGGCAGTTTTAATAAAAAAAAATTGAAAAATTTTCGAAAATTAGTGATTTTTAAATTTGTAATTTGTTTGGAGGTTTCCCCCATTTACGGGGAATGAGGGAAATTTTTACAATTTATGAGGGTAATGTTTTCAACTAGATACGATTTGTGATCTTTTGACGTATCGTTGAAAGAAATCGGTTCGGTGAGAGCTGAGAAAAAGTGGTAACAAAAACAAAAAAAATAAAAAAAACACATCATAGTATCATTAATACCTTCTCAGGGTCGCATCGAAGCTAAAAGCAAAATTTGTACTAAAATTTGAAAATTTTTTGTTTAGCTAAAATATTGTTTAAAACTTTTTTAAAAATTGACAAGTCTCCATAATATTTTTATCAGTAATACTTAAGATAATTTTATTTCTATTAATATATATTTTAGAAAATTATAATCAAAATTTTAATAATAACGCAGTAACTTACATGCATATATTTTTTTCTATTATTCAAATTTTGATAATTCTTTTGGAAAAATGTCTGTGTTCTTTAAACTTAAATCAAATTCATGTTTTTAAAATTAAAAAAAAACATCCTGAAATCTTTTATTTTTAAGTAACAAGCATTCAAATTCAAAATTTGTAAAACTTCCATTACAATTTTTCAATTTTTGTTTAATGTTTATAACAATCTTAGTCAAAGCATTTTATTTGAGTGATGATAATCGCTGACAAATATCTATCTATACTATATCAAGGGATTTCATTACACAGATTTCTGACGATACTTGTTTTTTTTTTTAGCTTATGTCAATTTTACGTGCACTACTACATTTGAAAAATTTAAACTTATTATTTGGTATAATTCATTTTTAATATTCAAATGTTATTTTTTAGTTCATCAAAATTTCATCTAAACTAAATATATTTTACTACAATGCTATTAATTTAACAATTTCTAACAAGATTGAATATAATTTTGACTTCTTCATCTACGTATAATAAAATATAAAATAATTTTACCACAGCCAAAATTGATGTATCCTTTATTTTCTAAATACAGGTAAACTTGTCCTATTTCTTTAGCTGTACCACATCTTTTTAATTTTTGTTTAACTATTGTTTTGGATACATAATCTGGTTTATTGATTTTCCAAAGTTCTAAAATTGTATTTCGTATCTAAATCCAAATAAATAAAAGTTTTATATAGCTAGATAAATTAATAATTTTATATTAATAATATAATAATCTGAAGTTGATTTTATATCTGTTGCCCCTTTTTCTTAGCTCTCACTGAGCCAATCCTTATTAACAATATATCAAAAGATAATTATATCTAGTTGAATAAATTACCCTGAAAAGTAGAAAACATTTTTCTCCTTTTCTGTAGATGGGGAAAATTACCAAAAAAATTAAGATTTTTAAAATAGGTAAATTTTGAAACATTTTTTAAACTTTTATTATTTATAACTAACTAAATTTATTACAACATAATATCAATTTTTAAAGTTAAAAAAAATTAATTGTACAAAATAGTTGACTAAATTTATCTACCCAACTTGTGTATTACAACTTTCTAATTGTAATTCTATGATAATAAGATCCAAATTCAGTTCTTAGGTCTAATTTCTGATATAAAATATTTAAAAGTAATAAGTACAAAAAGTTTTAAAAATTATTAAAAAAAAAAGTTAATTTCTATGTTTAAATGATTATAAACTAATAAAATACATACATTTAAATATTTTTTATCATCTTTCTTTCCAATTAAATTTGGATGGAAATATCTTTCATCAGCAGTAATAATATTATTATCAAGATGTTTTTCTTGTGTAGGAGCATGTAAATTATCAATAGTTCTACTACTATATCCATTGGACACAATAGATTGCCATTCTGAATTAGTATTATTAGATTCACCCTCCATTACATCAATTTCTGATTCTGAATTTGAATCTTTTCTAACCCTCACAAGTTCTTCACCGTTTGGTAGAACAAATACATCATTTTCCTTATATTTGTTCAAAATTTCTCTATATTTAGACTCATCACAAGCATCTTCAGATAGGCGTTTCTTTAATTTTCTTGATCCTACCTTACACTTATTCTAAATAAAACCATAAAAATATAGATAATAATAATATAATAATAATAATAATATGAGTAAGGCTCACATGTTCAGAGTTCCAATCATCTGCTAACTGTATAAGCCATTGAGGACTTATTTGATTATACCTATAAGAATATTCCTTATTAAATTATTTACAATCTAATGCTACTTAGAGAACATTTTAGTTCCAGCTATATAATATTGTATACTTACGTGGAGTCAGTTTTGTTCCATGGTTCATAAAGCGATTCTAAATAGTCAAAGCTACATTCAGTAATCACATCTATGATTTCTTCGTCCATAATTATAAAACGTATAACTTAAGGATATTTTAATTCATTTATATTTCAACAAATAAATCCTAGAGATAAACAAATTTCATCGATTTCTTTTTTTAATTGACAAATTGTTTGGACTGAAAGTTCTAATATAAAATTTAAGTGAATTTAATAAGCACATCATACCCCAAATGTCATAAAGCCAACGTGGATACTACCTAACGAGAAAGTACGTAGGGAGAAAGAAAAATTGACATGTGAACTCATCTAAGTAGTATGAACGTAGGAACAAAATTACATATTGCCGGCCACGTTACCAACGTTCGTCTAAAACATAGCTTTAGACAATATGAAATTTAGTCATTGGTTTTCTTAGGTCGTCATTTAAAATACGATATTACATTTTGAATTTTTAAATGTAGCATAGATTTATCAATAAATATTAATATGTATTCTGTCAACTCTAACAACATCTCAATTAATATATAGACAATAGAAGCAAGCACAAATCGGTGTATGTTACAAAAAAAATGTTTCAGCAAAAGGATAAAATATAGTGGGTATGCTATAGGCACATCATTTTTCAATCAATTTTTAAAATACTTCATGTACTCCTACATATAAAATATGTACATCAAAGATTTGGTAATAATGAGTTTTGTTAACAATGTAAAAATGATTATTGAAAAAATGTAACATACACCGATATTTCAAGAATTGATATTTTTTCAATTATTATAATGAGAATTTTTTTATTTATAAATTTTAAATAAATTATTGCATTACTGGAAAATTTTAGAATATATCTATTATACATCAGTTTTTAACAGAGTAATAAATATATTTAAAAAACTTTTATTAAATATATATGGGATGTTAAATTCTTTTAATGACGAATAGATATTTTTTCAACATTATTAAATTATTAAAGTAGAAAATGCTGATTGATTCCACCTAAAAATATTAAATATTTATGGAAGTATTTAAATACTTATACACTCTACGGTAATACTTAAAATAGTAATGTAAATAGAAAATTTTCTACTATTGTTATAGTCCCTCCCTCACCACTATCGGTACCGGCTTTTAAAGAGGGTTATTGGGACATTTACATAGAGTTGCGTAAATACAAACAATTATATTTAGCTATACCTTAGTTTTCACTGGACGACTCGACTAATCAGTGGTTGCACTACAACCCCATTAAATTGATATTAACTATATATATATATATACTTCGGTAATTCTATTATATTACTAAGGTAGCTAGTACAAAGCTATACAAGTTTAAATTAAATTTCAAAAAACGTTTCAAGAAAAATGGGTAACCATTTTAATTTTCTATTTTTCTCATTGGTTCATTTTTTGATTAGGAAATTATACCCAAACTGTTTTTATTCATGAGAACACCAATAAGCTAATGCGTTTTGTAACGTGCGTGTGTAGTATGCGCAATGAATCGTTCTTTGTAACTGTCATTTTATATTACATTAAATTTTTAAAGTTGTATTTATAAAGTTCATTACAAAAGCTGTAGTGAGAGTGTAGTGCGATGAATTAACTTAAACTTGTAGTATCTATAAATTGCATATAAAAATTTCTTTTTCTTTCCAAATAACATTTTTATTTTTATTTTATTAATATTTTTAACTGCAGGTTAGTATCATTTTTGTTTACATATAATAGTTTTTGTTGCTGATTTCATAACATTAATTAACTCTCATAATATTATAGCTTAGTATAAACCCAATAATCTTTTATTTGAACCTTTGTTATGTATCTCTGAGATTTAACTAAATTTAAATTTGATAAATTAATTATTGATCAAAGTTTCTATTTAAATATTACACTGTTGCCCACACAATAAAATAATTTTAATAAAAAATTTAACTATAAGTTCAATTTAACAGGTGTTATGTTAATACTTTGATGCTTATTCTTAATAATATAAAATTCAAAAATAATTTTTAAATAAATAAGTAATGGACTAAAGCTTAAACTTTTTGTATTGCTACAAAGAAAAAAAATTTCAATTAAATTTTAGGATGAATAATGAAAGACAGAACCATATGAACAATGAAGATGATTTTGATGATACTGAGAATGTAGTTTTCTTTGGTGAAGTATCAGAAGCTGAACTTAATCGTTATAAGCGCTTGCCAAGACATACCATTTTACCATCTGATATAAGTTTGAGGTATAAAATTTTAGAATTATAATATTATACAAGTATTTTTCTCTGGAGAAAATAATTATTATTGATTTTAATGTAATTTTAATAACTTACATTTATTATTTTTATATTTTAAAATCAATTGAAGTTATTTGATAAATGAAAAATGACAATTTTTAATTATAGCCAATCATATTTTCATGATGAAGAAGAGGAATACATAGATAACACAAAGGATAATAACATTTCAAGTAAATATAATTTAATTATTTATTTTCAGTTTTATTTGTAAATATTTTAATAAAATTGAAATTTTTAAATTTAGTTGGTAAACATCAGTCATTAATTACAAGTAAAGAGAATAAAGATGAAAAAACTACAGATATTTTTACAGAGCCAAAAGAACTAACTTCAAATTTCCTAAGTATATATATTTTTTAACTAAATTAATTAATGTCAAGTTATGTTTATTTATGTAATAATTTTTAGATAATGAGTCACACACATCACACATTTTGGTCGGAGAAAATAAATGTAATAGTATTGAAAATGAATGTAAAAATACCATGGCAAATAATTCAAATACTATGTTTGAAAGTATAAATGTTACCTAAAATAAAATGTATTAATTTCTTGATATATTACTATTAAAAATTGTTATATTTATTATTAGTTGAGGAACCAAATACATCAATGAATATTACTATAAACAATGAAAAAGTTGCAGAAAGCTTGAAAATTACTAAAGGAATCAAACCTAGTATTAATGCAACATGTGAGTCTAACCATTATTATTGAGTAAAATTAAAATGTAAATAAAAAGTTGTTGTAATATATTATTACACTAACAGAATTGTACATTTTACCATTAGTTTTCAGTATATATTTTAGTTTTGAATATAAAAAAAAAATTATTTAATTTTAGGAGATAAACTTTAAGAAATCTATTATTTTATCAGTCATATATGTCAACAATGAAATTAAAACTATTTTTAATTAAATTTAATTTGTTAAAATAGGGTTTGAAGTATGAAAAATTCTTAATAAATTGACTTTTAAAAATATTTTTTAATAATTTTGTAATGTTAAATTGTAATACTTTTCAAATCATACGTGTCGTTGTGGGGATTAGAAAAAAATTAATCTGAGTAGTATAAAAAAATTATTTGTTTATAAGCCATAAAAATAGATATAATAATATAATAACATGTTCACTAAGTATTATTACTTATTGGCTTCATTATTTTTTTTAGTTATATGTTGAACACTATTTGGAATCATATTTCTATTTTAAAACAATGGTTTAGTTTTCCCTATGCCTATGCTAAATAATATAAAATTTTAAACTAATATAGAAACCATGGTATATTTACATATACAAAAAAAATAAAAACCAAAAAAATATGTGCGTAGTCAATATGTTAATTTCACAACATTCAGCCACATGTAAAATTTTATTTTTCAAAGTTAAAATGGGATGTGTAATTAATATTATAAGAATTATTTAACATTATAATTTAACTATGAGGATTCTTAATTGTCAGTCAATTAAAAATATCTAGTACTGTTACCATAACTAAAAATATTAAATGATAAATTTGTTAAAGAATCATGTAAAAAATGTTTGAAAAATTATCAGTGTAGGTTCATTGATTAATGATCCTGTAAGGTAATATATTTGTTTGTACATGTCTCTGTTCTTAAATTATCTATGGTTGAACTCCACCTTTTTCCATTATATCTTGGAAGTATTTCCTTTTTTCATATTTCAATAGATAACTTGTTTCTTTTTGGTGAGTGTTGAACCTACTTAGCGAAAATTCATTATTTGTGTAATTTAGTTTTTTTATTCTTGCCTCTTTTTCTCTCAATAATTTCTTCACAGACTATTAAGATAACATTAAGATTTTTTTCTGCTTCAATACATTTTTTGTAGCAGTACTAATAACTTTTCTTATTTGCTCCTAAGTTTTATCTACTACATTATATACTATCAATGTTTACAAAATATTTTTATTTTTGCAAAACTCTTTGTTTAGAAATTGGTCTTTTAATTTGTCCATTTAATGTTGTAGTTTTCAATTTCCCTTACTATATTTATAGTGAATCCCTCTTTGAACTAGGTTTTTAGATTCAGTGTATTATATAATAATTCCTGTTTCCCATCTTATTTCCATTTACTTTAGTCCAAGACTTAGTATTTGAATCCTGAAAAAAAAACTTTTTGAAGGCACGGTTATTAGTCTTGTGCTTAACCTCTTTACCAACAAAAGTCAGAGTGAAAAATACCTGGACCAGCTAACTTCTGATGTGTAAGGCCAGAGTTCGCCATATTCGTCAAATTAGCTTAGTGCTCCTTTGAGAGTCAAATTAAACCTCAAATATAAAAATTATAATATTTATTTTGATATTATTTTTATTTAAACATTGATATTTAATAAATTTTTACATTTGATATTAATATTGAAATTAACAAAAAATTCTTCATGATAATAATATGGAATTAAAATAATAACATTATTTAAGAATCCTAATAAATTATCTAGATAATTCATGAATAATTTTTTACCATCAAATTTTTAGACAATGAGTCTTGGGTATTAATTAACTTAGCTGAAGAAAAGTCTCTATGTTTTGATACTAACATTACAAACAAAAATAATAAAAAAAATTACAATGATGGTAAGCTTATTTTAGTTAGTTTAAGATTACATTATCCATAAACTGTAAAAATTCAGCAACTATAATTTAAGAATTTTATTCGTAAAATACAAGTTTATATGCTAAAAATAGACTGTTCAATAATATTTAAAAAAATTTAAAACTTCTTAATTTATTTTGTAGTTGAATTTTCTTCACCAAGTACTACTGGGAATATACCATTTTCTCAAAAAGTCATTGACACAGAAATTTTAGATCGTTATCTTCGCAAAGAATTTACTTCTTCAGGTAAAATTAATTTCATATTTATTTCTATTGTAAATTACTTATACACATATATATATAATTCAAACTTTTTTTAATGAGAATTATTTATTTCAGATGAGTCATCATCAGAGGAAGATGATAACAGTAAATCAATGAAACAAGGTATTTTCTGTTTATTAAAATAGAAATTTTATATTTATCTTAAATTAATTTAAATTTTACTAGTTTGCACATAAATTTTAATAACTAGTTTTTATTTTATTTTTCTTTATAGATTTTACTATGTTTGAAGAAACTGAGTTGGGAGTTGATGTTGAACCAAGTACTATTTGTATGTAAGATATTTATAAAAATCTATATACCTTTCTTATTATGTAATATTATTACAGCTGATTATAGCTCAATGGAATTAACAGAGAATGAAAAAATTATTTACAATAAAGCTGAAGAAAAATGTGAAGATTTAAATTCTGGTATTTTACTTCTTTTTTGATCATTAAAAAATTTATTTTTGTTATGTAATTTTTTAATATTGTTTAGATTATGAAAATAGTTCATATGCTCGATCATCAGTATCTAGTGTTGTAGAATGTAATATAGTAGGTGGTAATGAAAATTTAGAAACGAATGTTGGAAATAATGTATGCATATTAAAGCCATTGAACCAAAATGATTTAAGTACTACTAGTGATTCTGAAGTAGATGACTCATTTGAAGAGTTTAAAGAATTCACTCCAGGGAAACAACAAATTTTTGATTTACGTTTTTCTAAATCATCAATTAGAGCTAAAACTCTTGTGTCATCCAAACCTTACATGGATCGAATTGATGAATCTACTACGCCTAAAACTCCTAAAGTTTCTGCTCCTACAATTTTAATAAATAACTCTAATTTAAGAGTATCAGAAAAATATTTAAATGATATAACAAATAATAGTCACTATGATATGTACAACAAATGGGAAGAAGATTCTTTAAATTTAATTTGTAAATCTGATTTAATGGATTGTAGTAATATTACTGATACATCTAAAATAGAACAAATATTTGAAGAAGAAAATTTAAACGGCAGTAAAGCTTTGAATATTAGTGACAGTTTTATGGAACATAAAATAGTTCCAAGAGTTTATGACAATACCACAGATATTATGAAAAATGATTCAACAAGAGATTTTAGAACTTCGAATCACACATCAGGTGGTAATATTTCAGTTACTAGTGTAAATGATTCAATAAATGTATTATGTAAACTTAATCAGTACAGTGTAAAATCTGAAATAACCTCTATTACTAAAAAATCTTTAAAAGAATCTCAGCATAATTCTTTTTATGATGAACAACATTCTTATTCTTATGAGATAAAAAATGATTCAGCACAGAATTCTGATCTCAAAAATACTACTGTATCAGAAATATCTAATGATAATAATCTGTTTGACTATAAAAATAATGAAGAAATTATGAAAAAAACAAAATATTACAAAGAACAAGCTAAAAATGAATTGCTTAATTTGGAACCATTAACAAAATTACTATATTATAAAAGTGAATGTAGTCCAAAATACTTAAAAAATTCAGAACATGATATTAGTTTAGAAGAACAACTTTCTACTAAATATTTTGATACCACTAAAGTTCTTAATAACACTAATTCAAGTGATACATTGAATTTAATTGAAAAAACCATTACTGATGTAACATTTGGAGTAATTTTATTGGATAAAAATGACAGTGGTACAATAAAAATGGAAGAAGATAATGTTCTGTGTCAAAATAAAACATCAGAAAATGAAAATTTCACTTCAGATTTATCAGTGATTGTTGAAAATAAAACTTTAGAAGACACATGCAATGTTTCAACTTTAAATGTGAATTTAGAAGACACTTGCAATGATTCAAATTCAAATATGAATTTAGAAGACACTTGCAATGTTTCAAATTCAAATATGAATTTAGAAGACACTTGCAATGTTTCAAATTCAAATACGAATTTAGAAAAATCCTTTTTGGACAAAACTAATTTAGTTGTAACTCCATTATTAAAAGATAATAAATCAATCATATTAGATAATGAAAAAACATTCAACTTATTTTATATTAATCAAAGCTATGAAAACAAAAAAGTAGATCAGTCTATATTAATTAGTAAAGAAGAATCTATTCTTGCAGCAAATTACAATGATTCTGTTATGAATGTGGATTGCACTACAGTCATTTCTTCTATTAGAAATAAGACTGAGGATTGTCATAATGATACTGTTTCTGACACAGTTCTTAAAGAAGTTGATAGCATCACAAATCTCAAGGATACTGAAATAGAAAAATTAAAATCAAATTTTCAAAATGAAATAAAGGAGTATAATTTTAGATATTTTTCTGAAGAAAATCCACTAAATTATATACCCAACAAAGAATATCAATCAGATAGTTTAGAAACAAGTAATAAAATAGACAATTCAACAAATTTAAACAAAGAATCTAGAAAATCAGATGAAGATCAAGAATTTCATGATAGTAATTTAAAAGAAAAAAAATTATTAGATTTTACTATTATGCAACAAATAACACCAGAAGTTAATAGTGACAAAAAACAAAAGTTATTTGATTTTAGTATAATTGACCATACACCCGCTTCAAAAAATTTGCAAAAAACTTTTATTAATGAAAATTTAGTAAAAAAAGATGCTTTAATCGATTTAAGTGTAGCTGATCAGATTTGGAATCTGGAATCTGTAACAATGGATCAAAGTACACTCAGTTCTGAATTACACAATATATCAGCAGATTCTAATGTGAATTATACATATAATAACATTGAAACTACTACTTTAGAAACATTTGATGATTCAATTCTTATAAGCTCTTCAGTTTCAGATTTAAAGCCAAATTTAGCACAAATGAAATCTAATTTTCCAATCTCACTACAAGGAAATGATTTAGGTCTTCAATTTAACTTTCAGAAAAGTAAATTGGAAAATTCATCAGAAATGTTGGATAAAACAATAGAAAAAATTGAAAATTTAGAACTTAGTGTTTCAATAGAATCAGAAGAAATGAAATCATTTGAAGAATCCACAATAAAACAACAAGAAATTATCGATCAAATTCCTATCATCAAAATTGATTGTGAAACACAATCAAAATTAAATTTATCTAATGTAACTGAATTTGTAGATGCTGATAAAAAAAAAATAAAAGAATCGTGTGAACCTTGTATTGTAGATTTTAGCATTATTGAGTTACATTCTCATCCAGTTGATACACCACAAAATGTTAGTGTTGTATGTGAAGCAGATCTAATCCAAATGTCTGAAACCTTAATGGAAAAAGATAGACAGGTTGTTTCTTTAGATTCCAATGTTTCCATAACTCCAGAACATCAATCAATAGACAATAGTTCTTATGATACTGATGATACTATTGTTTGCATTCAAAGTATTGAACAGAATCATAGTTCTGAATTACTAAATGATGTTAAGATGGATGATATATCATTGATCATGGAATCACCCGAGAAAAGTAATACTAGTGAATCCTTTCACAGTATTGAATTAGATAATGTACCAGATGATAACAAAAGAAAAATGGAATCAATGCAAGAACCTCAAAACCAAGAAAAAAAAATGAAAATTGAAGAACCAAAAACTCCTTTGTCAATGTTGTTTAAATTTAGGGATATGTTTAAGAGCAGTGAAAAACCCAAATGTAATTTTGGTTATAGAAAAGAAAATGAACCTTTATTGGACCTATATAATCAATCTAAGTCATCAAATTTGCTTATCACTGATGACAAAAATCAATTTTTGAAACCATCTAGCTTGAAAAAGCCAGAAGTAATTGTTAAGAGTAGAATACCTTGTAAAGTAGAAGAAAAATCAATGACAAAAATTGATGAATTTAATACATCTGGATTGTTAGCGTCTGAATTTGTGAAACCTAAAACGGGTATACCTAAATTAGTAGGAGGTCCAGTGTTGATGGATGTTTCTAATTCAGCTACCAAAAAATTACAAGAAAGTAAAATTCCTTCTAAGTTTCAAAAGTAGAAAGATCACGTTTTTTAACAGGAGCATATTTTTTTAATTTATAACTTCATAAATGTTTTATAAATTAATATATATATATTTTTTTATACGTGTATAGAAATTTTAGTATAGTAAACTTTATGATTAATAAATACATTAATTTAAATATCTTACAAATATTTGTTGGGTTTTTTATACTTGATTTTAATAAATGTATGTATGAAACAATTTTAATAATTAAAAATCTTCTTTTATTTACCTGTATATAAACTTAATTTTATTTTGAAAATATTTATAACAGAGCTAACTGTGTTCTGAAAAACTAAAAGTGTGGTTACTAATGTTAAGTTCGGGAATATATTATAATTACCCATAAATTTTACATAAAAATATTATTTAATTTGATTTTTGAAAGGTTATACATGTTAATGAAATATATAATTAAAATAATAATCAATGTGTTTTTATCAAAACTTGATTTCTCAAGGGCTTGTTAGTTAACCAAGCAGGGCTCCTACTTATTAATCTAGTCGTTTGATTAATTTATTTATTTCTAATATTAGATTTACTCATTGTTCTGATGAAACTATCATTAATTTAAATTAAGAATATACTGTTAATTAATGGTCAATTGATGATTTATTGTATCTAGTGATCATACAAAATTTTAAATTAAAATAGATCATTTGAGATAATCTATTAATTGAATTTTGTCTCTATGCTAATAATTTGGTCCTCGTAAAATATTAGTAACAGAACAGATAGTATCTTAGTTACTGGAATTGTAGTTATGTTCCATTAGCAACAAAATACAAACATGATATCTGACAGTAATTAAAATAAAAAATAATTCGATCTAAATCTGTAGTGTTTAATTTTAAAAAATTGACGAAAAGCGTCTTAATACAAGAATGCACCATTGATTATAATATATAATAATGTAATAATTATTACATATGCGATGTTCGATTTAATAATCACTGATTAATATTGATAATTATTTCGTGTGCAATTGTTCTTCTTACTTAATCCCAACTAATTAGGGTCGGCCACCCTTATTCTAAACTTCCACTTGACACGATCTCCCCACTTTATCTACGCTCATATCGCATTCAATAGCATCTCTCCATCTCTTTTTTGGTCTTCCTCTACTTCATCTTCCTTCAACATTCATTTCTATAACTGTTCTTGCAGCTTTCTTCAAATGTATAAATACCATACAAAGCTATTTCGTGTCAATTGTTATCAATATTTATATTGTAATAATTTTGGACTTAGTTAATTGAAATTAGTTTCTTATTAATAATGATAAAATTAATTAGATTCTAGTTTTGATCATCTTAGGCGTGTTTCTTTAATTTCTTTTAAGTTTTTTTTTTACTATGAGTATTTAAGATGGGTTAATACTCCTTTCCTAATTGTTAATCTAATTTTAGATTTAAAATCAATGTACAAATTTGGTTTAGTAAGTAAATTATACATTGGTTAGGATCATTAAGTAATGTTTTATTTTAGTAATATGATTTCACTGTATAATTTATTATAAAAACAAATTTTATACTCCTATTATTTATGGAGATAATTATTTAAAAAAAGTTTCATTGAGGCTACCATTTTTTATTGTAGCGTAATTTTATATTTTATTTAATATTTGTCTATATTTTTAAAATTAAAGGGTTTTTATCCAATATATGTGACAATATCCAGTGAGAGCTGAATATTTTTATGGACAGAAAAAAAACGCAAAACATCACAAAACCAATACCTTTCTTAGTTTCGCATTAAAACTAATAAAAAACTATCAAAAAGTTGTTAAAAAAATCTACTCGATTGAGTGTATTTTAAAAATTGATTACTTTTGGATCTTCACACCCCGAGCGTACATCACGCATGTTGGCAGATAAAATGGGCAAATTAAGATAATTTCAAAATTCAAAGTTATTTTTCTTAACTTACACGAAATACTCGAAATAATTTAACATTTATGTTCAATGTAAGTAAGATCCATGTAACTTTTATAAAAATCGTTGACTTCAATATTATAGCAAACCATTATAAGATATAAAAAAAAAAAATTGAGCACGAGAATATCCATAATAATTAAGGAAAAAAATTTTAAAAAAACCACCACAGCGGGGACGTGGCATAGTTGGGTCTAGTATAGACTTTATTTTACAGTGTTTAAAATCACTATCATAAAAGACGCTTCCATGCAAATCTGTAGAAAGTGTTTAATTTTAAAAAATTGGTGAATTATTCAAAAAACAACATGATCTTTTATTTCCTTATTTATATTCTGATTAGAAGTTTTATGATTTATAAGTGTAACATGTGTATAAATATTTATTATAGCAATTAAATATAGTATGAAATTGATATTTAATAATAATTATTAAATACTAAATTATTTAGTATTGTAATTTTTACGGAGAAATTTTAAAAATGTATGAAATAGTTATTACTTTTATGGCAAACGTATATAAAAGTTGATGGTCTTGATGTAATACTTAAAATTTATAAATAAATTTACGGATCTTAAGGAATTTTTATCAGAGACCAAAATATACTTTTCTAAACCCATTTTTGTGCCAAATTCAAATCTGTAATTAGAGTTTTGCATATGGCCTAAATAATAATAAATTCCTTCTAATTTTTGTAACAAATATTTATGTTTGATTATTAAGTTACGTATAGATAATCAATAAATATATTTAAATTAAAAAAAGTAGGAAAAGTTCTAAAATAGTAAATAAATAGTATATCTCATAGAAAAATTGTATTGATCCATACATTTTCAAAAAGTTATGGCATTATAAAGTTAAAAATATAAAAAAGAATATTTTACAAAAATCGTATTTTTTTTATAAACTTTGATGGCCGTTTTCACCATAAAAACAAAATACAGTTCGACAATTTTTTTTTTTATATTAAAGTACATTACACATAATATCATTTAAGATATATATAAAAATATAAAATGTCGAAAATTAGCGTTTTTTAAATTTGTAATTTTTTTGGAGATTTCACCCATTTACGAGGAACGAATTAAATATTTTCAATTTGGAGGGTAATGTCTTCGACTAGATTTGTGATATTTTGACGTATAGTTAAAAGAAATCGATTCGGTGAGAGCTAAGAAAAAGTGGTAACAGACACACAAAAAAAAAATAAACACACCTTCGATACGAAGCTAATATGCATACAACAGATAATCATCATCATTTTCCACCATCTTCATAACATTAGAACGGTTTTTCGTAGCTTTTTTTAATTTAAATCGCAGTTATATATAGATTTATCTATTTCTGTGTTATGGACATACATTTTATTATCATAGTTCTTTATCAAACACTCTAACAGACTAAAATATTTATCATTTTTTATCACGATTAGGGATAGGATATCGAAAGAAAGTATTGAAAATAGTATCGAATACAAATATTGATATCAGTAAAACATCGAAACAAATGTATCGATATCAGTAAGTATCGAATCATTTTATAAACCTATATTTCACAGTATCAAATTATACTGTATGGAATTATAAAATATTATAATTTTAGGATTCGATTCCTACTGATATCGATACTAACTAATGAATGTTAAAAATATTTGTATAATTAGTACCAATGAGCAATGACTATGGTCATTACTCTGTTATTTCTATTTCTATCCACTAGTAAAAACCAAATATTTGCAATTATATTTAAAAGCCTAAATATACGTAATAAATTTTAAATACAAATTGTCTTTTATTATTTATTATACATTAATTTATACAAAATACTAATAATATTATAATTTATAATTGGTCATTATTAGCAAGTCTTCACATAGGTACATAAAAAAAATATAACTAAAACCAATCTTCCTCTGGGATATCAGCTAACAATAATATTTTTTGAAGGCGAGAACTAGTTAAACGATTCCTAGATTTGGTTAATGTTGCTCCAGCCTTTGAAAAAAGTCGTTCGCAAGGAACAGATGTTGCAACTATGGTGAAATGCAAACGCGCTTCTTTATACAAAATAGGAAATATGTGTTTCATATCCTCCCATATTTCAAGAGGATCAGATTTCAGGGTTGATAATGGATTTGATAAGTATAACGATAACTCATCGTTCATAAAAGTTGTGGTCTTTTTCTTTTTTTGGCCATGAACCAAATATTTACGATGTTCCAAAAATCGAAGTTGTCTGTTTTAGAATGTTCTCCTTCTGACTCACTAGAAGAAATGGTGTCCAATTTTGACAACTTTGTTAAATCTGCTATCGCACTTGAACAGGCTACTAGATCATTAAAATGTAAATTTTTAAATCTTGGGTCCAGAAGTGTAGCAGTTGCAATTGGTTTGACCTGTTCAATCATTCCAAATCTTCGAGTTAGTTTAACATGTAATAAGTCTTTAATTTCACAAATTACCTCAAAATATGGTTTAATTTGTGTCAATTGTTTTTGCAAACAGTTGATCATTGGTATGACTTTGGAAGTGTAATGTAATTTTCCCCAGAAGATTTTTTCGTCACAAATTCCAATGGTTTTAATAAATCCAACAATTGTTTGAGCGTATCCATTTCAATCGCAGTTGGCATCACAGGAGGAGTATAATCTTTGATTAGTAATGGACTTATTAATGTTACCATCTCTACAAATCTACTGATCATATAAAAAACAGAGTTCTATCGTGTTGGAACATCTAATATTAATTTTTTCATTGACCTTTCTGGAACTCCATTTTCCGACTGCTTCTTTCTTAAAAGATCACTAACTCTCACGCTATTTTTCACCCACTTTACGATATTTCGAACTTTAGAAATAATAGGTTTGAGGTTTTTTTGCCCTACTATATGTATTGCAACTAAATTGATGGTATGAGCAAAACAAGGAATGTGTCGGTGTTTACCAAAAGTTTTGTGAACAGCAGAAACAACATTTGCACCATTGTCAGTCACAATACTTACAATTTTTTCTTGATTTGTTTCCCAATCTGATAAAATTTTTTCTAACTGTTCACTAATATATTGACCAGTATGCCGCTCTTTTAACTCAGTAACTGCCAAACAAAATGATTTCAGAGAAATGTCTTCTAAGAAATGTACGGTTATACCAAGAAACTTTTTTCTGACATTGTCTCTGTCCATGTATCGAATGTCAGAGATACATGAGGTGAATTTGACAAACGCAATTTTAATGCAGCTATAATAACCTCATACTTATTATCAAGGGCATTTTTTGTAGTTTTAA